GTGCTTAAAGGTTGAAATGATAAACCTTAATAATATTATTCAATTTCTTATTATTATTATTGTTTCTATTCTTAAATTTTATCATTTTTTGTTTATATTATAAATTTAACTCTCTCATGTATTGGAATGTAAGAATTCGATTTTCTTGTATTGCTTTACTCATTATATATTTATGTGCTTTCTAATGTCTATGTAGCTATTCTTGCTGGGTCATTGTTTTCATGATTACTCAAATTCTCAAGTCTCATTTCTGATGTATATTCTTATTACAAATTCTTTTCTTTATTTAGTAATAAATCACCAAACTTGCTATTTTTTGAAGCTTCCATATAATTATTAATCATATCCTATATTTATTATGTCTTGTTTATCTTTGGTTTGCCTTTACTTTGCATTTATTCAATCTTCAATTATTCTTCTTTCATTTACAAAATTTTTTTTTGTTTCTCTATTTCATAAGATTTTTATCTATTCTAAAAATCAGAATCCACATCTGTAACCTTTGATTTTACTTATTACATTTCATTTAATATTTTAACAGTTGAAGTATTTAACTTTTCTAATATAGATTCCTGATCAGATTACAATGTATATGATCTGAAATGAGATTTTTACTTCAAATCCTCTTAATAACTCTTTTTTACTTACATTTTTAATTGCTTCATTGACAAATAACAATAAATTTTAATTATAAGACTATTTTTTATTTAAATTCATTTTAATAATATGTTTATTTTCAATTGATATCAAAATTTTTCTTTACAGCAGTCAAACAAGATTTTCTAGATTACAGATTGTTTTTTCAATTTACAAAATATATGGGAATAATTTTTCAGTTTACTTAATTATCAAAATTTATTCTATTCTACGAATTTATGGTTATTGTAAACTGAAAAGTTTATAAAATTAAGTTCTATAATTAAGAAATTTTATATAATTTATATAAAAATTGACTATTAAAAAATAACTTCTAATTTTTAGAAAAATTGAGAATTAATCTCATTATTATAGATTACTATCCTTTTCTCTTATCTTATATAATCTTTATGAAAAGCTTTGAAAGCAAAAATCATTATGCTTTTGTTAAAAATTTAACCATTTTTTTTGATTCTCCTGTGCTCACAAGTAATGTCTTGATAAAATTATTGAGATATTTATAGATATTTTTATATAAATTCATTAATTTCTAGGATAAATTTCTTATGAATAAATAGTAAACCAATCATTCTTAATCTTTAATTTATTACTAATTATCTCTAATATACATTTATTTTTTCATTTTTCTTCTAATAATTTTATTTTAATTTATAATAAGAAATTTAGATTAACTAAATATTTGGATTAAGGATTAATTTTTAATCATATAAACCACATATTATGGTGAAATTAATAACAATTGTCTTATTTTATTTTAGAATTTCTTTATGAACCATATTATAAAACATTTAGATTAACTTATGTTCCTTAAGACTCTAATTACCTTTCTTGTATTAGGATTATATGATTTTTTGACAATATTCTCAGCAACCTGATTTATATTCATACTTAGAATTAGTTAGCAATGCTGCGTTTAAAATAAGCTATTATTATAAGAATTATTATGTGAATAAATCCATTAATTTAGGTTTCTCTGCAATTATTTGTACATTATTCATTTATGACTAGAATGATGATTTAATCTGCTTTAATTCTTCTATTAGAGAGTTTAAAGAAAGAAATCTGGATTCTACATCAATTCTGTTAATTGTGGTATTAAAAGGTGAGGATCAATTTTTGGTTTGCTTATTTATATTTATGATATATTAATTATTACAAATCTCTTCGAAATGGGTGAAGACAATAAAATTATTTTAAATTTTAAGATTTATATATCTGATTCAGATTTTAGTACTTAATTTAATCATGTTTTATACTATTATTCAAAAATTTCAAGAATAATTTTTTTGTACGCAACTTTTTAATGATTCAAGATTCTTTTTTTAACTTTATTATTTAAATAGAGATGCTTGAATGGGAATAACGAAATTACCAAAAGATTTTACCATTAGAAATGGATAACCCTCAATAATTATAGAATTTTAAGGAAAATAATAATGATCATATTATTTATTGCTAGTTTATATTACCTCTTATTAATTAAATATATTAATTTTTTAAATTTACTTAAATTAAATAATTGTGGTTCTCTAAAAATAATTAATCGACATATTGGAAATAAAATAAACTATATTGAAAATTTTGTTTGCAAATTAAATAAGTCATCATTATTTTAAATATTTTTTGTAATAAATCATTATTTCGTGGAGCATCTTATTAATTAATCAAAAAAATCAAATTCTATTATTAATTAATTTTCTAATAATACATTTAATCGATGTTCTTTTCAATACTTTTAGTCTTCATTGGCTTTATTGATATTTCCAATACTTAATGGTATATTTCAAATAGTTACTTAAATAATGATGAAACCTATAGTATCTACACAGGATCATTTGGATACTTATATACCAGTTTCTTTGTTTTGCCATCTACAACAACTTAAGCTTAATTTATCACATGTAGCTCACCTGCAATAAGTTATATAACTTTAAATTCAACTAAGCCTTCTGTTTAGTAATATAATACATACTCATTTAGGAGTGGAAGTTTAATAACATTTGATTTATTTTTTTAGGGTACTTGGTCAAATAAAGCTGTAACTTTCACAATAGGTACGTTTTCCTATACATTTACTTATACTTCACCTTCAGTATATCCAATAACAAGTGGGTTTTGTGATACTCTATCAGCTGACGTCAGAACTCTAAATTTTAGTTTAACAACAAGCACGTCATCAAAAATATAATTCACTTCTACAGGCTCAGGAGATGCATAAGTTTCAATTAAGAATATTTTTGCTATCAATCCTTAATGTTATTCATCCTGTTCTTAATGCACAGGTCCCAATTTTAATTAATGCACTGGTTGCTATTATGGAAGTCCTACTAATAGTATTTGTCCACTCTGTCCATCTAATTTATATTATATGAAAGAGTTAGGATGCAGAGATATTTGTGATGTTTACAATCCATTATATTATAATGGATTCTGTTAAACTAATCAAAGTAAATATTTTCTATTACACATATTAGTTGGCTCAATAACATCTGCTTCTATTTCATCAATTCTTTTTGGCCCTTAAAATTTAAAGTGGTCTATAATCTATGACCCACAAAATATTGATACCTCTCCAGCACCCTAAGATGCTAATTAGTACATTTATGGGATATTCAAGTTTAAATCTGGCATCTCTAGATTTTTTAATTTATAATCGGCTTATTCATATGCAACTTATTTAATTGGGTTAAAAATTTCAATCAGTACTTTTAATGGAATTCCATTAAATTGTGGAATATAATTTAAAATTAATGATACTTATTATGGATCAATTTATAGAAATTCCTCTGGTATTCAAACACATAAACTAAAAATTTATTAAACTTCGAACTATGNTTGAAAATTTTGTTTGCAAATTAAATAAGTCATCATTATTTTAAATATTTTTTGTAATAAATCATTATTTCGTGGAGCATCTTATTAATTAATCAAAAAAATCAAATTCTATTATTAATTAATTTTCTAATAATACATTTAATCGATGTTCTTTTCAATACTTTTAGTCTTCATTGGCTTTATTGATATTTCCAATACTTAATGGTATATTTCAAATAGTTACTTAAATAATGATGAAACCTATAGTATCTACACAGGATCATTTGGATACTTATATACCAGTTTCTTTGTTTTGCCATCTACAACAACTTAAGCTTAATTTATCACATGTAGCTCACCTGCAATAAGTTATATAACTTTAAATTCAACTAAGCCTTCTGTTTAGTAATATAATACATACTCATTTAGGAGTGGAAGTTTAATAACATTTGATTTATTTTTTTAGGGTACTTGGTCAAATAAAGCTGTAACTTTCACAATAGGTACGTTTTCCTATACATTTACTTATACTTCACCTTCAGTATATCCAATAACAAGTGGGTTTTGTGATACTCTATCAGCTGACGTCAGAACTCTAAATTTTAGTTTAACAACAAGCACGTCATCAAAAATATAATTCACTTCTACAGGCTCAGGAGATGCATAAGTTTCAATTAAGAATATTTTTGCTATCAATCCTTAATGTTATTCATCCTGTTCTTAATGCACAGGTCCCAATTTTAATTAATGCACTGGTTGCTATTATGGAAGTCCTACTAATAGTATTTGTCCACTCTGTCCATCTAATTTATATTATATGAAAGAGTTAGGATGCAGAGATATTTGTGATGTTTACAATCCATTATATTATAATGGATTCTGTTAAACTAATCAAAGTAAATATTTTCTATTACACATATTAGTTGGCTCAATAACATCTGCTTCTATTTCATCAATTCTTTTTGGCCCTTAAAATTTAAAGTGGTCTATAATCTATGACCCACAAAATATTGATACCTCTCCAGCACCCTAAGATGCTAATTAGTACATTTATGGGATATTCAAGTTTAAATCTGGCATCTCTAGATTTTTTAATTTATAATCGGCTTATTCATATGCAACTTATTTAATTGGGTTAAAAATTTCAATCAGTACTTTTAATGGAATTCCATTAAATTGTGGAATATAATTTAAAATTAATGATACTTATTATGGATCAATTTATAGAAATTCCTCTGGTATTCAAACACATAAACTAAAAATTTATTAAACTTCGAACTATGGTTCATATTAAACTTATTCAACAAACCAGAGATATGAATTAATTGCTTATTTAGACATTCCTAAATTACCAATTTTCTTTACAGCTGTTGGCAATTATACGTAAATTAAATCTATATAAAGTAGCGATAATACAGCAGGATGGGGGATTATTTCAGTTCAATTTACTTCAGGGTATTGTCCTTAATATTGTTCAATATGTGAAGTATCATTTAAGTGTAAAACTTGTGTAAGTGGATACTATTATTATAGAGATGGTAGTTGCATTGGTAATTGCTCAAGTTCTTATTAGATATTAAATGGTACTTATTGTTATGATTTCGATGATGAAACCCCTTGTAAAATATTTATATGTATATAGATTCTAAATATTTAATATAAGAATTTGTAAATTCTGCCTTTGATCCTCAGTAGTACGCATAATATACATTAGTCTCACAAAGCGGAATAAATTTTTTAAAGGGATCAAATATATATTATTCAAATTGGCAGGAAATTAGAGTTTTCGGAGGACCTTATGTCTGGGCTTAAGCTAAATTTTAAAGAATTTATAACATCATAGATCCTCATCATAGTATTACCATAGCATTTTATATTCTTTATGGACCATCATTTCCTGAAGATGGAAGTTTTATTTACACAATTGACAATTATGCCCTAGTTACTAAATCAAAAACAAGTTATTTTTCAACTTATTCTGATGAAAGTAGATTAGATAAAGTATATCAAAGAATATCACATAATATAAATACTTTAACAATCACTTGGGAATGTTTTGGACTAAATAATGAGCCAATTAAAGCTTATTGTGGATTTTTTAATTATCATATTGCTGTTCATTACTGCTAACCTTATTGTTTATAATGTTTAGATCAAAATACATGTACATAATGGAATAGCACTTATGATGCAAGTATTGTAAGATTTTCTTAATCTGAATGTGAAAGTTATCAATATTTTGATAGAGATTCATTTAGATGTTTGCAATGCCATTCACCTTGCTTGACATGCACATCTAAAATAGATTGTTAAACATGTTAATCTACTTTCACTTAAACTAAATTAGGATGTATTTGTTTAATGAATTAATATGAAGATTAAAATTAATGTTTTAATTGCCCAATTGAATGTACTTAATGTCTAAGTGCTTCATATTGTTTGGAGTGCTTATTTATTAATAATAGATAACTAGTGAATGGATAATGTAATTGTCTAGATGGATATTATCCAATTGCATCAAATCCTTAATGTTAATAATGCCATTAATTTTGTAATACATGCACTGGACCTACTTCTGATGAATGTTTAACTTGTTCTAATATAATTAATATCGAATAAATCGGATCATCATGTAGATGCCCATCAGGATCATATTATTCAGATCCAATAAAAACATGTTCTTTCTGTCATTATTCCTGCTCAACTTGTTTTAGAACTACAATTGAAGGTTGCTTAACATGTAATCCTGCATTAAATAGAATATTAAAAGGATTAAAATGTGAATGTGCACCTGGATATTTTGAATTAAATAATGTTTGTACAAGTATTTAAGATCTTAGTAATTATAGGTTGTCCATCTATAGTAGATACATCTTTAACTGAATGTTATAAATAATGTAATAATAGTTAATAAATATGGCATACTAATATTTGTAATTCTTGCGATTCTGGATTTCAATTAGTATCCGGAGAATGTCAGCCTATTTGTGGAGACTTATAAATAAAAGGATATGAATAATGCGAAGATAATAATACTATTTTCGATGATTTATGCTATAATTGTTAATTTCAATGTCCACTTCATTGTGAAATTTGTGATTTAACAACTTCATTACCATGTCCAGATATTTGTGGAGATGGAATTATTACTGGAAATGAATAATGTGAAGATGGAAATTCTATCTAGTATGATGGATGTTTTAATTGTTAATATTAATGTTAATTGTAATGCACAAAATGTATAAAAGGAGAATGTATTGAATGTGCAACTAATGGATGGTTTATTGATCCTACAGTTACTCCTTGGTAATGCAGAGAAAGATGTGGAGATTATATTATTGTTGGAACTGAATAATGCGAAGATGGTAATTCAAGTGATACAGATGGATGCAAGGATTGTAAATATTTTTGTAGAATTGGTTGTTCTTCTTGTAATTATACTAATAAAACTTGTTTAAGTTGTGAATTTCCTGGTTTTACTCCTGATTCTTATTATTGCAGAAATATTTGCGGAGATGGTTTAGTTGTAGTAGATCCATATGGATTCTATTATGAAGAATGTGACGATGGTAATACAATTAGTGGTGATGGTTGCAGTAGTTCATGTTAATATTAATGCTAATCAATTTCTATTTGTACTACATGTGTCAGTAATAGATGTGAACTATGTGCTTCGGGATATTTACTAACAACAAATAAAATTTGTGTTCCAATTTGTGGAGATGCAATTTTAGTAACTGGCGAATAATGTGATGATGGTTTAACATTACCATATAAAGGTTGTTAAAATTGCAAAGCAAGATGTTAAAGATCATGCCTTACTTGTTCTACTACTGGGCTTGGTTGTAATACCTGTAAAACAGGTTATACAAGAATTGATTATTTATGTTATTCCATCTGTGGTGATTAAATTGTAACAGAAGATGAATAATGCGATGATGGAAACTTAATTTTAGGAGATGGTTGTCATTTTTGTTAATATAGCTGTTAGGATGAATGTCTTAATTGCATTAAAGGAATCTGTTATGATTGTTTAGATGGTTACAAATTGATATAATCTAAATGTTATCCTATTTGCGGAAATGGAATAATATAAAAAAATGAGTAATGTGAAATTCAAAATCAATTATAGACTTAAATAAATTGCAAATCTTGTAAGCTTTCTTGTGATATGAACTGTGTTTTATGTTTATATGGAATTTGTTAACAATGCATTGATGGTTATGAGTTATCTTTGAATTAACTATAATGCTATAAATCTCTATAAAATACAAATTTTGCCTTGGAAAACTGTCTGATCTAAATTAGAAATTCTTGTTATAAATGTTAAGATTATGCATACTATGATTAAGTAGAATAAAAATGCAAATCAAAAGAATCCACTATGAGTTTTTGCTAATATTATCTTAAAATATAACCTGAAATTTATTGCAATCAATGCTTTGAATACTGCTCATTATGTAATAATAATACATGTGTTGATTGTCAAACAGGTTACTATTTAGATGAAAACTAACAATGTAATTCTTTTTGTGGTGATGGCATACTTTCACATGATGAATAATGCGAAATAAATGATTAAAATTGCTTGAGTTGCATGCTTGAAGCTCCACAACTATGTGAATTATAGTTTTAAAATCTTTGCTTTTAATGTGAATATGGATATTATTATAATTATTATTCAAATCTATGTGAATCTAAATGTGGAGATGGAATAATAACTCACGATGAAGATTGCGAAGATAACAATTATTAAGATTTTGATGGTTGTTATCAATGTAAATATTCATGCAGTTAATAATGTATTAATTGTTTAAAGGGCGTATGCTAAGAATGTGAATTAGGTTTCTTTCTTTACGAAGGATTTTGTTTTAACGGAGATAAAGTTAATGAATGTAGTATGGAATGTAAAATATGTCAATAAGCTCAATGCTTACTTTGTGAAAAAGAATATAAATTCAATGAATATGGTGATTGTGTACCTGGTTGTTAAGAAGGATGCATAAATTGTAGTTATTCTTAATGCTTACAATGTGGAATGGAATATTATTTATATGATAACAAATGCATTCTAATAGAATAATGCTCAGTAGGGTTGTACTTAAATTTAGAATTATTAATCTGTGAATCTTAGTGTGGTGATGGATTTATAAAGGGTTGGGAAGAATGTGATGATTAGAATAGTTAATAATTTGATGGTTGTTATTCCTGTAAATATGAATGCTTTGAAAATTGTATTTAATGTATATAAGGAGAATGCTTATAGTGTTCTACAGAGTTTAATTTAATTGAAAATTAATGTTTATCTAAATGTTAAGAATCTTGCCTTAATTGTGTCGAAGGAGTATGTTAATTATGCTCTAGTGGATATTATCTAAACGAATATTATAAATGTACAAAAATAGATTGTGAATATGATTTTAGTTGCACTTAAGAATGTGGAAATGGTATAATTGAAGCTTAGGAGTAATGTGATGATCAAAATTTCATAAATGGAGATAGTTGTAATAACTATTGTGAATTAACATGCGATCCTAATTGTATTAGTTGTGTAGATGGGATTTGCTTATAATGTGCAGAAGGATGGATATTCAATCTATTCTTCTGTAAACCTATTTGTGGTGATTCAATCATGGTAGGAAATGAAGAATGTGATGACGGAAATTCCATCAGTTTTGATGGATGTTTTTAGTGTTAATTCTAATGTATTAAATTTTGTGAGGATTGCTAATAAGGGGTATGTTAATCATGTCAAACTAATTTTGAATTAGATTTATCAAATAATTCATGTAAGCCTATTTAGAATTAAGTTTTAACTTACACATAGCCTGATTGTAAACAATATAATAACGACTAATGCATATAATGTTAAGCTGGATATCTTGATTTGATAACAAATGTTTGTATAATTAATTATAGTATGAATAAATGCACTAAAAATTGTAAATATTGTGTACATGAAAAATGTTTAGAATGTGAATAAGGATACTATGGTAACAGATGTACTCCTAAATGTGGAGATGGCTTAATAGTTAAAGAAGAAGAATGTGATGACGGAAGTTCATATTAATTAGATTCTTGTTTAAATTGTAAATATTAATGTCCTGAATATTGTAGTAAATGTGCTTATGGTGTATGTACACAATGTTATTAAGGTTTTTATTTGGATATTGTTAGTAATTCTTGTAATTCTATTTGTGGTGATAAAATATTGGCAAATGATGAAGTTTGTGATGATGGTAATGAATTGAGATATGATGGATGTTTTGAATGCAAATTTTAATTTTAAATGGAATGTTTAGATTGTTAATTTGGTAAGTGTAACTTATGTGAACCACCATTATTTTTAGTTTAATCTCAAAGTATTTGCGAACAATTAAAATAATGTGAAGATTTGACTGGATTATATTATGATATCTTAAAAAATGATTGCTTACCTTAGTGTGGTGATGGTATTACTGCAAGTACTGAATAATGTGATGATGAAAATTAAATAAAATATGATGGATGCTTTGATTGCTAATATTAATGCCATGAAATGTGTAATAATTGTTAAGAGGGAAATTGTATGTAATGTAATTCTAATTATTTATTAATTGATAATAAATGTATTGTTAATCAAGTAGAAAAATAAGAGGAACCCTTATTTAATAATGAACAAGAAAAAGTAAAAGATGAAAATTATACATCCATTCAGAATGATTAAGATTCTAATAACTTTTTTGAATCTGTGTGTAGAAATGATGAATGTATATTTTCCCCTCAACCAAAAATGTAACTTGATTATAATTATTTTACTTTCAACATCTAGCATGTACTTATAAATTTCAATTAACAAGTTAGACTAATTAATTAACAGATCACAAAAATGGAATTATTTAATATTACTATACAGGATTTAGATATCAAAAATTATAATATCAAGCTTTAATCAATTTAAGATATTTCTTATGATTTAAAGTAAGCTTAATATGAAGTAGTTGTTGAAATATTGATACCTCTTTAAAATAAACCTAATCTTATAGTTTCATTAATTTAAGATGTAGTTAATTCAAATAATTAAACAATTAGCGATTTTTAGTAATCAATATAACTTCGATAGCCTTAAATTCTTTCACAAGATTTGAAAATATAATCAATTTAAACCTAAAAATCAAATATTGCATTTATTATTGGAACTATTTCAATTGGTTTTATCTCTTTATTATCTGGAGAAAGCTCAGTGTTTTTAGAAATACTTAATATCCTTCAATATTAATCCTTTTTTAGATATATTAATGTTGAATATCCAGAAAACCTTTACATTTATTTTTAAGCGTAAGAAATTCTATCAATCAATTCTTACTTAAAATTTGCGGAAGTGGATGGCTATTTAGATTTAATAACTCATAAAGGAAACAATACTATAGAATTAGAAGGAAAATTTTAAAAATATAATATAGAGGCTGATCTCTTCACTAATATTTTCCCATAGGCAATTTAATTTTTAGGATTAATACTATTAACTTCTATTTCAAAATCCATATATAATTTTATTTTTAAATAATTTTCTAGATGGAAGGTTATTCTTTGGTATCTCTCTGAACAAAAAAATTACTTTATTCATTTGTATACTTTACTTTTTTAATTCGAAAATAGTATTAAGCAATTAATTTACATAAGATTTATCAATAGCAACAATTTATTAAGCTCCATTATATATATGAACTCATGGGACTTAATCTATTCAGTCATTCTATAGATTAAATATAATAAAATCAATAAATTTAGAGATGTACTTTCTACTGCTTTCGCTTACATAGTATTGTTCTATTATTTAATATATATATTATAATCTTTAAAGTAATGTTATAATAAAAAGCACAAAAATAGATCAGAAATATCCTAAATAAAATTTTAAAATTTAGAAATATTTAGAACTATATTTTTTCATATTATATTAATTCTTTTTCAGAAGTAGTAAATCTTACAATGTCTATTGCTATTTATCACAAGCTTAAACTAAATTTATTTGATTTATTAATACAAGTAATGTTCAAAAATCGATAAAATAATATCTTTATTAATTGAAGGGACACTATCTTTATTTACTTCAACATTGTTTGTTTATATTGATGTTACATAATAATATACATCCTATGATACTATATTGAAGGTTGGATTTATACATATGTATTTATTAATTACTAGTATTGCCATAGTATTCGTAAAAAATTTAATTTTAAAAATTTATTCAGTTTACAAACTCTTGAAACCTAAAAATAATTTTCAAAGAATTAGTAGAATATTATTTATTTGAAATTCATAGTTTATGTAATCCTATAGGAATAATTCATTATATTTATAATTTTAAAGATCTTGAAGAAATATTGATACTAATAATTAAATTTTCATCTCCTTATAATTAATAATTTGATCCTATGCATTCTTCTCTATAATAATTTAAATTCTTAAATTAAATAATTAAAATAACTTTGCTAGTCATCAAAATGACACAAATAAATCAACAATTAAGCATTTTTATTTATGATTGGTCTGCTGTGCCAAATCAAATTTTAACTAAATAAATAGATTTATTTTATTTACTGAAATTTACCATCTATGTATTATTTTTTATTGTTTTATGATTATATATAACCCAAAATAAAATTCTTTGGAAATTAGATTGGTTATGAAAATATTTAAAATAATTTCTTATAATTTTTAAATCATATAAATGAAATGAAAAAAATAGATTTTTTTTCAATATATAAATTATAATTTGTTACAATATAAACTAAGAATTGCGAGTATTTCTTTGAAGGTAATATGAATAATTTAAAATAATGCACATTGTATGATGATTATAAATTTTTTATAAAAATTGAGTTTCATTCATTAGGATGTTAATTTAATAAAAAAACAAACTAGTAAATTTGTTTGAGATCTTTTTATAAATTTAGAAGAAACAGGAATATCAATCAGTAGTTGATTTTCTTCAGGTAATATAAAAAATAATTAAGTGTGTATAATAATTTATATAAAAATTGACCATTAAAAAAATAACTTCTAATTTTTAGAAAAAATGAGAATTAATCTCAATATAATATAATACTATCCTTATTTCTAATATTATATAGTCTTTATTGAAAGCTTTGAAAGAAATAATCATTATTGAAAGCAAATAAATTTTTGACTGGCAATTTTAATTAATGGTAAATATAAGGTAAAATCATTTTAATTTAGCTCATAACTTAAAGTCATTTAGGGAACATTGCATTTAGCTCGAAATTTCCTAGTAATTATTTGAATTTTCTTTTTAATCTTTGTATTCTTGTATAATAAATGAGTTATTATCGTTAATTTCTAATAGCTCTTACATTAAGATTTTATAATCATCATTAGATGTGTAAATGATGATATATCTCTCTGGATATTGTTAAAGAACGAAATGTTTGTCTGTATTTTCCGAAATTTGAATAGAAGAATTATCTTTTACAGTTTTCTTTTCTGATTTAGGAGAGATTGTAACATTTCTAATAATTTCAGATTAGCAAACCGAGAACATCGATTTACAGGAACAAGATGTACCCATTTTTTAATAATATTATTTAAATAAATTCAAATATAAATAATGAACTCTTTTTCTTAACTTTTTATATTTAGGGTTTTAAGGAAAAGAATTTTAAATTTAAGCACTTTTTATCGTATTTAATTTATTGATCATCAATTAAAATAGAAATTAAATAATACTAGTGGATTGATTCATCATAATAATCAAGGGCTGCTGTTTAAAATTTTAAAATGATAGAAGTGTCATGTCTTTTATTAGCAATCTACTTGGCTTATTAAAATTGACAAATACTAACGATGAATTTAAATAAGAACTTTGAAGTCTGACAAATTTTTAACAATTACAGTAAATTTTGAGTGTATAGAAATGAATTTCGAGGTAAAAATTAGAGCTAAACATAAGAGATAATACTTTAAGGCTCCAAAAAATACGATATATAAATTTATTTTGAGCAATTCTAAAAAATAAAGCTATACACATCATTAGAGCAATAATTCAAATATTTAGCATTTCTTATATGTAAAACTACAATGTTCAAGAATTTAGAACAAGCTTTTTTGCTCTAAGTGATATATATTTAGATTAAAATTTATTGAATGTATGTTTAAATCGTACAGTTTTATATTTAAATTTATTTACAACTTTTAGACCAATAGTTAAAAGATCTTTTAGAAAGAAACACTATTAAAACTTACTAAAATATTGAAAAAAAAGTATATATTAATAGAATATTTAAAATATGAATGACATTAAATTCTCAATAATGAATTTGATTTTTTTGTAGAAGATCACTTACTAAAGAATAATTTAGATATGTATATATTAGCAATAATTGCAAGAATTTATTTTTATATATTTAAACTAGTAAAGAATAAAATTTTAATAAAATTTTTAAATTATAGCGAATGATATATATCTACAATAATTTAAAACTGATAATCAATCCCATAATTTAAGTACTCCATCCCATCCACAAGTAACAACTTTACTTGGTTCAATAGGATGCCATTCAACTCCTATACAAACATTGTCATGAGCCTAGTTATGTAAATTATGATAATTACTTATATAGTTCTATAACTTTTAGCAGTTTTCCAGTCCCAAAAGAAGACTCGACCTTCTGAATCCCCTGAAGCTAAAAACTATCCATCGGCTGAAAATGTTACACCACAGGCATACCCTGCAGAAACATGACCTTTAAAATTCTTCTTCCTATTCATTCTAAAATTTCCTGCTTTTGTATCATAAACAGTAATCTACATAATAAATTCTAATATTTTACTAAATTATTGCTTTATTATCCAACCCAATTGAGTCCTGATGGATTAACCGCAGTAGCAGTTACTGCATGCATTTCAGGATCACTAATATGTTTTATTACTACAGGAATACCAAATTCCCAAATGAAAAGTTTCTTATCATCTGAACTTGAGACAAATTTTCTATTTTAATTAAAATATGTTATTGTGTTGATAGCTTATAAATGTTCATCGTAAACTAATGTTTATTGACCACTTCGAATATCAAACTATTTTATTCTTTTGTCTGATGATCCTAAGAGAAAAGAATGTTACTTTGCTGGATCTGGATTCAGTCTTACACAATAAGGAAAATGTTATAAATTTATTGTTTAAGTGACTTTCCCATATTCAGTATCCCAAACTAAAATCTTTTTATCATAGGCTGCAGACAAAAATGTTCTGCCATCATTTGAAAAATTTAAATCTCTTAATGCTCCTTAATGACCATAATATGTTCTAACACATTATTTATTACCTATTATATCCCACATCTTTATTTTGTTATCTAAACTACCACTTAACATCAAATGACCAAATTTTGGAAAAAATTTACACACTTGGACTCCCTTTGTGTGTCCATGAAATGTTTATATACATCTTTTAGGTATATAACATGTATGATCAACATATTTTAATTCAGGAGGAGGAGCAATAAATTGTCTTCCTCCAAATTGTTCTGCTTAACTTACATGTTATTCCATATAAGGAACAAAATTTTCTTCTTGTTTTTTTGATTCATCAATTTTTTATTTCCTTTATTCTTCTAATTAATCTAACAATTGCTGCTATTCTTAATTCATTTGAATATTTTCAAACTATTCATCTTATTATCCTGCCCAAGGTCCCATAAACTCTCCTTTTGATGGATCATTTGCTTTTACTCGATTTAATTTTAATTCTTATTGTCGTATTTTATCTTCTTTGTGCATACCAGCTAATACATTTTTGCTAAAAAGTGGATCTGATGCATCTACATCATAACCTTCTTTCATTAAACTAGATAATTGCTCTTATTTTTAATTGCATGCTATCACTCTTTTATTTCTTTCTAATTTAAATCGATCATTTTACCATTTGGATCTACAGCAAATCCATAGACATTAAATTTATGAAATTATTCTTCAAAAACAGCATCATTGTAGTATACTGATTCGACATTTCCTGTTAAATGATTTTTTTTTTAACCCAAAAAATTATATGTCTTTGATAATTCAAGAGCTTTTTCTTCCTCTTTTTTCTTGACTAAATGTGAGCAATCAACCTCAGGATTAACTAATATTGATTTAGGTTTATTATTTATGATATCTTGCTCATCATCGCTATAATCCACTAACATTATTAAATTATTTAATTAATTATCTTCTATCTTTATGATAAATTAATAAGTAAACTTTACAAAAACAGAACCAGTATAAAATAATTATGATTAAATGAGAGGTAGTGTGTATGTCAATTATAGGTCCATTTTAATATTCGCCATTTACTATAGACCATCCAGGATAACCTGATGATGATAACTCTGTTAAAGACCCAACTGTAAAGACAATAGATCGTTTTAAATTGTGTTTATCACCCTTCAATGCTAATAATGAGGTTTCCTTCTTATTTTCATTACTTAGATTTCAAATGAAGGGATATCCTTCATCTAAGAAGGAAGCAGCTTTCAATTACTGGCATTCACCTAAAAAAGTCAAGAGACTACTAAAGGTTTTTAAAACAAGAAGAAACTCAAAACCAAATTTGCATAACTTCTCAAAGACAAAATCAAAGTTAATGATAAAGTAAAGAAATATTCTTATATTTTTGACTTGGGATAATCAGATGACATACCATCATGTATAATAATCTCAATATTTTGAAAGTTGTCTTGTAACCCACCTCAAAATTGAGCAAATATTGGAGTCTTTTTTACTTATAGATAATGATATTTTAGATTGTTGTCATTCCTTTAAATATATCACAAATTTTTGTGGCATTTTTCATCCTCAAACTCATAGATGTAATTTTAAACTCTATTTCAACCTTTGCCATTAATGGTGAGATTGAAACTCGATTCATATCAATTGTATATAATTACTGTAAAAAATAATTGATGTTTGATCTAGTAAATAATTTATATATTTAACTTCATAGATATTTCTTGCTACCATTACATGTTAATAGAACTGTTGGACTACAATTGTAAATCTGCTTAGCACTATCCCAAGACTAAATAAAATTTAAAAGCAAATATAATTGTAAATATTTATGTATAAATAATAGTGAATATAATATTTTTAATTCTTTCTCGCTTTTAGTTATTTTAATTATAAAAACGATATTACTGGTTCACACTCTTACTTGTTTATGGTTATATAATCTGCTGCTTGATAATTAGGAGGCTTTATTATAATAGTATTTACATTCCTTATACTATGTAATCAGCATCATGACCTTTAACTCTTTATTAATAGAAGTTGATGATTATAACAATATAATTGCTTATAGTGTCATTACATTTATTTCTCTTATTTTCTTTGCTTACTTCATAGCGAAAATGCTTTCAATTTTCAAAGATGATGTTTTAGATTCATAATTAAGTTAATTTATGTATCAAAACAATTTAGATTCAACTCTTAAACAAAAAATTATGAGTCATTTACTTTATCAACCTAAATACTTTCATGATATGTTTATATCTTAATTATCTAGTAATTTAAATTAAGAATATAAGATCAGTCAAAGAGCCAAATTATTAAAATAATATTTTAAACACTTCAATTAAACAACAATATCTTAAGTTATTAATTTTAGTTAAGAAATTGTATGTTAACCTAATTAAACAATTATTTAAGAAGGAGTATTAGATGATTGTTCATTATATTTTATCCTAGAAGGGTCTGTGTGTTTGAAATCTAGGAATAATATTAAATTATAAATACTTTAATAAAATAATTCATTTGGTGAGATTGCCTTTTATACATAAAAACCAAGGAATTTTACTATCTAAAGTGAAGGGGTTACTAGACTTTTGAAAGTATAACGTTCAACATTTTTATAATTTTTGAGTTTCAATGATAAAGTAATGTATATAATGATTATATATTTTAGTAAATATTTTATGAATAGAGAGACAAAATATTATTTAATTTAGGATTGCCAATAAAATGTGCATGCTGTTTAAGTGAAGATCACATTATTACAAGATGTCCTCTGCTGACATATAAACCAAATAAAAGTTTAATTTTAAAAAGATTTATATTTCCACATAAGTAAATTAGAAAAGAATGTATTATCAATATGTATTATAATTAGATAAAAGAAGAATCTCAAAAGACATGCTCGCATTAAATTTTTATTAATGTGCATCCTAATATGAGGTGCCATTTTTAAAATTATTTTCAGATTAATAACATTTATAATCACTTAGCCAATCTTAATTACCTTATGATGATATGGCTAATCGAGACTCATATGTAAGTGCTAGAAGCTTAACAAAATTTAGTAGAGATAGATCTGTTGTTAAATCAACTTCTTTTATGAAATAATAATCAGGCTATGAATAATAATCAATGCCCAATTATACCGAAAATATATTGTATTCATAAACATCATTAAAAGCTCTAATTTAGATTAAGAAAACGAATTTCAAATAATAAATAAAAGTTAAGATAAAAAATATGATGAAATGGCATCCTTAATCAGAGCTGATCATTAAAAAAGAACATTTGCTACTGCTGGATTTGGATCTTCAAGTTTAGCTGCCTCAAATAAAGATTTAAATTAAAATCAAAAGTCTTTGAATATTATTTTGGAACATGAAGATTCTGATAGTATCTCAGAACCAAAATCAAAATCAGTAGAAGAAGAAAATGTTGTAGATTCTCCATAAGAGAAATTTGCAAGAAAGAATAATGATCCTAAATTAACATTCAATTACAACTTTGAAACCTAGATGAATGAACTTCAAAAATAAAATTAAAACCATCCTCGATTGTCTCGTCTAGGATCTGGTTCCATTAGATAATAAAGTTCAAAGAATAGTACATATAAGTATCCTGATGTAATAAGTTAACGTTAAAATTCTTCCAGATCATAAACTTATAGTCCAATCCCTTCTAATAATTAATTAAAATAAGGAATGTCATCTTCTAAATAGAATAGAAAGTCTACTTTTTCATCTCCATAAAAATTAATTTAATAAGCTCGTTAAGTTGAGATTACTAATCTTGAAGATAGCAGAAGCTAATAATAAAGACCTTCATTTAGAAAGGTCTCTACAAAAACTGGAACAAAGATTTCAATTCTTCCCTCTTGTTTCTAACCATTTAGCAATGTGGATGTATTCATATATAGTTTATTAAGTTGCCTCTTTATGCTAATAGTTCTTTTGGAATAAATAATTTTGATGCTATGTGTTCATTTGATCACTATTTGCCTCACAATAATTATGAAATTACAATTTATAAGTATTATTTTTTTAATTTCTACAAGGGCTAATAAATTAAGAAACAATTAAAAAATTAATATTTCAAAGTACTAAACCGACTATCATCTATCCAATATGATTTATTTATTAAAATAAAAAAGATTGAAAACGATTAAAACTTTTACAAGTCAAAAGAAATTATAGTGATCATAATTTAAAAGATAATTATTAAATTAAGAAATTTTAATAAAATTCAAAGTTATTTAAATTCTTTACTTCTCTTTAATTGAAAAAATTTATTGATTTAGAGAAATCCCAAAGCACTTTTTGTTGAATTTAATAAAAGCTAAATATATTTAATTAATATGAAACCCAACTCAAATTAATCTTTAAATTTTCAAACTAATTATAAATGATTATTTATTTATCATCAATTTTTCTTTGTTTACTTTTAAATCCTAGTATGGGCTGTAATGTTCAGAAATAAAAGAATTAATCAAATAAACACCATCAACCTTCATAAGAGATATTAGAAATAGAAAGAATCAATCATTAAAATGAAACTTAGACTCATGGGTAAAAGACTGATATAAAGGAAACAGAAAACTTAATTTCACAATAATCATAAATTGGTAAAAGACTTAAACACATGGCTAGTGGTGAGGAACTTCATAAATTTATCAATAAAAGACACAGCAACCCATAGAGCTCCTTTGGATATATTAAAAACTCCCCAGATTAAAGAAAAAAGTAGTCCTTGATGAACAGTCCTAAACTATGAATTTTATTTTTTTCTTGTATTTTTGATTCTAAACTACATGTATAATTTTGATATATCATATAGAAAAAGAATAGAAATCAATTTTCTCAGGTACAAGACTCAATAGTCTGATTTCTTCTTAAGCGACTGTGTTCCTATTTCTGTTTAAAGAACAATTGTAGATAATGTCATCTCTGGTTTTTAATTACTCATTCTTGAATTTTCTGTAAATTTATATTAGATATTACATAGTGATGATAGATCATTTTTTGAAGAGGTAAAACTAGTTCTTATTTAACATTAATATTGGTTTAAGTGTTTGAGAATATTTTATTAAATTTCTAGCAATTCAGTTGATTATTTTGAAGTCTTTTTTATATTCTCACATTATATTTGCTAAAGTCCATTTTATTTTGTTGAATTACATCCCATAGTAATATCAATATTAAATTAAATAATAAAATATATAAAAATTCATTAAAGCAATCATCAATATTACTTTATTGAAAATCTTAATTTTATATTGTTAATAAAGCTTTGTACTAAGCATTTCAAATTTATTTATATTAATTTAAAAGATTTTTAGTCTTATGGGTTGTGCTGCTACTAAATAATCAAAAAAGCCTGCTTCAGATTCTTTTGAGGCTCATATTCAATAGTCCAAGTTAAAAAGTGAAGATTCAAAGGCTGAACTTAAAATATTTAAAATCAATAAAAATCCAATTTTATAAAGAAGAGCCAGCTAAAAAAGCCCTCTAACTAATGCTGGATCCTTTCTTAGTAGAAATAGTTGAATGATTTATTTGTTTTTTGATTTATATCCATATAAAATTAGATAATCCTTTTAAAATATTACATTTTATAAAACAACTACATCATTAATGACCCTAATTTAAATACAACAGAACCCATCGTTTTATAATAAGAAGATGCAGTAATATATAATTATATCCTGTATGAATTTCTTCTTCACTATAATATAATTTATAAAAATATTTATTCTAAGTTTTCAAGAAGAAAATAAGTCTTAGAATAAGAATTATCTTATTTTGATAAACTAAAAGGGCAAAGCAATATTTTTAACTCTAAAAATTCAGATTAAATATTTTTTATTGCGAAATTTTTCGAAAAAATCATTTCTCTATTAATTAGAGATTTCTCCACTTATTTTATAAATAATTTATATATATATATTATCTCGTATATTAAAGTAAATTCTAAATTGAAGAATAATTAGGAATAAAACCTAATTCAACTCATTTATACATATATTAATAATTAATAATCTTTTTTTTGCATATGGGCTGCGTTAGTTAGAAATAAAGTCCAATCTAACAGCAAAATAAATTTAGATTTCACAGTTCATCTTTTTCCAACATAAATCAGAATAAAAAAGTAACTATTGAATGCTCAAACACAACAGACAATAATAAACCAATTTTATAGTATAGATCAATTGATATTACCAATGATGAGGAGTTTATTTTGAAAAGGGATAAGAAATTTATTACTTCAGATAAGGAATCACCTACAACTACACCAAAATTTAATTAATAGAATCCAGTGTGTTTTGGACAAAGAAAAAATATAAAATTGATGTGAAACCACTGGGTTTATTTGAAAATTCATGATTTTTTTATTGAATATAATAATTTTGTTAACAATCATTAACTTACAAGATTCTCAATATAATATATATATTTTTGAAAAATTAAAAAAGTATTCAAGAGTATTATCTGTTATATACAATATTTTTTTTATTATTATTATTCTAATTAATAAAAGCAAATACATTTTCAAATATATCTTTATCAAAAAATACATTAGAAAAAATTAATTAAGATAAAAATTTATTTTATATAAAGATAATTTATAAGAGATGTTAACTTTAAGCTAATCATCTTGTGATACATAATTTTAAAATGTATTTAAATATAATAAGAAAATTGTTGAGAATATAAAGAAAATGTAATGAATTTTTATAATACATTTTATTTTAATTAATTATCGAACATAATTATGAGAACTACTCCTAAAAGTTTAAAAGAAACAGCTTCGAAGTTGTCTTCTTAGGATTATAAAAAATAACAATCTCAACCAGTATTTAATTTTAATTATTTTTGAGACTGTAAGTATACCAGAATCTAGTTACTTGTTTCATATACCATAGAAATATTGTCAACAGAGATTCAAACCTTAAGCTGTTATTTCAAAATCTATAGAAGAGAAGAGATAGAGGGGGAATAGGAACAATTTATCAGAAATAAACAATAGAACAAACAGTAGTTCTAAAAGTCGTATATCTGGATTTGCAAGCAATCAAATAGAAGAGGAATCATTATATATTTCATAAAATGCTTTGAAATTAAAGAAAATGATAGGAGATTCATAAGCTTTGAATAAAAATTTTTACATGTAGAATTTAATAAAAACAAATATTTAGTTCTAAATCTAATTTGACTAGTGATTCAAATAGTCCTGTTGCAAGATAGAATAAATCAATTAATAAAAAATAGACAGATTTTGAAATAGCTTAAATAAATATGTTAAGAGAAAAAACTTTAATGTAAAAGAAGGCTTATTAACTTTAATTAAATTAATCGAAAGGATTAATGGATTAGTTAGAGAATTTAGATAAATAAATACAAGGAACAGTTTAAGAACAATAAAAAAAAATGCTTTAATTGAAATTTAGAGGTTAATTGGAACCATATAAAGATATATTTATAAAGCAATTTGCTAGAACATCATTGTAATATAAGTCTTCTTTGAATTATTTGTAAATATAAATAAAAGAGATTGAATAAAAATGGTAAGATGTAACAATGAACATTACAAATAATTTATTTGAATTGATATAGAATTCAGCCGTTTTGATGTCATACGAGTAGGATTTAAAATAAAATGAATTGATAGAACAGATGAGAAGGGAAAGAGATATTTGGTAAAATAATTATAAATCCTTGGAACAAGAGAGAGATATTTTGTTAGAGACAGTATCTTAATTAAAATAAACATTAGAGGAGATGAAACCTTAAAATTAATAAGAAAAAAATGAGAAAGGTTTAGAATCTTTGGAAACATATAAATTGAAAGAGATGGCAACAATAATGTAACAAAAAATAAAAGAAATGTCAGATAAGGAATCTAAATTAATAAAATTAGTATTAGCAGTAAAAAGATCAGGAGTAGATGTAGAAAAATTATATAATGAGGAAATTTTGAATGATGATTCGACATCAGAATAGTAGATTTAATCTAAGAGGGATAGAAAGTAAATAAAAATATTGAGTATTAGATAATAAAATAGTATATTAGAAAAGAGTTTGAATGATGCAGATAATTCTGTAGTAAATGACTCTGATGAATCAAGTTTTCAATATAATGGAAGATTGGATGATGAGAGTATAATTGAGAGTATACGTAGATTTGAGAATAGAAATTAAAATAATAATTATGCAATAGAAAGTAAAGGTTCTGTAAGGATGAAGATAGATTTATCAAAATGCAATTAAAATTAATAATAAATGTAATAGTTATAGTAGTTATAAAAACTATAATTAGCTAAAAAGCAATAATAATATCAATAATAGAATATAAAATAGATGAAAACATCAGAGTAGGATATTGTAGGATTTAATTAAGATTAAATATTGAAAATAAACGAGTTTTCATAAAGTTAGAGAGTCTAGATGTTAAAAGATGAGAAAAGAATAAAACCTTGATTTAATATATATAATTATTAGTTATTATGAGTAATAAGATTCAAGGGAATATATAAATAAGTAATTCAAAATTGTTCATAAACTATGATATAAGCTCCCTTGTCTGAGAGATGTAGATTATTTTTATCTTTGGTGACAATACTATCATCAAAATGAAACCATTAATTTTATCTTTAAGAATAAGAAATATAATGTCCTCCATTTAATTAACCAATATGTGAGATTACACTCTTCAAAGAGTATTTTGTATATTAAACATCTTCTGCACAAAATCTAAAATTAATTAAATTAAATACTATTTAATATCTAACATTTCTGGATATGTAACTTCATCAGTAATTTTTTGACTCTTTGGTAATTAAGTAAAACGTTTGAGATGAAGAATTAAATATTTTGGAGTCTAAGTTATTTAAATCTTTCTTAAAACAGATTTATTAACAAATTAACATTTATCACATTTCCAAGAATCATTAATCTACTCTTCTTTAAAGTAATTCTATAAACAATCATATAATTTTAATTCTCTAGGAACATATTATTTTGATAAAGGAAGATTCAAATCTAAAATTGGATCAAATCCTTCACTAATTTCTTTACATTTTTAACAATGAGATTTACTAGCTATTTAACCAGCAAATAGATCAGTTATTATATCAGGATTTCTACTCTTATATACATCCCAAGCTTCTTAGGCATTTGCAAATTCTTCTTTTTCATACTTTTTTTTTCCCACTAATTCTTCTTATATTTCAGATAAAAGATACAATAAGAATTCATGAGCATCTTATTATTAAGAATACTTAAATTTATTAAGACACATATTTTATAATTTCTCTACAGATATAGATGATCCTGAAATGGAATTCTGTACTACCTTTAAAAAATCTTAATAAGCCATTGTGAATTTCTTATTTTATTATTTTTATTATCTTAATAAAGAATTACTTAATTCTTTTATACTCAAAAGACATTATAAAGCTGAATTCATGTAACAATAATATTTTGGATTTTGTAATCCTACATATGGTAATTCATAAGGTTTAGGTTAAATTTTTATTGAATTAGTTTTTTAAGAAATTTATCTTCCATCAGTGGTTCTATTTGTAGATTTATCTGAATCCTCTAAAGAATTTATTTCTATATATGGTTCTATATATATCTTAGAAGGATTAGCTGTATGAGATGTAATGTTAGTTTAACCATCATTAAAAAAAATATCTGGTGAATTTATTACATTCTCTAATTCAATAAATATTGTAGGTCCTCCTCCATATAATAAATTTATTAATGTCCATGATCTCTCATTTAAAAGAACATAATGTCTATCTGGTTATATACCTGGTAGAAGTTAAGAATCCTTTTCTGATTTTATTATAACTAATTCTTTTTAAGCATTCTCCTCAGTCAATAATTTACCATTATTAATTGCTTTTGGTACTTCAGAATTTCTTCTTTCCAAAAATATAGTGTAATTTATAGCCCATTTATATTCAACAAAGTATGTTGTTGGTAAATCCTCTTCAATTAAAGAAGTTACGAACGATTTCTCAACATCAATACTAAAGATCTTTTTAATATACCATACCTTAAGTTAAGCTTTCCTTCATTTCTATATGCTTTGATTCTGCTAACTATGTTTTAAATCTCTTAAAGCTTTCTGTCTCTTTAATCCAATTTCATAATCGGCTATTTATTTATAATCTCTTAAACTGGCTTCTTTAAAATTTACTCTTCACCTTTACTATTCTTTATTAATTCACCATCAGAACTAACACCTGTTGATTCAATTTTTTAAGGCCTACAACATTTACATTTAATATACTTATCTTTCTTTGGCTTATTATTGCAGCAAATAAACATTAATTTTTTTAATATACTATTAAATTTTTAAATCAATTAAAAATTCAGTTGTTAATCTTTATCGATAAACCAAAAACATTCCAAACATTTTTAACATTTCTTATTATCATTATTTTGAAAACTGAATTTTTGAAAAATTAATATATTTCTATTTTTGTTATTTTAATTTAAATCCATATTTTTATAATATGTATACAAAACCTATATAAAATATAATTATTTGTTATATACTCACAATTTTTTAATGTTACCAGAAACAAATAATGAAAATTAATCCATAGAAATATATGAAGAATTTCCAGGATCTAAATCATTCTCTATTTTAGGACTATTAACTCTATCATTACTTTATGCTAAAATGACTGTACATTTTTATGTTAAATGGACTATCATTTTAAGTCATATGATTTTCTTTTTTACTTATAAGTTTTTAAAGAGCATTTACAATATAAGTTAATAATCTTGTAAAAATAACAATTAAAGTTATAAATAAAGAAAAATCATTATGTTATGGAATTTATGCTAATTATTGATTACAGCACCTTTAGCAGTGTCTACATTTTATTTGGGAGATTTAATAGAAAAGGCTATTTAATAATAAGATATTTCAGAACCTTTAACTCATTTATTTGCTTGTTTTGCATTCACATTATTAGTATATTTACTATATTCATGAAGTTCATAAAAAGAAACATAATAAAATTAATCAAATAATAAAAGTATTTTATTGAACTTTGTATTATCAATGTTTGGAAACTCAGTAAGTTTTTGTTCAGGAGGAGTTTGTAATTCATTTTATATTTCAACACTCTCTGCATTTTTTTCAGCCTTTGGAATTCCAATAACTTAATATTTACATTATTTAAATTATCTATGTATTATTTTATTAGCATTTTCTTTACTATCTTTATATTCAGTTAAAGAATCAATAATTTATGCCCCATTCTTAATTACTTTAATAGGTTCAAGTTTAATTGTAAATGATATGTTTTTTTACAAATTACCATATGCAATTTGGATTGGGAATGGTATGATAATTGGATCAGCCTTTTGGAATTCAAGATTAAATTAATTCAGTTTCTTCAAAAGAAAAAAATGATAATTGTTGTTTTTCAATTTATTTCTTATATTATTTTGATATATTAATAATAATAATAATAAGAATCTCATAAAATTATATTTAATGGCAAGAAAAAATAATAAATAAAAAAAGAAAGCTTAACATGAATTCATGTTATAAAAGGAATAGGAATAATAGTAAAAGAAAGAATTGAAATAATAGAAAAAAATAGAGAAGGAAGAGAATAAATGGATAGATGATTTAGATGATTTAGAAATAGATTCTGAAGAACATGTTTTTGGTTTGAAAAAGAAAATAAAAAAAGATAAAAAGAATAAGAAAACAAAAAAAGAAGTATGAAAAAATAAAATACTTAAATTTTAGAAAAAAATAATAAAAAAACCAGAAAGTAGAGTTGATGCTGCTCGTAGAAAAAAGAGGGAAAGAAAATAAAGAAAACATCCAGTTAGTTATTCTAAAGATATTGAAATGTGATAATAATAATTGTAATAATTACATATTAATTAATTATCATTCATTTTTTCATTACTTCTAATTTCCATAATAAGTGATCACTTATTGATATTCTTGTATTATTTTCTACTAACATATCCCAATCTGATTTCTTTTCATTTATATATGGTACCCATATCCTTCCTTTCAATGGTTCATTTGGATTATCAATTTCTATTCCTAGTACTTTTAGTATTCTAAGTAGTACCATCTAATTTTTATATGTAATAGTGAAACCGATCATCAGCAGAATCATAAACTGATATAAAATTACCATCACATTTATCTGATACTTTCTCACTAAAACATATTCCATTCATAACATTCATTATAAGATCACTCTTTTATTTCTCATCAAAATATTTATATTGTTTCTCTGTTCTATTATCAGGATGTAGAATACGAATTACAAAACCTTATTTCATGTCTTCCAACTTTTTATTGTACAAAACATTACTTTTTTATTTCCATTTGATTTTACGCATCCCATTTATTTTAATGTTATAAATCGAAATTATTTGTTTTGGATTAGCTGTTGAAGTTCAAAGACTATAAGATCTTACTTAATAACTTAAATAAGACATTCATCAAGCTAATCAACTCAATAAAACTCATCTCAATACAATTGATTAAAATAATCTTGATATCCAACATCTTACTAGAAAACTTGATCTCCTTAATAGAAGTAAAAATCAAATCGAATAAGATTATAATCAGATTTTAATCTAACATGATTACCTTATTGATATTATCTCATAAATTACAGGAGATGAATTAACTTTAGAAGAATTGACTGAATTAATTGAAGAACTTAAAAAAAGATCTCTTAAATATGATCAATTCTTATAACTACTAAATGGATAAGAATTTAGTGACATTATATCTAAATCTCAGCAATTTCTTATTCAATATTAAATCAATCAAGAATTAAAGGATTAATTACAATAATTACAATAATATCCTTAAATTGTTATTTGTCTTAATTAAGATATACAAAAACTAAAGCATGAAATTTTAAATCTAAAATTATTAATTAATCAGTTAACACAATAAAATAAATAATTACAAGACTTAATTCATCAATCAAAATCTATACAAGATTAACGTTTAAATTCTGATTTATAATCTGATTTTAATTTACTTTCTACATCATAACCTATTTAATAAGAATCAATACAAAAATAGATTATTGAATTAGAAAATAAATTAAATTCGGCAGAGCAACAAAATAAATCTTTAAAAGATGAAATTTCATCCATCTTAAATCTTAAAATATAAATGGAAGCCAAACTAAGAAATTCAATTTTAGATTAAAATAAACTCTTAAATGAAAAAGAAAAACTAACTAAAGAAACTTTCTAATTAGTTAATTAATCAAACAACTTTAAAACAGAACTATAAAATAAATAAGAAACCAATGTAGAATTAACCAATTAAATTTCTTTATTATAAACTTAAATCAAAAATAAAGAAAATTAATTTGAAAACTTATTAAAATAAAATAAAGATTCAGAAAATAAAAAATAACTAGAAATTAATAATTTGAATTAACAATTATAAAAAAAAACTATAGAAATTAATTAACTTAATCTGCAAATTTAATTATTCAATGATGAAACTAAAAAACTTAACGAAGAACTTTAAAATTCAATAAAAGTTAACAAAAATACTAAATAATTCTCTCAATAAATTGAAATTATTCAAGATAAATAATTATCAAATAAAAACATTATGTAAATGTAAGATACTTAATTATAACTATTATAAAAGTAATCAATTAATGATAAAAATGATTTAGAAAATTCCTATATATAAATTATTGAATAATAAAATTAAGAAAATTCTAAGCTTAAATTTGAAATTGATCAATTAAAAAATAATATTTAATAATTAGAAGATTAAATAATTGAATTTTAAGTTGAATCAAAAGAGAGTAAAGATCTTTTGGATGCTAAAAATATAGAAATTGATAAACTAGTTGTTTTCAATAAAAAGATTTAAGAGTCTAATCAAAAACATTTTTTATAAAATTAGGAACTAGAATAATAAATACGATAACTATAGTTTAAGTTTAGCTCTTTTTAAAAATTTAATACAGAAAATTCTAGATCATCTGATTATTTTAAATCCACAATTATAGATAAAATTAAATCAGAAAACTAATAATTTTAATAAGATATTTATAAATTAAACTTATTAAATCAAGAATTGATAGAGCAAATAACATCAATGAAATTTGAGATAAATAATTACTAAATACAAATCACAAAATTGACTATGCAGATTGAAAATGCTCAATTTAAGTTTTAGGAAGAATCTTAATAAGAAATTAATTACTATAAATAACAACATTAATTAATAATTACCTAAATTAATGACCTTCAAGGAATTATTGTAAAATAATAATAAAAATTATCAGAATAAGATAATGAAATCCAAAAGTTTTAAAATGATGATAAAATGTATGAGAAAAAATTCAAGGCCTAAGAAAATGAAATAGATGAATAAGAGTTTTTCATAAGATAATTATAGTAAGAACTGAATTAATTAAGTAGTGACTTAACAAAAATAGAAGATAAATTAGAAATTGTTCAATAAGAGAAAGAGAAAAAAATTCAAGAAAATATTGATTTAACAAATTAAATAATTAAATTTAGATCTGAATAAAAATATTCAAAAGAATAAATTGAATCTTAAATTACAGAACAAATTCAAGGAAAAATTGATTGCTTACTTTTTGAAAAGTAAGAATTAAATCAATAAATTTGTGAGAAAAATTCTTTGTTAGAATAAAAATGTTTATTGATTGATAAATTCAATTTAAAAATAATGAATTAGAATATAGAAATTTTTTAACTAAGATAGCAAGTAACATAATATGAAAATCAAATTATTTAATTTTAACATACAATTGAAAAACCTTAATTAGGAAATGAATTAGAATATAATGAAAATATAAAATTGAATGAGGTAACTTAATTAAATATAAAATTAAGTTAAGTAATTGATGAAAAAGAACAAAAAATTCTTTCATTAAAATATGACTTATAAGTATCACAAAATAAACTTGATGAAATTGAAAAAATAAATTAAAATTTAATAATTAAGCTAAATGAAAAATAACAACTACTTTAATCCCAATCAGAATAAATTTCATAATCTTAAATATCATCAGAAACTCTAATTTCTTAAAATGTTGAAAAAAATCATCATTAACAACAGATCTAAATATTGTAAAAGAAATATGATGATGTTCTAAAAGAAAACGAAATTTTGACAAATAATTCTAGTTTAATTGAAGAATATAAAAACAAAATAGCATTATTATCTTTAGAAGTTTCTCGATATCATAATTCCAAAATAGGATAACCTTCTTAAAATTTTAGATAAAATACTCGAGTTGAAAATCATATTATCAATAATACGAAAAGCTTGAGTCAAGGAAAAGAAAGTATTATTAGATTCCAACAAGGTGTTGATAATAACTATAAAGATCATGATTTGTATTGTTTATTAGTACTATCGTTTGCAGAAATCGAATCTCTTAGAACAAAAGATGATGAAAAAAAAAACGAAGATAAATCAAAAGTTTAAAGAATTATAGATTATTATCGCCAAAAAGCTTAATGAAAATTATTTATATCTATAAAATTATCGAGAATAACTTATTAAATGAAGATATCAGACAAAAAATTAATTTAATATTTTTATTTTTATTAATAAATGATATTTGAAGAGTTTTAAGGTATAAGCCATAATATAATTTTTCAAGGATTTTTTAAATTATTTTGTTGAATTTTTGTTGTATTTTATGAATTGATCTTAAATAAACATTATTANTTGTTCAATAAGAGAAAGAGAAAAAAATTCAAGAAAATATTGATTTAACAAATTAAATAATTAAATTTAGATCTGAATAAAAATATTCAAAAGAATAAATTGAATCTTAAATTACAGAACAAATTCAAGGAAAAATTGATTGCTTACTTTTTGAAAAGTAAGAATTAAATCAATAAATTTGTGAGAAAAATTCTTTGTTAGAATAAAAATGTTTATTGATTGATAAATTCAATTTAAAAATAATGAATTAGAATATAGAAATTTTTTAACTAAGATAGCAAGTAACATAATATGAAAATCAAATTATTTAATTTTAACATACAATTGAAAAACCTTAATTAGGAAATGAATTAGAATATAATGAAAATATAAAATTGAATGAGGTAACTTAATTAAATATAAAATTAAGTTAAGTAATTGATGAAAAAGAACAAAAAATTCTTTCATTAAAATATGACTTATAAGTATCACAAAATAAACTTGATGAAATTGAAAAAATAAATTAAAATTTAATAATTAAGCTAAATGAAAAATAACAACTACTTTAATCCCAATCAGAATAAATTTCATAATCTTAAATATCATCAGAAACTCTAATTTCTTAAAATGTTGAAAAAAATCATCATTAACAACAGATCTAAATATTGTAAAAGAAATATGATGATGTTCTAAAAGAAAACGAAATTTTGACAAATAATTCTAGTTTAATTGAAGAATATAAAAACAAAATAGCATTATTATCTTTAGAAGTTTCTCGATATCATAATTCCAAAATAGGATAACCTTCTTAAAATTTTAGATAAAATACTCGAGTTGAAAATCATATTATCAATAATACGAAAAGCTTGAGTCAAGGAAAAGAAAGTATTATTAGATTCCAACAAGGTGTTGATAATAACTATAAAGATCATGATTTGTATTGTTTATTAGTACTATCGTTTGCAGAAATCGAATCTCTTAGAACAAAAGATGATGAAAAAAAAAACGAAGATAAATCAAAAGTTTAAAGAATTATAGATTATTATCGCCAAAAAGCTTAATGAAAATTATTTATATCTATAAAATTATCGAGAATAACTTATTAAATGAAGATATCAGACAAAAAATTAATTTAATATTTTTATTTTTATTAATAAATGATATTTGAAGAGTTTTAAGGTATAAGCCATAATATAATTTTTCAAGGATTTTTTAAATTATTTTGTTGAATTTTTGTTGTATTTTATGAATTGATCTTAAATAAACATTATTAAGATTATTAAAATCTTATTCAAATAAAACATTTCTGCAAATGAAAGGAGCACAGTTCTTTTCTATTTAAATTTCTATTGTTAATAAATAAAATTTATTAAAGTTTTTTCTTGATTAGATATACAATGAATACAATCAGTAATAAAACTAGAATAAATAGATTATCAATAAATCCACGAAATATAAGATAAGAGAAATGGTTCAATTTCTTAAATAAGGATTTTCAAGAAAGCTAACTCTTTTAACTATTAACAGTCAAAAATGAATTACAATTTTATTTTCGATTATTTGATTATATCAATTTTAAAAATTCCAAAACAGGTTTTTACTAATTTTTTTGGAATGATTAATTAATTATGCTTATTATTCTGGTTTCATTCTTTCTAAAATTTATGCTCCCTCTAATGTTTAAAGTTTAATATTAAAATTAAATAATCATACCAAAAACTTTTCTAGCAAAGTATTAGTGCCAATGTATTTTAATAGTAATTATAAAGCTTTTCCAGAAATGGCAATAATAAATGATTCGTTTATTTTACAAAGATCTTAATCATCAATAAAATGATCTCAACTTTCTAAAATTATTTATCCTTATATTATTATATTTTGCTTTTTCGGATATTGATTTTCTTTGATAATATAGTTAATGGACATTTTCAAGGCTTCCTTTTATATAACATAATCCATTTCTTTATTTAATACAATTTCAAAACATTAAAAGATTGATATAAATAAAATAGAGTTAATACTTCATCTATTAATATTTTAAAAATATAAAATTCTTATCTGTAGATTATCAGGAATTCTTGTATCCATATAATGATAACTAGGCAATCTCCTAGGGAATTTTGAGCCTTGAAAAAATTGATTAATTATTTCATTTAGCAATAATTTGAAAAATGACGTTTCTATAGGTATGAATACTCCATCCTCCAAGAAGTACGAGTAGAGTCTAAAAGTAAAAGTCTTCATTTTGATATGATTCTCTCCTTTCTATATCTAATTTTATTATATTCTTAGAGGGGAAATAATAAAATTAGTTGCTTATTCCAATAAAGGCTTCTTGAGTTTTAATCAGATTTTAAATTATTATTCCTATTTAGTTAATAAAAATGTTAAGCCAACTAAATTATTTTTAATTAATGCATGATAACTCACAAAAAATCCAATATGTTATTGATTTCCAAATTTTTTATATATAGGGAACTATATGTTATACAGATTTAGGCATTATAAATTCCAAATAAAGATGTGACTTCCATGAAGTTTTAATTTTATAAAAATTATTCTCTAAATATTAAATTAACAATTAATTACGTCATTTTATATAAATTACAGTATTCAAAAATAATTAAGTTCAAAATGACAAAATTTACTTATTACGTATTAAATTTAATGATTCTTTGTATTGTCGAATTTTATTTATAAAATTAATATAATATTATTTTAACTTGAATGTTAAAAATTAGATGATTGAGGTAATTCTTTTATTTCTTGAAAATAAGTTATTGAATTATATTTACAATTAATGAATATTTATTAATCTTATTGAGAATTCCTTTAATCTAATTGAGAATTACTTTAATTTATTCAATTAATTTAAATATCAATGCAAATCGATTAATAATAATAATCTTCATCAACTTAAGACAAGGAGGCTGAAAGTCCAAAAAAAAAGGAAGAAGTCTAAGTGATAGTTTTTCCTCAGAAATTCCTTAATCCTCTCTTGACTTTTAGAATGAATGGGGTATCTAGAATAACCAAATAAATTCAAGGATTTTCATCTATATGCAGATGCTCGCTACATTCAAAGTCACAATCCATTAAAAATTGGTATTAGTTGCCAGAATCCATATAAAAAAATTACAAATATTGTTTTGGATTAATGCACTGAAACAATCACTCTACAATATACATAATTAGATTTTTCATAAATTCCCTGGGAATATGTAATTAAAAGATTAGAGAGCTATGGAGATTTCGAAATGAACAAATTAGGTTTATACATTAGGAAATACAATGAGTAGCTTAATTCTGGTTTAAATTAAGAAAATAGTAAAATGGTAAGAACTNAATGATAACTAGGCAATCTCCTAGGGAATTTTGAGCCTTGAAAAAATTGATTAATTATTTCATTTAGCAATAATTTGAAAAATGACGTTTCTATAGGTATGAATACTCCATCCTCCAAGAAGTACGAGTAGAGTCTAAAAGTAAAAGTCTTCATTTTGATATGATTCTCTCCTTTCTATATCTAATTTTATTATATTCTTAGAGGGGAAATAATAAAATTAGTTGCTTATTCCAATAAAGGCTTCTTGAGTTTTAATCAGATTTTAAATTATTATTCCTATTTAGTTAATAAAAATGTTAAGCCAACTAAATTATTTTTAATTAATGCATGATAACTCACAAAAAATCCAATATGTTATTGATTTCCAAATTTTTTATATATAGGGAACTATATGTTATACAGATTTAGGCATTATAAATTCCAAATAAAGATGTGACTTCCATGAAGTTTTAATTTTATAAAAATTATTCTCTAAATATTAAATTAACAATTAATTACGTCATTTTATATAAATTACAGTATTCAAAAATAATTAAGTTCAAAATGACAAAATTTACTTATTACGTATTAAATTTAATGATTCTTTGTATTGTCGAATTTTATTTATAAAATTAATATAATATTATTTTAACTTGAATGTTAAAAATTAGATGATTGAGGTAATTCTTTTATTTCTTGAAAATAAGTTATTGAATTATATTTACAATTAATGAATATTTATTAATCTTATTGAGAATTCCTTTAATCTAATTGAGAATTACTTTAATTTATTCAATTAATTTAAATATCAATGCAAATCGATTAATAATAATAATCTTCATCAACTTAAGACAAGGAGGCTGAAAGTCCAAAAAAAAAGGAAGAAGTCTAAGTGATAGTTTTTCCTCAGAAATTCCTTAATCCTCTCTTGACTTTTAGAATGAATGGGGTATCTAGAATAACCAAATAAATTCAAGGATTTTCATCTATATGCAGATGCTCGCTACATTCAAAGTCACAATCCATTAAAAATTGGTATTAGTTGCCAGAATCCATATAAAAAAATTACAAATATTGTTTTGGATTAATGCACTGAAACAATCACTCTACAATATACATAATTAGATTTTTCATAAATTCCCTGGGAATATGTAATTAAAAGATTAGAGAGCTATGGAGATTTCGAAATGAACAAATTAGGTTTATACATTAGGAAATACAATGAGTAGCTTAATTCTGGTTTAAATTAAGAAAATAGTAAAATGGTAAGAACTATGTTTTAATTATGTATGTAGGTCGAAAAGAATTAGTATAGATCAAAAGGATCGTATAAATATTAATACATAAAAGAATTAGATTAATTTTTCATTTCTTCCGTAACATATGACATCAAATTAATAGAAGATTTGGGATTTTCACTTCCATAATTTATTGAATAGTGTTTTAAGACAGGGATTCCAGAGTTTATTTATTTTAATTTATTATAAGAATATCTTTGAAGCCAGATAGCACAAACGACCAGTATTATAAAAATGTTGTCGAATTTGGCAAACCTTTGATATTCCCAGATGAAAAACAAGATTTTTATCTATATTCGCATAGATATCCTTATGTATGAATGGGTAACTTAAATATTTTAAGGGTCTGAAAACTGACGTATCTTTTTCTATAGGAAAAGAAAATTCATAAATGAAAAATGACGATCTCGTAAATTTCAATTTCTATTTTAATTACATACCTAAGATACAACCTAAAGAATCGATATTCCAAACTAAAAAGCTAAGATCTTCGAACAGCATATCATTTTATTATTAGATTTAAGAGAATTAATATTAAAGATGTGGTTATAAAAAAATTAAACTTTCTTGATTAATAGCTTTGTGTTTATTAATTTTAAAAAAGGAATACTAAAATAGATAATATAAATTAATTATTAAAAAAAAAAGTTGATTAATAATAATTTAATTTTTTCTAATTTATTTTAAATTAAGGCAATTAGTTGATATAAAAAATATAATCATACTTTAAATTCATTTAATACTATAGGTTCTTCTTCTTTAGGGTGATTTCTTAGAAATTCTCATTTATTTAACACAATTAATAAATGTAGAATCAATACATTTCATAGGAACATAGCCAAAAGTTTAACGTAATCTATCTGGATTTAAAATATCATTAGATAATAAAGATCTTTGAGATAAATAATCTTAAGATTATACTTAACCAAATTTAACTTTAAATCTGATTGGTATTTATGGAATAATAGGTTGAAATGGAATATCTTCAATCTATTTTGGAGGATCTTAAACTTTGATAACTTATAAATTTATTTGTTAAGAAATAACTTTATCTCTAATTTTTTACATAGAGCTACGATGATGTTGCTATCTCTAAGAAATAGCCCTTGGTTTAGAAATGGTAGAAAAAAGTCTATAATTTTCAATAAATTAATGAGCACAAATTTTTAATAATTTACAAGTAGATTATGTTTGAGCTTCTGAATTTCTTAATTGATTTTAAGAATCATCATAATATAATTCCATATCACCAAAATATTGATTAGTAGTAAGATGAGTAATTCCATCAATTTTATTAATTTAAGTTTTATACTCTCCAAATTCATCTGATTTTTTAAATACTTTCAATTTGACATCTCCATTGACTATAAAATAAACATAATCTATGGGTTAATTATATCTAAAAATATAAGTAAAAGGAGAGTAATATTATTCTTCACAGTTCATTAACATAACTAATAGAGCACTATCTCTCCAACCTTCAAAAAGTGATATCTATTTGAGAAAGTTAAATTTGTAATCATTTTATTATTATCCTGCTAAAGATAATATCTTTTGATAAGTATCATAAGTAATGTAAGCTAATTCTAATTTAGTAATAGAACAAACAGAAGCATTTCTTGGTCCCTTTTAATGTAATGCAATTTCACCAAAATATGTTCCTGCTTTTAATATATTAACAAATTAATATTAGAAATATCGTCTATCAGTAATTTCTTGAAAATTGTGATATTTACCAGGATGTGGTTTTGCATCAGCATTTTTTGGTTTAAATATGCCAACTGTACCCTCAATTATAAAATACATTCTTCTTCCTATATCTCCTGCTTCAAATATAGGTGTCAATGGTGGAAATTTCTCGTATTTGATTTATTCAAATAACATTAGATATAAATGTGCATCTAATTTAGATTTCAAGTTGCGAATGTAATCGAATTATTTATAAAAGTATTCTTCTAATTCTTCTATTTAATCATGACTTCTGATCTCACTCTACAGAATAGATTTAATTTCTTGCATATTATATATGTAACTAAACAAAGAGTTAAATAAATTAATGAAGAGTTAAAGTATTTACAAAAAATCAAACCCAATTAGGTCCACTTGTATCAAATCAATCGAAGCTAATCAAGAGTTCTATCTGGCTGTTATTGAATAACAAATGTGTGTAAGTATTTGTGCATATAATGAATAAACTGGAGAAGTCTTTGTTACTTAATTTTTAGACTGTACTTCTTTTAATATCACTTCTTCTACTATTCTAAGATTTGCTCCTAAAATCTTAATCTCTATTGAAAACAATGAAAAAAGCATGTTTTTTAAATAATTAGAAGATGAATTGAATGATACCTTGATCTATTTTCTACCTCCTAATGTATTACAAATTAAATTCGAACTAAATTAGTTTAGTAAATTTGTTAAATAATTAAATTAACTATAATTATGCTATACAGCATTGTCATATACAGTAAATTAGCATTTAAACATTATGATTAACAATTTACCTGTTCAATTTTATAACATAAAGGAAGTCTTAGTGTTTAATATTTAAACTACTTTAAGTTTGGATATTTTAAATTAATTATATAAACTCTTCAAACCAATTACTAATGGAGGGAAAAGATTACTCAAAGCAAATCTACTTTAACCATTTAGCACTTTACAAATGATACTCATTAGATAATAGAATGTGAAAGAGATCTTAAGTAAAGATGATTCAATCATACAAACTTTAAAATCACATATGATCAAATTCAAATAAGTTGATACTTTAGCTTGTCAATTATAAAGTAAAAGTAACAAATTGTTAGATCAATTATAATAAATATTCAAAATCTACAATTTTTAAAAAGATGTCATTAATTTTACACATTATTTAAATGATTAAAAATTGAATACTATTATGGATATAGATATCAATGGCATTCTAATGAGTGATGAGTTCTAGAGTATTAAATAATAGATAGAATAATATATTGATGTCACATTATAATTGAATAATATTGAAGAGGACACTCTCTATTTTATTATGTTAAATGAAAAATCAAATAATTTAAAATAAAATCGATTATAATTTATTCAACTAAGATAGGAAATAAATAGTATGTTCTAAAAATTATTGTCCTGCTTTTGTCTAAATTTAAAATGTAAGAAACTTAAGGCTAATGAAAATTCAATTAAATGTTTAAAAAGTGGATACATATTTGAATTATCTGTGAATGAAGCAAATAGAAATAATATCAATGAATTAGATATTAAAAGAATAATTGAAAAAGAGAATGATTCAATCTCTTTCATTGATAAAAATAATAAAAAATATAGTATTCTAACTGAAAAACTTAAAGATTTGAACATCAAATTAAATGATTGCACTATGAACATACTATCTGAAACCTAACTTTAAGTTAACAATTTATATGAATAGATGTAGAAGTTTTGTTCTTGGATATTTTCACTTAATTGTTTAATCAGTTAATTTGATATTGCACTTTCTATAAGAGATTACACTATTCAAAATGTATCAAGTAAGTAATAGATGATCTTTCCTTAATTTGATTTCAATTAATTTATTATTAAAGATGCATCTTACTTATATTCTGGTACAAATACACAAGATTTATTCAATAAATTAACTGTTTCATTTAATTAATTCAATATAATTTATGACTATAAGGAGTGCCTATCTGACTAATTAAAACTAATTGGATAATACATTATACTATCTCAGATTGGATGTACATTACCCTGTTCATAATTCAAACTATAACTATTAAGTAGTTTATACACTCATTTCCAAAAATACACCATTTAAAACTTAGCGGAAAGACAATCTTCATTTACTGCTGAAATTTAATCATTAAACAATCTTTTAGTATCTGAATTGTAAGATTCATTAATTCTTTGTGATTCTTTAGCCATTTCATCCTCACATGAATCTAATGTGTCTTTTAGCATTTCATTTTTAGAGGCTATTTTTAAAAAGACCCATTTTGGTTTATTTGGAACATAGAATTCAGATATCATGCAAATCAATGATCTAATATAATGTAAATGTATGATTTCTAAAAACAATTAAATTGATTACATATAATAAAATGAATTAGAAGTAAATAATTTAATTAATATAGCAAATCCTTGATGAAGAATTCAATTTAGATTATAAGTTAAAATTACTTAATAAGTTACAATAGACATTTGATTTCCCTTCAACTTTTTGTTTGATATTTGAAAGAAATTTTAATAGGCAATATGTTTGAAGATACTTATTAAATTTGATTATTTAATATTAATTAATTATTTAATTTAATTTAATTTAATTTAAGTCAATAAATCGTGATTATTATAAAGTTCTACAGAGCCCTACCATTAAAATATCATTTATTTATAAGATATGTTCAAACTTAAAGGCTAATTAAAAACTATAATCCATATTAAAATGGATGTTACTACTAAATAATAAAATGGGATTTTTTATACTTAAATTAAATTTATTTATATTTTTCACATAATGTTTCAGAATAATTAAAAGAATTAAATTCCATGATTATTTTATTCCGTCAGTTATTGCTAATATATTTTAATTTAATAATAAGAATCTAGATATGGAATACTGTACATACTAAATAATCATATTATATAAGATGATTAAAATTGTAAAAAATTAAAAACTATAATATTTATATAAAATAAAAAATGGCTGAATAGGATGAATATTCTTAATCATAACGTATTGGTTATACATTAATTCAGCATTCAAAATCAGAAATAAGAAAGATTTCTGATCCAATTTATGATTTCATTTATTTTGATCAAGCTATTTGGAAAGTGATTGACAATCCTATTTATTAAAGATTAAGAAATATCAAATAGTTAGGTACTACCAGCTGGGTATTTTAGGGAGCAAATCATACTAGATTTGAACATTGTTTAGGAGTTGGACATTTAGCACAATAATTCATATCTTCAATATATAACAATTAACCATATTTGGATAGCGAAGAAGATAAAAAAAGAAATATAAAATTGATTACAATAGCTGGAATTGTTCATGATCTTGGTCATGGTCCATTTAGTCATATGTTTGATAATTTATTAATACCTAAAATTACAAATACTTCAGATTTGTGGTGTCATGAATAAGCATCAGAGATGCTTTTTGATTATATGTATGAAAATTACAATCTTGGATTGGAAAAAGATGAGGTGAATTTTATTAATGCTCTTGTTCATGGAGATTCTAATAAAGTTTCTAATGGAAAAAAATAATGGTTTTATGATATTGTTTCTAATAAAAGAAATGGAATTGATGTTGATAGAATTGATTATATTCGTAGAGATTGTCATCATCTTGGATTCCCTCCATCCATTAAAGATTTTAAGTATCTCATGTAAGAATCTAGAGTTATTGATGACGAAATATGCTATCCATAACGATATGCATTCAATATTTTTGATTTATTCAATACTAGATACAAACTATTTAAAATTGTCTATCTTAATAGAATTAGCTAATGTATTGAATAAATGATGTGTGATATACTCCTATCTGTCAATCACATTTATAAATTTAATGAGATTATCTTAGAACCAGAAAAATACTATAAGTTGAATGATTCCATTATTGAACAAATTGAAAGTGCAGAAGGCCCCGAATATGCTCATGCCTAATCAATCATTAAAAGATTGAAAACGAGAGAATTATATAAATTTGTTAGTGAAGCCTTAATTAAATCATCAACTAGTCTAGAATCAAATGATAAAATTAGAGATGAATTAATTACCTATATATCTGCAAATGTCTAAGTTAAAAAAGAAGAAATCTATGTTTCTTAAGGTAAAGTGGGATTTGGTTCGAATGGTGGAAACCCTTTAAATCTTATTAATTTTTATAAAGCATCAGATCTAAATATCAAAATACCAGGAAATGATAAAAACACAAGCTTTTGTTTACCAATAGAATTTTCAGAAAATTTTATTAGTATTTTTGTCTCAAATATTTAGATAATTTAACCTGTTGAAGAAGCTTTTGAAAAATATTGCTAAATAAAATTTGGTTTTAAACCTCCAAAATAAGAAAGATATTAAACAACACCTTAAAAAACACCTTAAAATTCTATTACAGATTTTTCTTCAGTCAAATCAACACTAAATCGTAATGATAGATTTGAATGATTCTTATCATAAATATGAATTAATATCCAAATTTTAAATCATCTATTGTTTTTTCAATATTGTTTTATCATAAGTTTTAAATTCTTGAATAAAAAATATGGTTTAATTAAAAAGTTTTCAGTAAAATTTTTATATCGTTAGCGTAAATGTGTGATGAGAATTTACATTTTTGTATTTACTCATCAAATTATGATGATTTTCTCAAGCTTACTAATCTTTTCAAATATTCAACAAAATATTCATAATTTAAATATATATAATTATCATGTTCTAAGCAAATCATGTAATTTATGAGTTAGAAGATGATGAGGAAAATATATAGTAAACTTCAAAGCAGGTATATAATTTTTATGAATTGGTTTAGTAAATAAAGATCAATAGAAAATTAGGAGCAGTTTCTTATAAAAAATGGGGAAAATTATATAACTACTATTTCTCTTTTAATTTAAAAAAGGCACGAATATTGTGTTATAAGAAAAATACATCTTCATCTTATAATAATTATTATTCTTTGAACAAAGGAGATTTTGTGAAAGATGAATCAGAAATTAATCGATTTGAAAGTAACTTGAAGAAAAAGAAAAATTATCAATATGTTTCAGATTAGAAGGTATTGATTGATAAGTTAATTTAGTTAATAATTTACGTTAGAACATCAAAAGGAAGAATATTTAAATTGGTAATTGATGAAAATGAAAATTATGATAAGATTGTCGGTTATTTGTAAATCTGTTTTTCATCTAAAATTTAAACTGTGAATTCATTTTTTGCTTTGCTTGGTGTAGGATTAATTAAGTTAGATGATTGTGAATTTAAATTAACTACTGGCATATTTGTATCTTTAAATGATTGGTCATAAAACAATAATAATAAATATCTATTAATGAATCATGATTAAGGCCTGAATTTGTTAATTAGTAATATTGAGTTATTAGGTGGAATAATAGGTTCGTTTTACAAAACCTAAAATCTTTTGGGAATAATCTTTAACCCATTTAATTAAACTATTGATATAGTTTTGTTTGATAATTTGAAGTAAATAATAAACAGTAATATATTTTTAGTCCATAAATATTACTTTAAGGGGTTTTTAAATTAGTCAAATTTAATAGAAAATAAATTTAACCATCAGGTAGAGGATAACTTTTGAAATTAAAAACTGATATGAATGAAATTAAAGAAAATCATTATGTGGAGATAGCATAAAACGAAAATGTAAAGATTTATATAAATAATGCTCATCTCAACATTTCAGATTATGAACTAGTATAAGGATCAATGTTTTCTTCTTAATATATAGATGATTAAAATGATTTGGATGCTGATAAATTAATATCAAATACAACTTTAGAATTCTATAAAAATTAATATAAAATATCAAAAAATAATGAAGATGAAACTAAAGAATTTATAATTGTTAATAAATAACAAAAAAACAATTTTAATAATTTTACATCTCCTCGATGCAATAAAAGATAACTTTCAATTATCACTGAAGAAATTAATGATGAAAATTATGGATAAGGTGTCTAAGTAGCAAAAAGCATAAAAATTCATATACATAGATCAGATCAAAATATAAATTAATTTCCTAATATAACACCTCCTAAATTAGAATTTATAACAGAATTTAAAACTGGATGTTTTAATAATATTGAAAGTATTGATTAAGTGAAACAAAATTTATTTTAATAAGAAGAAAAATAATTAAATAACAAGGAATAATAAAAAGTAGGATAATAATTAAATAAAGAGATTGAATAATAAAAGTGTTAAGTGTAAGAATAAGAATAAGAATAAGAATAAGATAATGATTCAGATGAAATTGATTTAGTTAAATTTTCAATAGTTTTTGAAGCATCTGAACATAGTCCATACAGAGATTATAATTCTATAATGAATTATGCAGTTAATTTTAAGAAAATTGATTATAAAGATGAATATAGAGTTAGCATTGCTCATAAAAGTGGAGGAACAGCTTGTTAAGATAAAAAGATTATTGAATTAGCAAGAAGTGTTGGAAAAAATATGATTAAATAAGTTGGATAGAAATTATTAAGTGGCAATTTCAATCTTACATAGGTCTCATTTCCTGTAATAAATAATATTATTTATTAATAGATTAGAGCCATGATACCCAAATCTGCCTTAGAAAAAACCTTTATGTAAACTATTCTCTTTCCTTTATACATGAATAAGGCAGCATCCATTTAGGACCCACTTGAAAGAATAAAACTCTCAATTATTGGATTACTTTCTAATTATATTTAAGCTAACTCTTTCCTAAAACCTCTAAATCCAATATTAGGAGAAACTTTTGAGGGAGGATATGAAGATGGCACATAGTTATTTTGTGAATAAGTATCAATTTTTATTAAAATTAGATATCTCATCATCCTCCTCTCTCTTATTTCTTAGTTTTTGGACCAAAAAAATCATATAAATTTTATGGATATTCCCTTTATGAAGCTAAGGCAGGATTCAACTCTCTTACAATATTGAATCATGGTAAAAGAACTCTATAATTTAATGATTAAAAACTTCAATGTACCTTTTCATCAGAACATTACTCTGGTACTTTCTTAGGAACAATGAAAAATGAATCATAAGGTTCTCTCTAATTTATAGATGAAGCTAATAGTATAATATAATTATTTATTATTTAGATTTAAAATGTGTAGTATAATTAGGAAAAGTTAAAAATAAACCAACTGATTATTTTGAAGGAGAAATTAAAAGAGGAAAAACTACTTTAAGTAAATTGTTTGGTTCTTATATGGGATTTGCTGATTTTGATGGTGTTCGATATTGGGATGCTAGAGTTGTTAAACCCTTTGCTATGCAAATTTTAAAATCTAATCTTGAATCAGATCACACTAAAAGAACAGATAGAATATATATGGTGTAAGGAGATATGGATAAAGCTTAATCTGAAAAGGAACGATTAGAATAACTTTAAAGAAAAGATGCAGCTCTTAGAAAAGCCTAAAGATAAAATGATTGAATTTCTTTGTAATTTATTATATGTATTTAAAAATTCAAAAGACTTAATTTATCATTATATTTTCTTATATATACGAAAACAATTTATTTTTTAATTCTAAAACAAGGATTAATTATCAAAAAAGGATTCATTATAAAATCAACCATGTATGAATAAAGATTCAAAATATTTCTTTGAATATTTTTTAATGAATCCTATATTGCAATCATTTCTTTGAATAATCATTTAAATAAAAATGTTGCTTTATATGAGCACAATAGTTATAAATTAATAGAATAATAAAAAATAGATAATTGTTTTTAAGCCAAAAAAAATTCCAATTTTAATTACATTTCTAAATCATTATTTTATTTTTTAGATATTAATAAACATTCATTAGCCAATTTTTTAAAAATTGCTTGAAGATTAATAATATAAATTATCAATATTAATAAACTAAATAATAATTTAAGTTTGATAACTTTAATCTTTATTAAAACATATATTGAATAACCTTTCTTATAATTCTCCAAAAACAATAAAAACTTTTTTTTAAATAAATTATATATATCAATAAATAATACTCATCTATGCAATCAGATTATTCAGTTATATTTTCCTATTTTGAGTAACAGATTAAGTTATTATATAAATTGAACTTAAACACTTAGGAATCAAAAAATATTTTTTTCAACCAAAAAAAAAGAGAATAATGTTTATTTCCAATATAAAGATTATAATTATAAGATACATTAAAACATCTAAAAAATATTAAACTTAATTTAAGTTAAAAATTTAATGATTAAAATATTATTAAAATAATTTTATTTTGATTTTGAATAGTTTGATAAGTCATGTTCTAAAATCTGAAATGATTGTATATGATATTTCTAGATTGAACATTAAAGCATTAATGTCAATTAAAATAGCCAACACACAAACTATAAACAAGATAATTGATAATCTTTGTTTGGTTTTTTAAATGTTGTAAAATAGCAATTATATAAAAATAGCTTTAATATCTTCAGGTGGTGATGTGTTATATAAGTTCTGTAACCTATAATAATTATTATTATATTAGACAGTAACATTTGGAGGATACTTTTCTTATGTATAATTCCAATTAACAAAGTCTCCAGGTGGTTTAGATGGTAATTTAATCCAGACACTTAAACCTTTTGCTCTTTGTTAAAGTAATTCTCCTCTCTAATTAATCAAGTTTGTCATTTAAAAAATAAATAACTATATTAAGAAGCATAATATCAGAATAATTTGATTAATTGATGTTGATTGTTCTAGATAGGTTAAAGCATATATATAGGCTAATTCAATTTCTCTGAACATTATATTTTTCAATGAATTCTCTAATGTAAAATGCCTTTCTTTTTGATTTTTGGTACCCACATAGATATACATGACCAACCTAATTGTAAAGATCATTACTGATAACACATAATAACTTATGATGGCAGGGATACAATTCTAAAATTGGTCAAAAACAAATAAACTGCATCTAAACAGTATATTCCATAAACCAAATTGAAGATCAATTAATTGGATTGAAAGAATTCAGTTTTACACATTTTTTTCAATAATTTTCTCAAAATTGCTATTGAACCTAACAAAGTAATTTTAGTTATTCCAAATGTTAAGAGTGTTGTAATGGCTATAAATGCAAATTAAAATTCATAATACAATTTACGTTTAAACGTTGAATTGTATATATCTGTAATTCTTTGAACTCTTTAATAATCTAATTACATTTGTTTAAATATTAATAATTATGAATAATATAAAAATTCAATTGATAATAATGTTTTTTCAATCATAAAATGATTATAATCTCAGCAATCGCATTTATTTATTATCAGATATTTTCCTATCTCAATTGTTATTGACGAGAATATTATTTCTTATTAATTTTAAAATATTTTTATGGAAGACATTTAACTCAAGTTTCATTTGATTATTTTCTCTAATCTTGAATAATCTTTCTATATCGTTTTATTTTATTAAAATCTTCCCTTCATAGAACATTTATTAAAATTTGCAATCATATAAATAATTTGAATATATTTGATTGATTATATTTAACAGAGTGCTTTAGCTACTTTAAAACTTTTTTGTTATGTTCTATCAAGAATTTAAGTTCTAACTTATTAATTAGTATACTAATTTCCCTAAAGATATTTATTATTTTATTAAATAAAAAAAGTTTCTTACATTAGATAAGGTTAGTATGCTAAATCTTTTTAAATGGATTGCTTCCATAATTAGATTCAATCTCAAGCTCTAATGACCTTTCTTTTCTTTAATGAATTGAACAATAAAATAAATGCTTAGAACCGTTAATATGAATCTGTTTTAGGTTTTACAAGAGAGTGTTTAAAACGGAAAAATTTTAATGTAATTCATTTTTATTGAATTATTTAGCTAATAATTTTATAATTTTATCATTATGAAAGATAAATAAATTTATAAAAATAAATATTTGATAATAAAAANATGGCAGGGATACAATTCTAAAATTGGTCAAAAACAAATAAACTGCATCTAAACAGTATATTCCATAAACCAAATTGAAGATCAATTAATTGGATTGAAAGAATTCAGTTTTACACATTTTTTTCAATAATTTTCTCAAAATTGCTATTGAACCTAACAAAGTAATTTTAGTTATTCCAAATGTTAAGAGTGTTGTAATGGCTATAAATGCAAATTAAAATTCATAATACAATTTACGTTTAAACGTTGAATTGTATATATCTGTAATTCTTTGAACTCTTTAATAATCTAATTACATTTGTTTAAATATTAATAATTATGAATAATATAAAAATTCAATTGATAATAATGTTTTTTCAATCATAAAATGATTATAATCTCAGCAATCGCATTTATTTATTATCAGATATTTTCCTATCTCAATTGTTATTGACGAGAATATTATTTCTTATTAATTTTAAAATATTTTTATGGAAGACATTTAACTCAAGTTTCATTTGATTATTTTCTCTAATCTTGAATAATCTTTCTATATCGTTTTATTTTATTAAAATCTTCCCTTCATAGAACATTTATTAAAATTTGCAATCATATAAATAATTTGAATATATTTGATTGATTATATTTAACAGAGTGCTTTAGCTACTTTAAAACTTTTTTGTTATGTTCTATCAAGAATTTAAGTTCTAACTTATTAATTAGTATACTAATTTCCCTAAAGATATTTATTATTTTATTAAATAAAAAAAGTTTCTTACATTAGATAAGGTTAGTATGCTAAATCTTTTTAAATGGATTGCTTCCATAATTAGATTCAATCTCAAGCTCTAATGACCTTTCTTTTCTTTAATGAATTGAACAATAAAATAAATGCTTAGAACCGTTAATATGAATCTGTTTTAGGTTTTACAAGAGAGTGTTTAAAACGGAAAAATTTTAATGTAATTCATTTTTATTGAATTATTTAGCTAATAATTTTATAATTTTATCATTATGAAAGATAAATAAATTTATAAAAATAAATATTTGATAATAAAAAAGCTTTATTATAGTTGTTGAATTAATAAAAATAAGAAATCAAATTAGAAATGTATTAATTTTGTGTTGAGTAGTAAAATACACTAGGTGTAAAAGAGAAATTAATTTTTAAAAGAGATTAGCTAAAAACTTTAATCTTTAAATTGTGAGTGAGTTATATTTGTATAACTTTATTACAACGTTATATTGTGCTATTGTATATTTTTTCATTTGTTATAACATGAATCATCTTTGAGGATATGCTGGAAACTTAGAATATCTAAACTAAAAAAATAAAAAGTTGTCAAAAAAAGAAAATATATATAAGAGGAAAATATTGAGATAAAAAAAATAAATAGAATTAATTATTGGAATAAATTTAATGGTATAAGTGACAAGCCTTAAAAAGAATAAGTATTCTTAGAAGTATATAATAAAATAAAAAGATTTAGCTACTTTAGTAAGAGATATAAATAGAAATTGTATATAAATTATTGTATATTATCTAATAACGATAATTTATAATAATGTTGGTTGAGCATATAAATAATTATTAATGTATATCTTTGATTATATTAATTTTAATAATGAGCAGAACTGCATCAAGATAATAGAGCAGAGCTTCAATAATGTAACCATAAGGGTCAACATTGACACAGTAGATGTAATAAGCGGTTTCAACAAGTGGGTCTAAACCATTACCTTAAGCACCCGTTACTAATGAAAGAAAATGGCTCGGTAAGAATCCGGAAGTGGTGTGCTTTTTATTAGCTTTAGAGAATGATAGATTAGTGAGAGAGAACAATGATTTGGTTAAATATATCAATGAATTAAAATAAAGTAGCGGTGGTACTATAGATTAATTTAATCTATTGAAGAAATAATATGAAGAAGCATTATAATAGATTAATAAATATAAGTAAGTGTTAGAGATGAATATGTAGGATTGACATAGATGAATTGAATAAGAGAGTTAGATCATTGGAGTAGGAATTAGCTGATGCTAAAAACAAATTTGGATAGGTGGATTAAAGTCTACCTTAGAGATTAGCAGAGGCAGAGAGGAAATGGAAAGAATTTGAAGGATTATATAATAACTTAAAATTGAAATATGATACAGATATGAGAGATTGGTAATTAAAGTATGATGAATTGAATAGAAGAGCATTAGATTGGGAAAGAAGATATGGTATTTTAGATTAATAGATGAAACAGATGTAAGAGGATCATGAATTAGAATTAAGATCTAGTGGAGATTCATCAAAATAATATGAAGATTAATTGAGAGAATGGGAATTAAGATCAAATGAATGGGATAATAAATAGAAAGCATTGAAAGCAGAATAAGATAGATTGAATTAACTTTTAAAAAATAAAGATGATGAATATGAAAGATTGAAAGCTTAATTATTAGCTGCTTAGAAAGAATTGGATGAGTATAAGAATAAATTAAGAGAAAGTGATTAAGCTTCTGGATCTAAATTCACTGAATATGAAAGTAAAATTGCAGAATTAAGATTACAGAATTAATAATTGAATTAAGATTTGGAGAGATTGAAAAAAAGATATTAAGATTTAGAAGATTAATTAAATAGATTACAATCTTAAAATTAAAGCTAAGATTCTAAAGTTAGTGATTTATAATCTAAGTGTAGTAATTTAGAAAATGAAGTTGATAAACTTAATAATGATTTAAGAGATAAAGAATAAGAAATCACCAAATTATAAGGTAAATAGATGTAATTAGAATAAAGAAATAAAGAACTTACTGATGAAAATAATATATTAAGAAAGAAAGTCGCTGATTAAAAAGCTGAAATTGAAAGATTGGAATTAGAATTAAGATAAAAAATTAGTGAAATTGAATATTACAATCTTAATCTAGTTAATCAAGATGAGAGAAACAAATAATTATTAAATTAAGTCGATGATCTTTAATTTTAGTTATAAGATTTTAAAACTAATTATTAATAATTAGAAGAAGATTATAATAAATTACAAAAGAAAAACGAAGACTTAGAAAATAAAATTGCTTTATTCTCTTCTGAAATAGACAGAATGAAAAATATTATTAAATTAAAGAATCAAGACTTAGAAAAATTGAGAAGATAGGTAGGATCACTTGAAATTGAGAAAAAGTTCTTTGAATAATAAATTGAAGATTTGTTAAATAAAATGAAATAAATGTAAGATGAAATTGTCAAACTTAATGAATTACTTAAGGAAAGACTTAAGCAATTACAACAGCAAAATAACAATATCATATCTTTGAATCATCAATTAGGAGAAATGAAAGCATTATAAACTTATTGTGATTAATAAGATAAGAGGATTAATGAAACAACCAACAAACTTAATGAAGCTCTTTTGTAATTGTAATTCAAAGATATAGAGTTGATGAACATCTCTGCATTATAGGCATCAATTTAAGAAAGAGAAAAACAAGCAGAACTATTAAATAATGAAATTGTTAGACTTTAAAATGATATTATTAATAAATTAAAAGAGTCAGAAGATTAAAAGGAGTAAATTAAAAAATTAAATGATGAAATTGCCAGATTGAAAACATAAGAGTAAAATCTACATGATATCGAAAGAAAATTATAAAATGCAGTAGAAGAAATTAATAGATTAGAATCCTAAAAATCTGAATTAGAGAATTAAGTTACTGTTAATAGATAGTCATCACCTAAGCATACGATTACAAAGGAAATTCGTATAGAAAAATCATCTGTTCAAATGGATACCACAGAAATCGATAAACTTAAACAAGAATTAAGATAAAAATAATTTGAATTAGATTAATTAAACAATTAATTATTGATATCATAAAATGCATTGAAATCTGCTGAAGACTATATAGCAGTTTTATTAAATAGAATTAATATATTAAATAAAGAAAATGAGGATATGCTTTAAGGAAAGCAATAATTAGAAGTTCAAGTTCAAGATACAAGAACTCTTTAAGATAAACTTTAGAATTTAGAAAAAGGATTAACATAATTTAGAAATGATAATGAAAGAATTTTGAGAGAATTCAAAGAGAAGAGCAAATTATATGATGATGCAAGATAAAAAATTAGTAAATTAGAAGCTTAAGCTACTGAAGCCCGAGAATTATAAGCTAAATTAAGAGAAATTGAAAATAAATTAGTATTTGCCTCAAGTAGTTAAGAAAGATTAACTGTATAGTTAGCTGAGAAGACAGAAGAAAATAATAACTTGAAATAGAGTTTATAAATTGCAAATAACGAAATTTCAAAATTAAGTGAACAAGTTCAATAATTATCAGAGCGGTATTGAATATTAAATTATTTAAATAGAGAACGTTTATTAAAAGAATAAGTTAATCATTTATTACAGGATAAAGATGTTTTAGATACTTTAAAGAGACAATATGAAGTAGTTGTTGCAGACATTCAAAAGGCTAATTAAAATATTGATTAATTGTAATTAGATTGATTTATAGAATTATAGGAGTTAAGAGAGAGATAATTTAGATAATTAATTAAAGTAAAACTAATAAGAGTTAGAGAAATTGAGAATCTTATAGGAGAAAGTAATTTTGTTTTAGATTTTAGGTTCGATTCTTAGGTGGAGAGTGTAATAAATTGAATGATCAGTTAAGTAAGGCTGAGAATGAATTGAATAACTTTAGAAAGAGAGGATAGGAGAATTCTGATCTTAATAAATAGTAAATATAAATTAAATATTTTATAGAGTATTAGATAGAAACAATTAGATTGAGAGATTAAATAAAGAATTGGACAATTTAAGGAAATAATTAGAAGGTAATTATTGAAATAAGTTAATTTTACATTTAAAAAAATAAAACATATTCATAAAATACGTCGTCATTTTAATAAATAAATAAAATTTTCATATGTTTAGAAAATCATTGTTTAGATTTAGCACATACAATTTCATAAATGTTACATAAAAAGGGAAGGTTGCTTTAATATAATTCAACCGACCAAAAGCTTTGAATGCACTTTGTGATGGATTAATTAAAGAATTAAATTAGGTAACATAAGAAATTGATGGAAATCCTGAATATGGATCTATAGTAATTACTGGAAGTGAAAAAGCATTTGCAGCAGGAGCAGACATAAAAGAGATGTAAGATAAATCATTTCCTTAAGTTTAAAATATTCAAATGCTTGCATGTAAAATGAATATTTAATATATAGCATGGGAAAACTTGACTAATATTAAGAAACCAATTTTAGCAGCAGTAAATGGATATGCATTAGGTGGAGGATTTGAATTAGCTATGATGTGTGATATAATATATGCAGGAGAGAATGCAAAGTTTGGATTACCAGAGATTACATTAGGAACTGTATTTTAATATTAGTATTTAATTAGATTCCAGGATGTGGAGGAACTTAAAGATTAATAAGAGCAGTAGGAAAATCAAAAGCAATGGAAATGACATTAACAGGAGAATTTATAGATGCTTAAACTGCACTTTCTTATGGATTAGTCAGCAAAGTAGTTCCAGTTTAAAATTTAGTTGATGAAACATTAAAAGTAGCTGAGAAGATTGCTTCATTTAGCAAGTATTTTTATTTAATCATCTTGATAGACCTGTTGCTGCCTTAATAAAGGACACTATTAATGAAGCAGAAAATATTGGATTAAGAGAAGGAGTTAAATATGAAAGAAAAGCATTCTATTCAACATTTGCAACTTAAGATAGAAAAGAGGGAATGTCTGCATTTGTAGAAAAGAGAAAACCTTCATGGACTGATAATTGAGTATTATGATAATAATAGATATATATTTATAAATATGTAAGTATAGAAAATAAATGGTTCTGGAGTAATGGTCTTCATTTAGTGTAAATAAGAGATTTATCTTTTATTATTAAGTAGTACTGGAAGAGGGGGAGTATTCTTTACTGAAGCAGGAGGTAAATTAGAACCAAGATTAAACACAGAGGAAAATGCAATTAAAGAATTATTTGAAGAAACTTACGCAACTTTTAAACTTAAAACCCTTTAGGGATAAAAACATGTTATTGTTAACAACAAATATGTTTGTTTTACTATTCAAATTTAAATAGATGATTTAACTAATATTGAACAAATTATGAAAAACAATAAGAAAATTTTAAATTAATAAAAAGGATTAAATTGCTATAAAGAAATGTTTAACTTTCAATTCGTTTCAATAAAGCATTTACTGTAATTAAAATAAAAATCAATTATATCACATGGTTAACAGATTGCTTTACATAAAAGAACTATAGCTTCGATTGCAGAATTGATTAAATAAAATATTATTAAAGAAGATTTTACATTAGATGTCCATATTTCATAGTGTTAAATTCTTTAACATTAATTTGAGAATTCAAATGAAAAACTATTTTCATTAAATAAATAATTGTTCCTTAGTATATCATGAAAATATAAAAATATATATATATCTAGAGAACGTACTTTTAAACTTAAATCTAGTAATTAGAAATCAGAATTATTTATAAATCATTTTTATTATCTATTTCTCAGTTTATAAGGTGATTCATTGACTTTTACTTTTTTAGAAATATATGGTTCGAATTCCTAAAATCTATTTGAAGAATGAATGTCAGAAGAATTCTTCTAAGAATCAATAAATTTAGCAATGGCTTCTTAATATTCCTTTAATGATATCTTACCATCTCCATTTTCATCCATTTCTAAAAGTAATTAATCCCATTATTATTCCTCTTAAACTTATATTTTACCATTAAAAATCTTTTTAATCTCTTCAATTTCTAAATAACCATCCCCATTTAAATCTAATAATTAGAAAGCTTGTTTAAGTTAATCCGCAGAAGCTAATTTCTTCATATCGACAGCAGCAGTTAAAAACTCAGTAAATTCTATGAAACCATTCTTATCAGTGTCTATTCTACTAAATAAATCCATAATATCCATCCCATTTTAACAATACTCCTTTAATTCTTCCATACTTAATTTACCATCCCCATTTTTATCTAATTTCTAAAATGTTATTCTTAATTATTTATATTATTCTTAAGATAAGTTTTATTAAATCATCAAATGTAAAGTTGCCTAAACCAATTTGCTTTCACAACGAAAATTTGAAATATGTTAAATCCTAAATGTCATTTCTTAAAAAGATATTTCCTATAAACCTACATCACTTTTTCTTTATATCCATTCACTCTCTAATGCTTATAAAGCACTCAATCTTTTTGAAGGATTTTATTATAATAAATTTTTTAATAAATTTTTAGCTTCTTTTGAAATTGTTTTCCAAATCTTTTATTTCATATTAAATCTTTATGAAATAATTCTTTTCTCTATCTCATCTGTATTTTAACCTGGAAAAGGAGTTTCTCCAGATAATAAAATATATAAAATAACACCACAAGACCATAAATCACATTTTTTATCATAACCTTTCTCTAAAAGAACTTCTGGTGCTGCATAATCTATAGTTCCTATCTTTTATTAGATAAAATCAATATTAGTAATATCTTTACTCAAACCCCAATCAATTATCTTAATATGTTTATCAGTAGGATCAATTAAAATATTTTCTGGTTTAATATCTCTATGAATTATATTTTTATCATGTGCATATGCTATGCCACTTAGAATTTGTTTAAATATGAATCTAACCTCCTCTTCTGAGAAAGGTTTATTTGACTTAATTCTTCTATGAATTTCTTCAAATAATTCAATCCCATCACATAGTTAACTAATAATATAATAGAACTATTCATCTTAAGCTATTTCATAAACAGCCATGATGTTTGGATGGTCTAATTTTTTCATATTTTCAATCTCATTTTATATAGTAAAGTTTTTTTTCGCTATTATCTTTAAGGCTCTCAATTCATTGGCTTGATTTTTCACTTTGTAAACTTTCCCGAATGTGCCCTAACCTATTTAGCTAATTTTTTCATATCTCGACATAATATCATTTCGGATATTTACTATCAGATTTCCAGAATTGACTATCATAATTTAATTTAAGTTTTACTAACATATAATATTTAGTATTAATATTCATAATAAAGCATTTAATATTTAATTATTTACTAAAATTATTCTGAGTAATATAATTATATATGTTGATAAATATTAGAAGAATATATAACTTAATATAAAATCTTATTATTTTTTACTGTTGTTTTAAAAATTACATTAATAATATATAGGGAGTGAAATCAAATAAAATTAATTTAATCGTTTACTGATTTTCTTGATGGATGTTTAAAAGGTGTAATTATATTCATTACATTTATATAATGTGGAATGCAATTTCTTTCTTTTGATATTCTATGCAAATAATCATCCACAGTCTATACTTAATCTTCCTCTTCAGATGAACTTGTAACATGTTATTCTAATTTTTGATCAACTCTTTAAGATGATGCCTAATCATTAGAATTTTGTTCCCTCAATTCTAAAATAGTTCTTAAAGATGCCAATATTTTAATATTTTCTTTTTCATTAGAATTTTGCTAATGTTTCTAATTTATTAACCATTAATGACAAATAGCTGCTGAATAAGTTATTCTAGTTTATGGATTTGGGTCTAATAATTGACATAAAAAGTCAATTAAGGAATACGAGTATTATAGTTAATTTTTATTTTATAATCCTTTAAGCCATGTATAAGAGATTTAAAAATTATCAATTGTTTTATTAAAAGGAACTTATTTAATACCCTTCTCAGGTAAAAATATTGTTAAATAATAAAGCAAAACTCCAATTTAATATAAATCAATTTATAAAAAGTCTTACTTCCCATTTAAACATTAAAATTCAGGTGGTATCCAAGCATTAGGTAATTTTTAAATTATGGAAGAGGCTTAGTTTGCATCTCGAAAACTAAAGTTGAATAAAGTAATTTTAGTTTATTATTGAGCATTATTATTGTTTCTTAATAAGATAATATTTGTAGGTAAAATTGCTGCATGATATAGATTATTTATTGTTAAGAATCTACATACTTTTATTAATTGGTATATGATTTAAGAAATCTATTGCATTGTTAATTATAATCCTTGTTATAATTATTTAAATAATGTGTCTCCTATCCAATAATCATATAATATATAAAGAATTTCACCATCTTCAAACAATGCATGGAATTAATTTAATCCACTTTACTTAAAACACATCAAAATGTTAATTTCATTCATCAATTATTCATAGTTTTAATCATTTAAATGTGTAAATCTTATCATTTGTACTGTGTATATTCGATCTACTGTTTTTTAATAAATATTTTACTGTTTTTGTTTTTAGCACAAACAAAATGATTTGGGATTGATAGTTTTTCTTTGATTGTGTATTTTTAAGAAAAATTTTGTTGTTTACAAAATCTTTTTAATTACTTTTCCCACTAAGATTAATAATATAAATACACTCAATTGCTAAACATAAGATTCATAAAAAATAAAAAGATTACCATAATGATTAAAAAGCATTAGACCTTGAGCTATAAATTCTTTATATTAAATTATTTTCTTAATCATGATGCAGGTAGATAAAATCAAGAATTCTCCATAACTATTAATAAGCATATTAGGATAAAGTGAAAATGTAATCTACTCAAATTTATTTGTTTTATTGTTAAAAGTATAAAGATCTGATTTTAGTATTTGATCACAATCTTGTAATCCTTATAATTGAGTTTAGCTTGCTGTTTTGAGGTTAGTTTATTGCAGTTGATACTTAGGTATCTAATCTAGAAGATTTAAAATCCATTCAATATTCGCAGGCTTTTAATTTTTTATATAGCTTAATCTTTTCTTAGTTTATTTCATAATTTCATTAAAATAAAAGTATGAGTCATATTCTTAAACACAACTAACTGAAATGAATGTAGTTCTTATGATTCTATTTTGCGGGTCTAAAATCAAATCAGTAAGTGATCAGAGAATTACTTTAAATGTCGAAAATAATTATATTAGATATCTATTTCACTCTAAAATACTTATAAAAATTTATAGTTTATGAATTTATCTCAATTCATTCTAATGATGCATCTTTAAAAAATTAAATAAAAACGAGCTTAATTATATTATTTATAAAAAAGGGTTTTTGTTTCTGTTAAAAAATTGAACTTATTTTTATTGATCTTCTGCTTTTATAAGCAGTGACTTGATAGAATATGGAGATACTTATAAAAATTTGTATTTAAATTATTAAATTTGTATTATAAAATTTTTATTAATGAATAGTTAACCAATCATTCTTAAACATTAACTTATTACTAATCATCCTTAACATACTATTCTTATAACTATTATTATGATTCAATTTTAGGATTTAAATCTTGTTGCTATTATTTAAACTACTTTTAATCATTTGAGTCTTAAGATTATTGTTAAATGTTATCGATTTCAGATTGAAACTATTTTAAATTTGAGGAATCATTCAACATTTATTCTTTCATTTTTCTTCTAACAATGTTATTCTAAATTATCTCAATAAATTACATTAACTAAATATTTGGAATAAGGATTAAATTTTTAATGATGTGAACGACACTATGAAGGAGATCTAGACTTAATGATATCTGACATTAGTTTAAAAATTTTGTTTGTTTTTTTTAACTCGGAACTTTCCATAACTTCTCTATGTTATAACAAAAATGTTAGATAGACTTAATGTTCCTAAGCACTCCAATGACCTTTCATATACAATTATTGAATACCATTATTAAACTAAGGATTATGTGATTTTTTGATATGTTTTCTCTTTATTTTATTATCTCCGAGATCTTTTGTTTGGCTATAATTGATATTTTCAACACCCTAATTTATATTCAAAATACTTAGAATTAGTTTAACAATGCTGCATTCAACATAAGCTATTATTATAAAAGTTATTATGTGAATAAATCCATGACTCTAGGTTCTTCTGCAATTAAAGGAACATTATTCATTTGAGAAAAATATGATGATTGAAGCTGTTTTAATTACTCTAGTTAAATAGTTTAAAGAAATAAATCTGGATTCTACATCATTTATGTAAATTAAGGCATTAAGAATTGAGGATCAATCTCTGGTTTGTTTGTTTCTATTAATAAAATATTATTTATTACAAATACAAGGAGAATTCTCTTCAATAAGTGGAACTATGCAATCTCTTGAAGATGGGTTAAGACGGTCCATAAATTATTTTTAAATTTTAATTAAGATTTATATATCTGATTCAGATATTAGTATTTAATTTAATAATGTTTTATATTATTCAATAATATTTCAAGGATAATTTTTATTTACTTATATATTTACGAATTAATTATTAGAATTCAAGATTCTATTTTATGAGCTTCATAATTTTAATAGAAATGCTAGAATTTACAACATTCAAATTGCCAATTAAAGTGACGTAATCTTTTGTATAATTATAGAGTTTTAAAATAAATCAATAATCACTAATTATTCATATTATTTATCATTAGTTTATATCACTTCCCATTAAGTTGATATTAATTCAATAGATTTTTTCATATTTATTTGCTTTATATTTTGATAAAATTTATCACAACTGTTGACAGAAAAACTTAAAAATATAATAGATTTCTCTAAATTTACTTTAAATTAAATAATTGTGGTTCTCTGAAACTAATCAATCGACATATTGGAAATAAAATAAAATTTATTGAAAATTTTGTTTGCAAATTAAATAAGTCATCATTATTTTAAATATTTTTTCTAATAAATCATTATTTCATGGAACATCATATTAATTAATCAAAAGATTCAAATTTTATTATTAATTAATTTTCTAATCATACATTTAATCAATGTTCTTTTCAATACTTTTAGTCTTCATTGGCATTATTGATATTTCCAATACTTAATGGTATATTTCAAATAGTTACTTAAATAATGATGAAACCTATAGTATCTACACAGGATCACTTGGATACTTATATTCCAGTGGCTTTGTTTTGCCATCTACAACAACTTAAGCTTAATTTATCACATGTACCTCACCTACAATAAGTTATATAACTTTAAATTCAACTAAGCCTTCTGTTTAGTAATATTATACATACTCATTTATGAGTGGAAGTTTTATAACATTTGATTTATTTTTTTAGGGTACTTGGTCAAATAAAGCTGTAACTTTCACAATAGGTACGTTTTCCTACTCACATACTTATACTTCACCTTCAGTATATCCGATAACAAGTGGGTTTTGTGATACTCTATCAGCTGACGTCAGAACTCTAAATTTTAGTTTAACAACAAGCACGTCATCAAAAATATAATTCACTTCTACAGGCTCAGGAGATGCATAAGTTTCAATTAAGAATATTTATGCTATCAATCCTTAATGTTATTCATCATGTTCTTAATGCACAGGTCCCAATTTTAATTAATGCACTGGTTGCTATTATGGAAGTCCTACTAATAGTATTTGTCCACCCTGTCCATCTAATTTATATTATATGAAAAAGTTGGGATGCAGAGATATTTGCGATATTTACAATCCATTATATTATAATGGATTCTGTTAAACTAATCAAAGTAAATATTTTCTATTACACATATTAGTTGGCTCAATAACATCAGCTTCTATTTCACCAACTCTTCTTGGCTCTGAAAATTTAAAGTGGTCTATACTCTATGACTTATAAAATATTGATACCTCTCCAACACCCTAATATGCTAATTAGTACATTTATGGGATATTCAAGTTTTAATCTGGCATTTATAGATTTTTTAATTTATAATCAGCTTATTCATAAGCAACTTATTTAATTGGGTTAAAAATTTCAATCACTACTTTTAATGAAATTCCATTAAATTGTGGAATATAATTTAAAATTAATGACACGTATTATGGATCGATTTATAGAAATTCCTCTGGTATTCAAACACATAAACTAAAAATTTTTTCAACTTCGAACTATGGTTCATATTTAACTTATTCTACAAACCAGAGATATGAATTAATTACTTATATAGACATTCCGAATTTACCAATTTTCTTTAGAGCTGTTGGCAATTATACGTAAATTAAATCTATATTAAGTAGCGATAATACAGCAGGATGGGGGATTGCTTCAGTTCAATTTACTTCAGGGTATTGTTCTTAATATTGTTCAATATGTGAAGTATCATTTAAATGTAAAACTTGTATAAGTGGATACTATTATTATAGAGATGGTAGTTGCATTGGTAGTTGCTCAAGTTCTTATTAGATATTAAATGGTACTTATTGTTATGATTTCGATGATGAAACCCCTTGTAAAATATTTATATGTATATAGATTCTAAATATTTAATATAAGATTTTGTAAATTCTGCCTTTGATCATCAATAGTACGCATAATATACATTAGTCTCACAAAGCGGAATAAATTTTTTAAAGGGATCAAATATATATTATTCAGTTTTTCAAGGAATTAGAGTTTTTGGAGGACCTTATGTCTGGGCTTAAGCTAAATTTTAAAGAATTTATAACATCATAGATCCTCATCATAGTATTACCATAGCATTTTATATTCTTTATGGACCGTCATTTCCTACAGATGGAAGTTTTATTTACACAATTGACAATTATGCCCCAGTTACTAAATCAAAAACAAGTTATTTTTCAACTTATTCTGATGGAAGTAGATACGATAAAGTATATCAAAGAATATCACATAATATAAATACATTAACAATCACTTGGGAATGTTTTGGACTAAATAATGAGCCAATTAAAGCTTATTGTGGATTTTATAATTATCATATTGCTGTTCATTACTGCTAACCTTATTGTTTATAATGTTTAGATCAAAATACATGTACATAATGGAATAGCACTTATGATGCAAGTATTGTAAGATTTTCTTAATCTGAATGTGAAAGTTATCAATATTTTGATAGAGATTCATTTAGATGTTTGCAATGTCATTCACCTTGCTTAACATGCACATCTAAAATAGATTGTTAAACATGTTAATCTACTTTCACTTAAACTAAATTAGGATGTATTTGTTTAATGAATTAATATGAAGATTAAAATTAATGTTTTAATTGCCCAATTGAATGTACTTAATGTCTAAGTGCTTCATATTGTTTGGAGTGCTTATTTATTAATAATAGATAACTAGTGAATGGATAATGTAATTGTCTAGTTGGATATTATCCAATTGCATTAAATCCTTAATGTTAATAATGCCATTAATTTTGTAATACATGCACTGGACCTACTTCTGATGAATGTTTAACTTGTTCTAATATAATTAATATCGAATAAATCGGATCAACATGTAGATGCCCATCAGGATCATATTATTCAGATCCAATAAAAACATGTTCTTTCTGTCATTATTCCTGCTCAACTTGTTTTAGAACTACAATTGAAGGTTGCTTAACATGTAATCCTGCATTAAATAGAATATTAAAAGGATTAAAATGTGAATGTGCACCTGGGTATTATGAATTAAATAATGTTTGTACAAGTATTTAAGATCTTAGTTATTATAGGTTGTCCAACTATAATAGATACATCTTTAACTGAATGTTATAAATAATGTAATAATAGTTAATAAATATGGCATACTAATATTTGTAATTCTTGCGATTCTGGATTTCAATTAGTATCCGGAGAATGTCAGCCTATTTGTGGAGACTTATAAATAAAAGGATATGAATAATGCGAAGATAATAATACTATTTTCGATGATTTATGCTATAATTGTTAATTTCAATGTCCACTTCATTGTGAAATTTGCGATTAAACAACTTCATTACCATGTCCAGATATTTGTGGAGATGGAATTATTACTGGAAATGAATAATGCGAAGATGGAAATTCTATCTAATATGATGGATGTTTTAATTGTTAATATTAATGTTAATTGTAATGCACAAAATGTATAAAAGGAGAATGTATTGAATGTGCAACTAATGGATGGTTTATTGATCCTACAGTTACTCCTTGGTAATGCAGAGAAAGATGTGGAGATAATATTATTGTTGGAACTGAATAATGCGAAGATGGTAATTCAAGTGATACAGATGGATGCAAGGATTGTAAATATTTTTGTAGAATTGGTTGTTCTTCTTGTAATTTTACTAATAAAACTTGTTTAAGTTGTGAATTTCCTGGTTTTACTCCTGTTTCTTATTATTGCAGAAATATTTGCGGAGATGGTTTAGTTGTAGTAGATCCATATGGATTCTATTATGAAGAATGTGACGATGGTAATACAATTAGTGGAGATGGTTGCAGTAGTTCATGTTATTATTAATGTTAATCAATTTCTATTTGTACTACATGTGTCAGTAATAGATGTGAACTTTGTGCTTCGGGATATTTACTAACAACAAATAAAATTTGTGTTCCAATTTGTGGAGATGCAATTTTAGTAACTGGCGAATAATGTGATGATGGTTTGATATTACCATATAAATGTTAAAATTGCAAAGTAAGATGTTAAAGTTCATGTCTTACTTGTTCTACTACTGTGCTTGGTTGTTTAACCTGTAAAACAGGTTATACAAGAATTGATTATTTATGTTATTCCATCTGTGGTGATTAAATAGTAACAGAAGATGAATAATGCGATGATGGAAACTTAATTTTAGGAGATGGTTGTCATTTTTGTTAATATACTTGTTAGGATGAATGTCTTAATTGCATTAAAGGAATCTGTTATGATTGTTTAGATGGTTATAAATTGATACAATTTAAATGTTATCCTATTTGCGGAAATGGAATAATATAAAAAAATGAGTAATGTGAGATTCAAAATTAATTACAGCCTTCACAAAATTGCAAATCTTGTAAGTTTTCTTGTGATATGAACTGTTTTTTATGTTTATATGGAATTTGTTAACAATGCATTGATGGTTACGAGTTATCTTAGAATTAACAATAATGTTATGAATCTCTATAAAATACTAATTTTGCCATCGAAAACTGTTTGATCTAAATTAGGAATTCTTGTTACAAATGTTAAGATCATGCTTATTATGATTAAGTAGAATAAAAGTGCAAATCAAAAGAATCAAGTTTGAATTTTTGTTAATATTATCTTAAAATATAACCTGATATTTATTGCAGTCAATGTTTTGAATACTGCTCATTATGTAATAATAATACATGTGTGGATTGTCAAAAAGGTTATTATCTAGATGAAAACTAACAATGTAATTCCTTTTGTGGTGATGGAATACTTTCACATGATGAATAGTGTGAAATAAATGATTAAAATTGCTTGAGTTGCATGCTTGAAGCTCCAAAATTATGTGAATTGTAGTTTTAAAATCTTTGCTATTAATGTGAATATGGATATTATTATAATTAATATTCTAATATATGCGAATCTAATTGTGGAGATGGAATAGTATCTCATGATGAAGATTGCGAAGATAACAATTATTTAGATTTCGATGGTTGTTATCAATGTAAATTTTCATGCAGCTAATATTGTATTAATTGTTAAAAGGACGTATGCTAAGAATGTGAATTAGGTTTTTTTCTTTATGACGGATTTTGTTTTAACGAAGAAAAAGATAATGAATGTAGTACGGAATGTAAAATATGTCAATAAGCTCGATGCTTACTTTGTGAAAAAGAATATAAATTCAATGAATATGGTGATTGTGTACCTGGTTGTTAAGAAGGATGCATTAATTGTAGTTATTCTTAATGTTTACAATGTGGAATGGAATATTATTTATATGATAACAAATGCATTCTAATTGAATAATGCTCAGTAGGTTTGTACTTAATTTAAGAATTATTAATCTGTGAATCTTAGTGTGGTGATGGATTTATAACTGGTTGGGAAGAATGTGATGATTAGAACAGTTAATAATTTGATGGTTGCTATTAATGTAAATATGAATGCATTGAAAATTGTATTCAATGTATATAAGGAGAATGCTTATATTGTTCTACAGAGTTTAATTTAATTGAAAATTAATGTTTATCTAAATGTTAAGAATCTTGCCTTAATTGTGTCGAAGGAATATGTTAATTATGCGCTAATGGGTATTTTCTAAACGAATATTATAAATGTACAAAAATAGATTGCGAATACGACTTTAGTTGCACTTAAGAATGTGGAAATGGTATTATTGAAGCTTAGGAGTAGTGTGATGATCAAAATTTCATAAATGGAGATAGTTGTAACAACTATTGTGAATTAACATGCGATACTAATTGTATTAGTTGTATAGATGGTATTTGCTTATAATGTGCAGAAGGATGGGTATTCAATCTATTCTTATGTAAACCTATTTGCGGTGATTCAATCATGGTAGGAAATGAAGAATGTGATGACGGAAATTCCATCAGTTTTGATGGATGTTTTTAGTGTTAATTCTAATGTATTAAATTTTGTGAGGATTGCTAATAAGGGGTATGTTAATCATGTCAAACTAATTTTGAATTAGATTTATCAAATAATTCATGTAAGCCTATTTAGAATTAAGTTCTAACTTACACATAGCCTGATTGTAAACAATATAATAACGACTAATGCATATAATGTTAAGCTGGATATCTTGATTTGATAACAAATGTTTGTATAATTAATTATAGTATGAATAAATGCACTAAAAATTGTAAATATTGTGTACTTGAAAAATGTTTAGAATGTGAATAAGGATACTATGGTAACAAATGTACTCCTAAATGTGGAGATGGCTTAATAGTAAAAGAAGAAGAATGTGATGACGGAAGTTCATATTAATTAGATTCTTGTTTAAATTGTAAATATTAATGTCCTGAATATTGTAGTAAATGTGCTTATGGTGTATGTACACAATGTTATTAAGGTTTTTATTTGGATATTGTTAGTAATTCTTGTAATTCTAGTTGTGGTGATAAAATATTGGCAAATGATGAAGTTTGTGATGATGGTAATGAATTGAGATATGATGGATGTTTTGAATGCAAATATTAATGTTAAATGGAATGTTTAGATTGTTAATTTGGTAAGTGTAATTTGTGTGAATCATCATTAGTTTTAGTTTAATCTAAAGGTATTTGTGAATAATTAAAATAATGTGAAGGTTTGACAGGATTATATTATGATGTCTTAAAAAATGATTGCTTACCTTAGTGTGGTGATGGCATTATTGTAGGGAATGAACAGTGCGAGGATATGAATAGTATTCCTTATGATGGATGTTATGAATGCAAATATTAATGTGATAAATTGTGTACAAACTGTTAAAAAGGAGAATGCTTTGAATGTTAAAATGGATATATATTAGAGGGTCAAAAATGTAAAACTAAATGTGGAGATGGTATCAAAATTGGAGAAGAGTTATGTGATGATAAAAATGAGATTCCAAGAGATGGATGTACTCTTTGTAAAATTGATCCTTTATTTAAATGTGAAGAAGATACAAATTTATTAAGCTTTTGTTATAAGTGCTAAGAAAATTGTTAGGATTGTAATTATAACAATAATCGAGTGGAATGTTTATAATGCAAAAAAGGGTATTTCTTAAAAGATAATACTTGTAATTCTTGTTCAGAAAAATGTGAGGAATGTGTTAATACTCCAAATAACTGTACTTTATGTTCTACAAGTGATTGTAAACGATGTGATAATATTTCTGGATTTTACTTAAATTAATAATCAAAAACCTGCATTACAAAGTGCGGAGATAATATTATAGCAGGATTAGAACAATGTGATGACGGAAATCTAATTGATTAAGATGGATGCAATTCTAAATGTCTTATAGAAAAAGAATTTGTTTGTTAAGGAGGTGTTTGCTTTGTTCCTCCAAAGAAATAAATTGAGTTAACGTATTCTAATTCAACTACAACAAGTGATTTTGATTTAGTATTTGAGAATCTTGGACTTGATAGCATTTGTGATAAATTAAATATTTGGATAGAATTATTCGAAACAAATGAATTTAAATATATAATTTCAAAGAAGGATAATTCAACTGCTGAAGGCTATGGAGGATGTGAAATAAAATTTAACTTCTTTAAAACAATATTAGAATCTAATCTTATTCATCTAATAGTTCCATTAAAAGAAAATAAAACTAGATTAATTGAAGAAACTAGAGAAATTATTATTACACCAAGAAGATTAGTATATTATAATGAAGAGTAGCAAGCATAAGCTTAAAGTGTTGCTTCTGCATCATCTTCACTTACTTTCATTCTTTAATTAGTTGGACCATTAACAATTATTCTAGGAGGATTTAATTTCTTTTGGACAATATTAGATATTTTAACTTGGATTAACAATTTCTATTTTCTAAATGTAGATTATCCTTTGAATGTTAAAATATTTTTTAATTAACTTGAATGGGGTGATATAATAAATATTCCTGATATAATCTCATTAAATTCACCAGATGATCCATATTATTTTGAAGCTCCTCCTAAATTTTTAGAAAAAGATGTTAATCCTTTATTTTTAAACAACATATAATTATTTTGTGGACTTATTTTACTTGCTTTATTTGCATTTTTCTGCTCTATTTGCATTTTATAAATGATAGAAAATAAGTATCAACCAAATTTAGTATCAACGCATAAAATAGAAATCTTTTCAGTTAGTTAAGTAAATAAGAGTGTTGAAGTAATGTCACCACAAAAGTCTTAAATGAGAACAATAAGGTTTAAAACAAAATAAATGCCATCTTTAATAAATTCAATATATAAAGAAGTATTATGGTTTAAGGAGAATTTTAGGGCTAAATTACTGTAAATCATTGGACTAGTCTTTTTGGATATTTGTTTGGCTTGTGTTCTTTAATTACAATATACAAAAAATTAAGAGTTTATCATAATTTAATTGAATATTTTATTAGCGATTATTGGAGTTATTTTTATAGTTTCTGTATTTTAGTTATACTCATTTGTTTGTTCATAACATTAAATTTTGTATGAAAGTTAAATTTTTTAAAATTATTACTCCTCATTATATGAAGGAATCAATACTAAACAATTACTAGCAAGAAAATATTGTTATGTAAATTTAATGAGGAAAGCTTTATTTATTTTTTTTACTGTATATTTTTATGATGTTCCTTTATTGTAAACATCATTATGTTGTTTAACATGTTTTTTAAATTTAGCTTTGATTTTGTATCAGAATCCATTTGAGAATAGAAGTGTACTTATACAAACAGCAATACCTGATTTTTGCATATTTATTATCATTTTTATTACAGTTTTATTGGCCATTCATGATGTTAGTAACATATTTTCATTTGATTAAAAATATATGATTGGATGGATAATCTTATTTTTTATAGGGTTTTCAATATTGATATAGTTGATCTTTTTGTTTCAATAATTCTTTTAAGATATGAAAGCAAGACTGATTCAATTAAAGGATATGATTTGTAACTAAAAAAATAAGAAAAATTGATTATTTAATTTAATGTTAATTGCAAGAATATTATGATAATATTATATAAATAAAAAAGAAAGAAAAAAAAAAAGAGATATAAAAATATAAATTGGTTCTTTATCTAATACTCTCATTACTTGAGTGTTTCTGGTGCATTACCTACTTTAACAACACATCTATATTTAGGTCTTCCATTTAATAATTTATCATAAGCTCCTTTGAAATTTTCAAACTCAAATTATTCACATGTTGGATAGATCTTATGTTTATTAGCAAATTCAATCATTTCATAGTTTTCCTATTTATATAATATAAATGATATACTTGTCTTGAGCCAACAAGAGATCCAACAAATGAAATTTATCTAACAACCAAAGCAAAAAATGGTAATTGAAGTTCAACTTTAGTAAGTGCAGGAATACCCACCATAACAAAATCTCCTCCACTTTTAACAAGATTTGTATAAGCAATAAATTCATCGACAGTATTAGCATTAGCACAACTTAAAATCATATCAAATTTTCCATTAGCTTTAACCATTTATTCTTAGTTCTTAGTACAAATAAAATCAGTTGCCCCATATGATCTTGCTTCTTCTTCTTTATCTTATGATGTAGATATAGCTATAGTTTTCATTCCTAAAGCAGCTGAAAATTTAATTGCCAAATGTCCTAAACCGCCTATTCCTAATATACCAACTGTTTTATTAGCTCCAAAATGTCTTTTAAGTGGTGCATACACTGTAATACCTGCACACAATAGAGGTGGTGCTAAATGTTATGGAATTGTATTTGGAATTGGAAATGCCCATTTTGCTGGTAATTATACATGTGTAGCAAATCCACCAAACTTTGGAAGTGGAATCAAATGTTCATTACCAACTTATCCACATAATTAATCGTTTCCTAATATACATTATTTGCATTTTCCACAGCTATCTCTTATGAATCCTGCTCCAACCAAGTTACCAATTTAAAATTATGTTACTTACTCTCCTTTTTATACTATATGACCTAATATTTCATGTCCTGGAACACTTGGGTAATTTTTTGGGAACCAATCTTAATTAACAAGATGACCTAAAAAAAAATATATCATTTTATTTACAATCTGTATAGCATAAACCAAAATATGTCTATTGAATTCTAACTTCATCTGCTCTTATTGGAGGAAATTAAAATGGATAAAGCACTGCTTCTGTATTTGGACCTTCAAAAGACCATGCAAATGCTTCAGCTTAATCTTTACTTACTAATTTATAAAGACTGTGTTCCTTTGTTGCCATAAATTATATTTATTTATCGATTCTTATCAAATACACTTATCTTCATAAATATTCTCATCTCACTCATGAATCACCTTCTCTTATCAAATCAGAATTTAGAAATTTCTATATTATTTTATAATACTAATCATTATCAATAACAAAATAAATCATCCATTCTCTAACATACTTAATAAGCTTCTAAAGTATAAATTCACAATTTTTTTAATTCTTTAACCATCATTTTTTCATCAAAATAAAATTCATTCTAAAATCAATTATTTTCATTTGAAATTCTTCTTCTCTTTTTTTTTTCTATCTTTTGAGTATTCTATTTGAAAATTGGGGTACTTGTGCTTTTTTATTTGATTCTGCTCAAGTTTTACAAAAAAATTACAAAATTGATATAATGTTATTTATAATATTAAATGAAGCTTGGAATATATGAAGTAGGAATTCTACCATCTTCTATTAAAAGATAAAATAAAGAATTGTAACCATTTTAACAATGGCAATTTTTAGGGAAAAATTATTTATCCGCAACTTTCATTAGTTTGCTAGATTTATTTATTAAAACTAATAACAATGGAGCAATAGAATAATTGGCAAATCCTAAACCAAGTTATAAAAATCAAGATTCCCTTTAAATTTCTCAGTTTATTAATAGTCTAAGAACTAAATAAATTAATACAAAAGAATTTTTCATTTTATTAAAAAATATAGACAATCTTAATACAAAATGTGGATAACTATTAGATGAATTTTGTGACATTAAAGGATTAAGAAAAACATAAACTGAAGCAAGGGTAACAACTGAAAAAATTTCACAATACTTTTCCCTTTAAATTAATTTAATTGGATAGCGCTCTATTGGCAATTCTATTTAATCGTAAATATACTTTTATAAGAATGATGATGGGTTTTATCTGATTAAATAAACAAGTCCTATAATTTAATATTTGAATCCACCAAAATAATAATGCTTAATGTGTTCTCATAAATGTGATGATTATTTTATTAATTCTGATTGTTTACATATAACTTGCTGGAAATGTTTAAGGGAAAAAGTTAAAAAGAGTAGTTCATTATAAACTATTTAATGTAATAATGGTTGTAAGGATAAAATTCTAGTACGAGATGCATAATAATATATAAAAGAAGAATAAAATAAATAAAATTTGGAATAATCATTAATATTATCAAAGTCTTAATAGTTTGGAAAAGATAAATGTGAACCTTAAACTTTTCATAGCTAAATTATAAATTAAAATTCTAATTAGGTTTTATATGATAATCTTGCTGATTCAACTTATTAAATATGTAATTATTGTAGTTAACCCTACAATTAGCAATTATATATTAATAAATCTTGTAATCATAAATTTTGTATAGATTGTTTCAAATAAAGAATCTTTAAAAAAGGATAAGCTTGTGCAGTAAAAGATTGCAATAAAGCAATTGATGATAATTTCTTCTAATAACGAATTTAGCTAGAAAATGACACTTAATAATATTAAAAATCGATACAAAATGAAATTTAATAAAATTAAAAACCCAAACAAACTGACATTTAATAAAATTAACAACCCAAATAAATATCAAATAATTAAATGACGAAATGTAATAAATGTAAGAATGAGTATAGTATAAAAAGTTTGTATAAAGATAAAAAATGTTTCCATTTTATTTGTTTCTCTTGCATATAATAGTAGGTTCAAAATTTATTAAAGAAATAGCAAAAATTATATCAAGTAAGATGTCCTTGTTGTACAAATTATTTTGGAACAGATTTCGAATAATATTATGATCAATAACAATTTTAATTAGTATAAGAGAGGATATAATCTGATGAATAATTATAGAAGGAAGAAGAAAGATTACTTTTTGAATCAATATAATTGTCAGCTTTTTAAAAAGAAAAAGAAGAAAAATAAAAATAATTGTAAAATTTCGATTAAGTTTCAAATTAAAAAACTGAAAAATATTCTTCGAGATTTACCTTTTCTCAAGAGTAACAACAATAATAATAAAGAAATGAATAATAAAATAATTCTTCATCAGTAAAAAATCTTTTACAATCAACTTAAGATAAAAAGGTTCAAGAAGATATATAATAAAAAGTTGAGAAAGGTGAATGTACAATGTGTTAAACAAACTTTTCACAATATAATATGAGACAATAAATTGATTGTGTATATCATAAAATTGGAGTTTGTTGTTCTATAAAGTTTGATAAATGTCCATAATGTGAATAAAAAAAGGTGAATCCTTAAATGATCAGAGTCAAATGTACTATTTAAATCATAATTAGAAAAACTAATTTTGCAAACTTTCATTTAAAAAGTTGAATTCAATTATTCTCATATATATAATTCCTCGTCTATACAATCTAATAATGTAAAAGCAGAGGATTACTCTAGAATTAATTCTCGCGCTAATAATGATTAATCTCAAACTAAATCATAATATAGAAATAGCACAATGGATAATAATATTATCAGAAGTCAGGCTGTCCCGTAAAATAGGGTAGTGAATAATTATGGGGCAGGATACAGAAATTGATTATAATATTAATTAATGAATTATTTTTGATATTAATAATAATATTATATACAACAATAATAATAAATCATTTTGTATTTAATCCTGATATTTTATGTAAATAAATAGTGGATTACTATTTAGAATTTTCAAATTTGATTTCTTGTTAATTTTACATTAAGATGTAGAAATCTTCATCGGATAGTTGCAATTGTTCATTTTTTAAATTATTCGAATACTACTAATTTACATTTCCAATAAATAAACTTTAAGGTTTTTAAAGTTATTCAATATTGATGACACTAGAAACTTTGACATCTAATGTGGCTTAAGGATTCTAAAATTTAAATAAATAAATTTACATTGATTTAAGGTTGTACTCTTATTTCTTCAAGAGACTAATCATCCACATTTTCTACATGAAAATCATGGACTTTGTTCATTTATTAGATTTCTGATTTCTCTTCTGGTTCTGGTGATGTTTCTAAAATATTCAATTTGATTCCTACACTATGACTTTAACTCAAAATATCAGAATCGAAATTTGAACGTAGAATAAATTATAATCTTGAAATTTCATATAAAGAATTAGTTAAACATAGTTTTTATCTGGCAATTTCAGTTAAGTCTCTATATTTTGACATGAATTTTTTAAATGGAATAGATTTATCAAAATATCTGATTCCAATAATTTTTGAATACCAATTAGAAATAAATTTAATATTCTTAAATTATGGATAATACATTTCTATAACTGCTCTAATTACTCTGTCTTCAAGAGTTTTTTCATTTATCATATAAGCCACATTTGAGAAGAATAGAAAGAAGGAAATAATAGATCCAATGTTCGCTAATACTTCTGATACTTTAGGATATTCAACAAAAATAGTTTATTAAAGTGTTCCAAGTTCAAATTCGAAGACTATAAATACATCTTTTCCAAAAGTATGAGTAAAATAGTCTAAATCCATTTATTGTATATATGATATAACTTGACTTGGAAATTCGTGTTTTTAAATATCTTCAAATAAGAATCCTGTATCAACTGATACATTAGATGTTCCAAAAGACAATTGACTAAAATATGTTGTTTTATTATCAAAGGAAGCATAATAATCTTATTCTATCAATTCTAATTATTTAGTGGATGTATTATATTAATTCACAAATGTTCTTACAAAGAGCTAATTTTATTTCTAACTGAAAAACTCTTTAACTCTCTCTTCTTTTGCACAAGTCCATCCTTCTGGTAAAACATTTTAATCACACTCCTCAAACATTATTGTATATTCAATATTTTTTTGATCCAGTTCTTCATTTTCATTATTGGAAAGTTCTATATTCTTTAATTCAATAAGAATCATATTATGTTCTTGTGATAATTTAGTTGACAATAGAGGTGTGGGTATCTAAAGTTCATCTTCTATAACTTTGTATAACATTGGCAACAATACAACGTTATCTGGTTCAAAAGGATCTATTTAATCAGGAATACTTTTATGTCTTCTAAGACAAAACTCAGCTACAGTTACTTAATTAAAATTTAAAGCATAAGTCTCAATTTCAGTTGCCATACTTGTTACCTTTGGTAATATTTATCCTGATCTCCATAATATAAGCTCATAAATTAAATATGATAAACTAGCTCCATAAAGTAAAATAGAAAGCAATCCTCCAAGTGATGTCTTGAATTACACTTCTCCATATGCATAACTTGGTTTGTAATTTGCTCCAAATTAGTCAACTCTTCTTAAGAATTCTTGAATATTATTAATCATGTTTCTTTAATCTATAATTAGAAATATACAAATTGGTTTTCGAATTACGTTTAAGTTAATGACATAATTTAATTTTAATTAATTAGGTTCATTTTAAAAATGACATCATTTTTTAAAATATTTCAAAGATAATCAAAGATACTCTTACATCCCTCAATTTCATTACATAGCTCTCTAAATATTGAATTTATCAATTAGTATTTTATAATAATAGCATTTTTTCTTGATATAAATACAATAATATAAATTTACATCATGTTTACATTTTAATCAGTTTGACGAGTTATTTTGATTATTTTACAATTGACCTTTAGGTGTTACTGTTTCATATAATTCAATAATATTTAAATCTTTTATTTTTGGTTATTACTACATTAGAATATAGAAATCCTCATCTGTTAATTTCAAATCATCATCTATTGATTCTTATGGTTATAAGTTCTTTCCTAAAAAAAAACTTTAAGATTAATTTAATTATTAGAATTACACTACCTAAGAAGGTCCATCTACTATGGTCTAAGGTATCTAATTAATAAAAAATTAAGAATTACAATTTTCAAAATGCTTTGATTTTAGTTATCAATCGAAATATTATCAATAATTTCCTACTTCAACTCTTAATTATTCTTTATATGATCAATTTTTAATGCATTTTATTTTTCAATATCTGTTTCTAATTCAAGAGATTTTATTCTGATTCCAATTTCATGACAATTTTTAAGGACTTCTCTATCGCTTATTGATCTTAGAATGAATTATAATCTTGAGATTTCATAAAGTGTATTAGTTAAACATAATTTAGCAGATGCAATTTTTAATAATTTCTTATAAGTTTCTAAGAATGTAAATGCTACTTTCTACTTTTAATATCGAATTTCAATCACTTTACCAAAGAAATTCTTAATAAATGTAATTTCTTTAACTTAAGGATAATACATTTCTATCAAGGTTCTTACAACTCTTAATTCAAGATTTTTTTCATTAATGATATAGGCCACATGAGAAAAAAATAGAAAGAAGGAAATTATTGATCCAATGTTTGCTAAAACTTCTGAAATTTTAGGATATTCTATAAAAACTGTTGATTATAAGGTTCCTAACTCAAATTCAAAAACTACATACACTTCTTCATGAAAAGTATGGGTAAAATAATCTAAATCCATTTACTGAATATATTATTAAGTTGAACTAGGAAATTCCATAATTTCCGTACTTTCTAATAAAAATCCAGTGTCAATTGATACATTAGATGTACAAATAGTTATTTAGCTAAAATATGTAGTTTTATTGTCAATTGAAGCATAATAATCTTGCTCAACTAAATCTAATTATCTTGTAGAAGTATTATATTAATTAACAAATGTTTAGATTGTTAATTAGTTTTATTTTTAGTTAAAAAAGTCTTTAACTGTATCTTCATTTGCACAAAGCCATCCTGAAGGTAATAGATCCTAAACGCATTATTACAATATAAGCATATATTCTCTGTTGGGATGATCAACTGATTCATGTTCATTATTTGATAATATAACATCTTTGAGTTCAATTAAAATAGTTTAATGCTTTTCTGATTTTTTTGTAGAAAGTAACGGTAATGGTTTTTAGAGTTCATCATCTACAATTTCATATAACATTGGTAATAAAACAACATGACTAGGATCAAAAGGATCAATTTATTTCTAAATACTCTTGTGTTTTCTTAAACAAAATGATGCTATAGTTATTTGATCAAAAGATAATTCATATGTTTCAATTTCAGTATGCAATGATGTGATTTTCGGAAGTATTCTACCTGATCTCCAAAGCACCATTTCATATACTAGATAAGCTAAACTTAATCCATATAAGACAATTGATAGCAATCCTCCCAATGAAGTTTTATATTAAACTTCACCATAAGCATAGCTAGGTTTATAGCTAGCTCCGAATTAATCGATTCTTCGTAAGAATTCACTGCAGTTATTGAGCATACTTTATTTTTATTTCTTATCTTAAGTTTAAATACTAAAATAAAATGACACAATAATAATTTTGTTTTTTGAACTAAATAACAATTTACGTCATTATTATATAATAACAAAATTACTATCTGAATATAAAATTTAAAAAAATAAACTAATAAACCAGATAGAAAGACCTTCCTTTCTTTACTCAAGAAGAAATAAAATTTATTATCATGTGTTATTTAGATTTATTTGATTGTAATAAATTATATATAAATAAAATTATATAAAAAAGATTTTAAAAGTCAAAGTATACGATAATATTAAAGCACTTAAATTAAAGATTCCTTCTTTACTGGTTTAGATAAATAATAATCTATTCCATTTTGATAACATTATTCTTTAGTTTGATTATCAGTAAAAGCAGTGCAAGCTATAATTGCTATTGAAAAGCGTTTTTTAATTTATCTAGATGCTTCCCATCCATCAAGTAAGGGCATATTAATATCCATAAATATTAATTAATACTATCTCTCAAAGCATTTCCAACAATTGGCTAATAAAATAAAAGATAAAAAATACTTTTTTTTTATTTTGATTAAATTAAATCTACACATTCTTTCCCATTAAATACTTAGTCAGAAGTCAAACCAAGTTATTCTAATAAAATTGATAATGCTAATATATTAATTTATTCATCATCAACTATAAGTATATTAGGACAACGACATTCAACTAATGATTAATTACTTCTCATTAGAAATGATTATTATTATTATTATTACTAAGATTTAACGTATTTAATTCTGGTCTAATAATCTTCAATAGAACATTCATTATTAACAGTGTCAATAGAAACTGCATCAATAAGCTCTTATACAAAACGTATTTAGCTATGAGGTCTTCTTGGTCTAATTTGATTTCCGTCATTTATTTAGCCATTATTATTTAATAAATGAGAAAACTTGCTTCTCATAAGGCTTCTTTTAAATGTTTCAATTCCAGCATTAACTTCTGTCTATCTAGTGTCAATAATAATCTTTTTATTTAACATAATCAAAGGACTTTTTGGATTATTGGATTTTATTCCAGGACTAACTGTTTAAGGGTACACAGAAAACCAAGAATGGAAACCTTTTCCTGTTTGTGTTTCAAATCTTAAACCTCCTCCTTTTTCAAATCTCTATTATGATAAAGCTTCTGCTATTTTATTGCTAATAAATAGCCCTAAACCAAAACCAGCAGTATTTTTAGATATTTTTTATATTGATGGTACACCTGATTATAATAGTAAAGTTAATCTATCTTATTCTTACTTTGTCATTCCTATTCCAGTATCTTCAACATGGAAAACCACATATTATTAATTTTTAGTTGAAAAACATGTTTCAACCTTAAAAGATATTGATCCTTGAAGTGTAAACTTTTAAGCATTAGATACTAAATTTATCAAAATCTGTTTAATTCTATTTCTGTCAGATAGAATTTGTGTTATTTTTGTATTAAAATCTATTTTAATTTCTAAATTCTTTTTTTAAATTTGATCTTTAAAAAGCGATACTACTTCATTCATCAATTCCTGAATGTTAAAAAGTGCAACCTATAAACTAAATGTTTTTCCTAAAATACTATTATAATCCATCATATCTAAAACCATACTATGCATCACTTTCCCATTAACCAATATTGGTTTGAAAAATTATTCTTATATATTTTATGGTACTTCTTCATGACATTCTGCTACCTATGCCAATGCTAAGATATAATTTAAAGATGTATTATATTCATGACTAAAGCTCCTAAATAATTGTTGCATTGTAGTTTATGTAAACACTTTCTTAATTTACAAATTGTACTCTTCCATATTATGTAATATGATTGTAAATGATTTAGGTTCAAAGTAAAGTACCTTGAGATGAAGATCATTATATCCTCTAATACTAAACACTTCAAATTCATATGGATATTTCTGTAATTATTATAATTGTTCCAACAATTCATTTAAAGAATAATTTTGTTAAACTTCCTTTAAATCCTATATTGAAGGAAACTTACAACTAAATTATTCCTACATTAGCAATTTGGTCTACTTATCCACTGATTATAATGGACTATTCAAAAGTTCCTAAATATTGATATTTTTTAATAAATCTTATGCTCTAGAATTACACATTATCAGATTCAATTTACTATCTAGTTTTATTATACTAACCAAACAATTTTATAATTCTTATATTCGATCTGTGTCTGTACATGTTTTGATATTTATCGTGTCTTCAAGACCTCCTTCTGATCTTTTTAGTTATTGTTCTTATATTTTTTAGAAATAGAAGGTAAATAATAATAATATAAATGTTATTATTATAGGTTAACCTCTATTTAGATTGTCTAACATTTTCCAAATGCACATTATGATAAGATGGAAGGATTTGAAAATGAGAAAATAAAATTTCTTTGTTTCATCCTTATTTAAATTGTCGTATAATAAGGGTGGAAGTAAAAATAAAAATACATTTTCGTTATTCATCTTTTACATAATAACTATTATAAATTTATAGGTTACCTAAAATGTTTAGGGATAACAAAAGAATTGGAATGAGCAAGCTTATAGATTGCCTAGATTTTTGTAGATATTGGAATATGAGGAAGCAAAGAACAATCCCCAACTCGATACCATAATAAAATAGCTGTCTCTATCATATAAATATTGTACTCAATTCCTAGCATCATTTCGTACATTGTATTACAAAGCCAAACGCCACTGTATAAAATAGCCAATATCATATTTAATATAGTTTTTATATAATTAAATTATAATCGAACTTATAGATCAGTTGTATTTAAACTATTCAAATAGAAGTGTTTAATCTCTACTATTTTCAAGAATTAAGTTGTATTATAATTCATAGACTTCTGTTTTAAGATTTAATAAATTGATCTGATTTAATATCTGAAAATCAGTATTATCATCCGATGAATTTCTCAAGATTAAAAATAAAATGTATATAAATTTATATATGGTCAATTAAAAAATTTATTCAGTTTAATTCTACTTGTCATATGTCGATGGTATTTGAGTGGTAGCAATTAAATATCTGCATCCGTTTTTATAATACTATTTTAAGAAGTCAAATTTGTATTATTTAACAAGAATGTTTCAGTATTTAATTTTTTAAAACTAGATCTAGATGTTGTTATACAAGTTAAGCTTGATTATTTTTTGCGTTTAGGAGTTAATTTATCATATTTAATAGATTTCATTATTTCAGGTACCTAAAGATCAATAATATGATGATCTAAAAGAGATTTTTTAAGTGTCATTTTAATTTTTAATCTTTATTCAATGATAGATTGAACTTTAATTGGTAATTGTATAAATTATGATTTTGGAAGTTCAAAAATATGAGCTTATTATTTAACTCTTGCAGTATAAGGAGCAATAGTACAATCTTCATTGAAAGAATCAAAAATTGAACATGTACATAAAATATTACGTTTAGTTTCTAAATTAACTTAACCTTAATAGACAAGAAATAATGATTCAATAGGTTAATAGATAGTAATGATAGTATCATTTTCTTCAAACTAATGCAAGAGTAAAGAATCAGATAAAGAATATATTTATTATTTCTCAGTTTAATTTGTAGGTTCAAATAATTTGAGAAAGAATGTACGTTTTTATCTGATAAATTACTCATGTTTAAGAAATAATAGGGATTGTGATTATTTGGTGACATAGAGTAATTTGGAATGCTCTAGAGAAAACTAGATAAGATATAATACTTTACAATTTTAGAAAGGTATTGTTTTTCAGCAATATATCCATAATTTAATTGTCTTTGAAATAAGAGTTTATTCTTTTTAACATATTAAACATTAGATTCAAAAGAATCAAGGTCATCCTATTCAGAGGAATCAAGAACTAATTTTCCTTCTAAAAATAAGTAAATATTATCATTAATAGATTCAGAAATAACTTAAAAGGGATTTAATTCAAATAAATGAAGACGTTAACAAAGCTGAAGTAATTATAAATGATAAATACTAAGATATATTCTGATCTACTCTGTAGTTGCAATTTGAGGAATAATGGTTGAAGATGAAATTTTAGATTCTCATAAATAAGCTATACAATACTAGTTTTAAATACTTCTGCTTAATGTTAATTGCGCTAATTGATTTTAAGGAGATCATACGTAAGGGTATTAATAATTTCAGTCATATATATAAAATAAATGCAATTATAAATTGAATTAAAAAAGGAAGACATATTATAATTATATGGTAATCCATTTGTTATAAACAGAATTTGAATTCATAAAAAAAAGAAGTTTAGTAGGATGTGTACTAATAAATTAGATTAGATACTATGGTGATATTATTGAAAAAGCTTATATAATATATACAAATATCTAGAAAAAATGCAACTTAACAATGTGAAATACTTTGTGGGAACAAAATAAATAAAAATTTGAATGAACCAATTTTATTTGTGACTTATGATACATGCATAATTTATAAATAAGCTTTATAATTTCAGAAGGATTCATTGTGTATATTATTATGTGCAGAAATTATTGATTTGGAATAAATTGAAGAGCATAGTTTTTGAATAAATATTTTAGTTTTGTAGGATATTTGAAATATGATTAAATGAAGATTTTGTAAGAGTTTTATAGAGGTAGCCTGAGGAGTAATTTAGACATAGAAAAAAATAAAATAATGATAATATAAATTTATTATAAAATAAAATGGAGTAGAGTTCAATCGAAAGTGATGATGTGAGTTATAGTTAATATATTAAATCTAGGAGTTCGTTGAAAGACATAGAAAAAATTTGATGATTCTTCAATAAATAAATGAAATATGGAAGGAGTCTGATCTTTCGAAAGATGATGGAATCTTATAAATGTTAAATGAATTCAGAGAGGAAATATTGGATGAATTGGAAGATGAGTATGAACCAGAATATAAAGCAATTTAAGTTTAAGAAAATATAAATATAGATTTAGTTCCAATGAATGAGGTTTAAAAAGCTCTCATTTATGAAGATAAGTATGAATTATACATTATTAGGTATCCATTTTTAAAAATAAGAAAAAGAATCTTAATATTAATAAAGAAGATATCTATGTCAGCAATGCATATTACAAAGCATCCTATATTTGAGTTTTTCACTCTTATTATCATTATATTCAATTCTATCATGCTTGCTTTAGATGATCCGACTTCAGATATTTAGACTTCATTTTAAGATCTCATGGATATCATCTTTTTAGCAGTTTATACTTTTGAAGCAGTTTTAAAAATAATAGCAATGGGGTTTGTATTAAATAATAATTCATATCTTCGTGATTTATGGAATATTTTAGATTTGACAGTTATTATAACAGCTTACATTCCTTATTTTGTGAGTAATTCTGGTCTGTAGTTGAGTGCTTTAAGATCATTGAGAGTTTTAAGACCATTGAGAACAATATCATCAGTTAAATCTTTAAGAAGTATTATGATAACATTATTTGCCTCATTTGCTGAATTAGGAAATTCACTGATTATTTTAGGATTTACTTACACTATTTTTGCAATAGCTGGATTGCAACTATTTTCAGGATATGCTAAATTAAGATGTTTTGATGAATATGGTATTATTTAAATGTCTGGATATGATACTGATGAACCATTTTGTAATGGATCTTGTCCTGATAATTATATATGTGGTAAAATGTTAGATAATCCAATTAATGGACTTTTATCATTTGATAATTTTGGATTAGCATTTTTATAAGTATTTATAATCACAACACTTGAAGGATGGACCACTATAATGTCTACTATTATGATAACATTTTCATAATTCTCAGTCTTTTATTTTTTATTATGTGTAATTATTGGAGCATTTTTTCTTGTTAATTTAACATTGGCTATCATTAAAATTAATTTTTCTAAAGCAGAATCATAGGAAACTATCAAACCTGAAGATGTTAGTTATAATCTAAAGTAAATGAAACGATTGGGAATATATAAAATTAATCGAGAATCTCATTCTATTAGTATTACACGAAAGCATACTATGCGTTTGAATAAATTAAGATAATCAGTTAATAATAATAATAATAATAATAATTTAAATAATAATAATAAATAAATAGATGAACCAAAAAGAAGTTCAATTAAAGTTAATTTTTAACCTTTAAATATTAAAGATTTTAGTAAACCTCATTAAGTGAAGTATAATAATAATAGAATATTACTTTAAGGAATTTAAGGGGTTAGGACAGAATAAATTATTAATAATAATAAATAATAAGAACTTAATAATCCATAATTAATAATGAAAACTAGTGTATCAAATGTTAATGCTCCATAAGTTAGAAAAATAAGTAAGATTGGTACATAATTTAAATAATCTTAAAGAAAAATGTCGATTGCTAATTAAGATGAAAGTCCATTAGATGAATTAGATAATTTATTGAAATTTGCTGTTCGTAGATAATCAGTATTAAGAGTTGATACTAAAATTATGGCATCTCCTAGAATACCAACACCTTCTAAAGAAACTCCATAACCACCTAGTAGTAGTTCTATGTTAGATGAATCTCAATCTCCAGGAAAACCTTAATAATCTAATTAATTAAACATTCCAAAATAATAATTTAATTTTGAATAGAAATCTTTTAATGAAAATGATGCTCTTAGTGTTACACTCTCAGAAATTGATTCAATTCCAGATAGTGAATTAAATTAAAGATTCAAAGAATTTGAAATCTCATTTTAAATTGAAAAAACTGACGATAAAACAGTTAATGAAACTCAAGATAGAAAACCTCCTTAACATATTCATTAAAAAAGAAGAAAACAAGATATCCCATTAATTTATGAATTAAGCAAAGAAGATGAAAAATTAAAAATTAGATTATTTTAAGCTAAATTAGTTCCAAGAGTAGTATATAAAGAATTCATCTCAGAATCTAGTAAAGATATTCTTGTAAGTTTAGAAATCAAAAAATAAAAAAAAGATTAAGAATTAAGAAGACTTAGAATCTAAAATATGAAATTTATTATGAAATATCAATTTCAAAATAATACTACCATTCTAAAATTATCTAAAAATTAATAATAATAATCATCTAAAAGTTCACTTAATTCAAATGATTAAAAAATTAAAGAAACATCTAAAACTAGAAAAATCATTCCTTTATCTGAAATACCATCAGTATAAGAGATTATAACTCCAAAATTAACCCTTAGAAAATAATAAAAACGTAAAACTATTGTACATAAGGCTATAACTTATGAATAATATCAATAAGGTTTTCATAATAATTAAGAAATCGATTAAAATTTTGCTGATACCTTAGATTAAGTAAAAACTTAATAAATTACATTTAAAACTCCTAATGAATAATACTTTTATGATTAAGTTGGATTTTAATCATATCATTAATTTAAAAGTGATGATATTAATATAAACAATGGAATTCTTTGTGGATAAGCTTCTATTGAAGATGTCATCATTATTAGAAGTAGCTTAATAAAGCGTTTTAATTTAATTTTATAAGGAATGAATTTCAAGAAATCAGATTATATGATTTACATGACTAAAGACATAATTAAAATGTTATAATTTAAATTATTCTTAATTGTTGATTCAAGGTAGTTTAATATTTTCTTAAATCTAGCAGTATTTATGAATACTGTAATTTTATGTTTGGATGGTTTAGTGAATAACTAAGAAGATTTGAATAGTTTTAATCTTGCATTTACAATTCTATTCACAATTGAAATGGGATTTAAAATGATTGGATATGGTCTAATCCAATATATAAGAGACCCAATGAACATTTTTGATTCACTTATAGTAGCACTTAGTTTAGTTGATATATTTTTTTTATCTGGAAATTCAGTCTTCAAATCAGTTAGAATATTTAGAGCCTTAAGAGTTTTGAGAATAACAAAATTAATGAGGTATAACTATTTTATTTATAGATTAGATCTCTCAAATTCATGAACTTTTTGGTTTAAGTTTTGAGTAATGCCTTCTAATCTTTAATGTATATATTCCTTTTGTTGATCCTATTTATTTATATATTCACTTTATTAGGTATGTCCTTCTTTGGAGGTTAATTAACTTCCACACCTAGTAGATAAAGTTATGACACATTTTATGAATCTTTTCTGGTTGTATTTTAAGTATTGACTCTTGAGAATTGGAATAGCATTCTTTATGATTTACTCTAATAACCAGTATCATGGATTATAACTATGATTTATTTAATAGCATGGATCTTTATTGGAAGTTATGTGTTGTTGAATTTATTTTTAGCAAGTTTGCTGGATCAATTTGAAGCAGAATATTTAAGAGAACATAATTTAGAAAATAAGGATTAGGAAGATTAGATATAACAAAAATAGATATAATAGACATAAAGCATAAATTAAACTGTTGTTAATGTATCAGTTAATTAAACATTAAATCCAATTTTAGCAAAGTAGTTGGTAACTAGATAAGAATCATTAAATAAATTTATTTATTTTTCAGAAGTAGGCTTGTGCTTTTATTCTTTATATATATTTAGCTAAAATAATCCAATAAGAAGATTGTGTTATAAAGTGGTTAAAAATAGTTTATTTGATTAAACCATACTTTTTGCAATATTTTTAAGTTCATTGAAATTAGTTATTGATACATATGTGAGTAATTTTTTGGATTGGGCAGATTGGTTTTTTGCAATATTCTTTGGAATAGAATTTTTATTAAAAATAATAGCATATGGATTTGTAATGGAAGAAAGTGGTTATTTGAGAGAGAGTTGGAATATCCTTGATTTCATAATAGTAGTTTGTTCTTTTATAGATATATCAGTATCATCAATAGATTTAAGTTTTGTAAAGATATTAAGATTATTACGTACATTACGTCCTTTAAGAGTAATATCTTAAAATAAATCAATGAAATTATTAGTAACAACCTTAATAAATTCCATATCAGGTATTGTGAATGTAGGAGTGGTTGTAATATTAGTATTTTTGATGTTTGCAATATTAGGAGTTAATTTAGAAAAAGGGAAAATGAATTATTGTGATGAAGGTAATGATGTAGAATCATATTTACATAAATAATAATGTATTGAAAAAGGGTATGAATGGAAAAATAGAGATATGAATTTTGATAATGTATTTTAAGCAATGTTGACACTCTTTATAATATCAACTTAAGAAGGTTGGCCAACATAAATGTATTGGTTTGTTGATGCTGATGAAAGTGGACCTATTTTTAATAATTAAATGTGGTTTACTAGTTATTTTTTGATATTTTTATTGATAGGATCAATCCTTTTAATGAATATGTTTGTTGGTGTTATTTTAGTAAATTACAAATTGGCAGAAGATGATATGAAAGATAAAAATGTATCTAGAGATTAAGAAGATTGGATAAGTATATAAAAACTAATTATTGATTCTAATCCTAATTTTGCTTTGTATTATCCACCAAAAAACTGTTTTAGAGCATTTATTTTCAAGGTTATTTCAAACAGATTATTTGATCTCTTCATTATGTTTTGTATCATTTTAAATATTGCAGCGATGGCATCAAATTATGAAGGTAATCTTGATCTAATTAAATAGGATCTAGTGTCTATTATTAATACATTTTAGAAACTCTAAATTTAGTTTTAAGCATAGTTTTTATATTTGAATCTCTTTTAAAAATAATTGGATTTGGACCAAGAGGATATTTCAGAAATAATTGGAATTAATTTGATTTCTTTGTCGTTCTTTCATCAATTTTAGATATGATTTTGAGTTTTACTGATAATAAGAATAATCCAATTTTAACAGCAGGACCTTAATTAATTAGAGTGTTTAGAGTATTGAGGGTTACCAGATTATTTCGATTAGTCAAATCATTACATAGTCTTAAAAAGTTAATTGATACAGCCTTATTTTCATTGCCTGCATTGTTCAATGTATCTGCTTTAATGTTTTTACTTTATTTTATTTTTTCTGTTTTAGGAGTGTTCCTATTTAGTAATCTCAGGTATTATTATATTATTTATTTTTTAGTGATGGTTACATTATTAATAGTGAAAATAATTTTAACGATTTTCATCATGCTTTAATTCTACTTTTTAGATGTACAACTGGTGAAGATTGGTATTTATTGATGTATGATATAATGAATAAAGTCAATTATTATTATTGTGCTTATTTCATTATATTTGTAGTAATAATGTAAAGAATTATGCTCAATTTATTTGTACTGATTATTTTAGATCAATATGAAAGATTTTATTTTAATTCTGATAATCCTTTATAGAGATTTCAAGAATTCGAAGATGATTTTGTTGATGGATGGGCTCCATTAACTTCTGAAACTAAGGGTTAATAAATTCATAAAGATTTACTTGTTTAATTAATGTTATCTATCAAAGCTCCAATGGGTTATGATTTAAAGGAGAAAATAAAGACAGCTGTAAATGATTGGAAAACTTATAATTCTGATGCTGATAAATCAACTTAGAATTTAGAAAAAATAAAAGTTATGGTTACAACTGAAGCTAAAAAAACTGTTGCTAAAACTATAATGAATATGAGAATAGAATCTAATGAAAATTAGATGTTAGAATATCATTATGTTTTATTTACATTTATGAAGAATTTCTAAACTGATTTATTTAAAGAAGTAACCTAGATAGGGTTAAATAAATTGATTTAAAAAGAAGAATAGACATTAAATAAAATAAAAAAAAACAGACACAGTTCATAGGAAGTAAATCCTTGTGTAGAATTATTGTTTCATATAATGTGTTTTAAAGCATATAAACGATATGCTATAAAATTGAAAGAACGAATGAATAGATAATAGAATGAATTCAGTCAAAAGAGTTCAGATTCTTCATATCTCCATAAAAATTCAGATATTGTATAGAGAGATAGTATAAGTTAATCATTAGAATCAATTCAAGAATCAAAATAACAATTCTGTTTACCTCCAGATTTAACAGTTTATTAGAGTGATGTGAATATTGCTATAAAAGATAATAGTAATAGTCAAAATACAAAAAATAGAGGATCAGTATAATAATTGGTAGAATAGAAATTAGAGAATATTAGTGAATTCAATAGTGAATAAAGCATTAGCTTTAATAAATTAAATGATGTATCGAATTGATATGTATTTGTATATTTTAAGATTTCAATAAATAAATATATTATTTAGTATAAAATCAATATTAGGATTCATTTTACTAAATATCCAATTTAGAATTTCTCAAGAATATAATGAAAGTTAATCCAAGGATGATGTTAGAGAAATAGGAAAGTAGCATCTTTTCCAACTCCTCTAAGTATTTATTCTCTACCTCCAGGATGTTTATCAATGTAATAAGTGATATCATAAATGTTATCTTATAAAACAATCCATGCATCTTTTTAAGTATTGTGTTACTAGACCTAATAATGATAGAATAAGATTTAAAATTACTTCTTAGATTGTATATGATTTTAATTAAGTTTATCGTTTGTGTAATGGTTGATTATTGTTAGATTGTATTTTTGTTATTGGATAAGAATTGGCACTTCTCTCAATACTTTATTTTTGGTTTATTAAATTGTTATTATCTTTAATATTTTAAGTGGTCTCTTGAAATTATTGATTAAGATTAAAGATAGTTTACATTTGATAATTGACACTTTCTAATTTACGCATATTCTTAAATTTCTGAATAACAAGTTGATTTTAATGTATATGATAAATGTTCTATAATTCCCATGTTTAATTAATAGGAGGCACATTATTAGTGTTAGACATATTAATAAATATGTGCTATGTTTAAATAAAGATGGGGAGGGAATTTTGGATTGGTTTAAGATTGGAATCAGTGAATGTGATGTTATTCAATTGATTTTTGGAAGATATTTCATTGAAAATAAAGATGAGTACTTCATTAATGATATTATGATCGAGATCTTACCAAACAAGAGTGTATTGACGATTAGTAAAATAGAAATTGATTTGATGATCGATATTCATAATATAATAAAATGAATGAAAATAATAAAATACTTAATGAATATAGAAGAGAATCATTAAGTTCAACTAATTAAACAGTTATTACTAAAATATATGAATAAATAGATTGTGAAGCCTTTTAATAATTACTTATATAAGAGAGTGTTGAGATAAAGAGGAAGAAGATAATAATAGATAGAGATGTATAAATTTAGTAGGTGTTAAAATTAAATGGAATAGAATCAATTATTTAATTTAAGGGAGGTAGTTTAGTATTTGAAGGAACAACTATTGATTCTATTTTTGATGAAGAATGTTATATTTAAGGATTTTAAATAGATGTATGTTAAAATACTCCATGTATAAGAGTACATTATAGAAACTTGATGATTATGGCATGTAGTATTGAGAACTTTTAAAATAGAGGAGTCTTTATTAAATTTGATAACTCATTAATTATTAATGATACAATTTTAAATGGATTTTCAGTTTTGGTATGTTGTGAAGGCAATGGAAAGAAATTGAGTATAAATCATTCCATAATATAGAGTGATTATTAATAATAATAATAATCAATTTTAATTCATGCAGATAATTTGGGTGAATTTGGATTGGATATAACAAATTCAATAATTGAAGGTAGTTCAATCATTGTAACAAATAGTAATAATGTAGAAGTTAAAATATAAGATAATGAATTTAAAAATCAATAAATATCTATATCTTTTGAAAATGTTTAGAATAAATCAATAATAATTGAAAAGAACATTTTCTTTCGATCAATGGATTATGCAATTAAAATGAATAATATTGTAGTTGATAAATTATAATTGATCAAAAATACAATCTCTAAATGTAGAATTGGATTATTTTTGTAGAATGTAATAGAATTCTGTCCATTAATTAAACATATTAAACCAATCTGTCTTAAATAGAATGTAATGACAAATATGGAATAAACAGCCATAATTATAAGAGAAGTGATTTGTATGGAAATTGATGAAATCAATATCTAAGATAACACTATTGGAATGGATATTGATATAAGTACTTCTAAAATGTCTGAATAAATCCCAATCAATCCTTTTATTATTTCTATTAAGAATTCAACTATAAGTTCTAATCGTATTCATGGTATCTTTATCAATAGTAATTTATCTTACAATCCCATAAATCTTTAGATCTCTAAAAGTGCTTTCTATTCTAATTGTAATGCATTGAATCTCTCACATTAAGGTGAACCACATGATAGAAGTAAATCTGTATATATTAAACAGTTTTCAAGGTCAATATTAATAATTCCCAATTCCAAGATAACAACTTTTCTAATTCCAACTCTAACTATGAACTGAATATCATCAATACTAATATTGTAGTAATCAAAATCTAAATAATTTGATAGATTAATAAACAACTCTATTTTAATTCTAGGTCAAAAACCTGTCAAATTATGTGAATATTTCAACTCATTTTATATAATTATATAATCACACTTAATCATAAATGTTAAAAACTCCTAGTCTTAAATCCTATTCCAACCCAAGTGAAAGGAATCAATCTGAACTATACATTAGATGTTACATCAATAAGATCATCAAATCAAATTAACAACACCACACTTCGTTATATGATGAAGACTAACTCGATCAAAACTAAAATATCAATAATATACTACTATATGAAGATTATATCTAAAATGTCAATAAAATAATCTCAAATCCACCTAATTCATAATATCTAAGCAAATACTATGTTCTATCTGCAGAAAATGATACTATTACATTTATTAGTGAAACCTCACCAGAAACTCTTATAGATCATCTTAAATTGAGACATTAAAATAATGCTCCTATGAATGAAGAAGAAATTGTCTAATTAGCATATTCTATTCTTAATGCCTTATTACATATCAATATTCTTTATTTAAATCCTACTTATATCATCAAAAAATGGAAAATCATCAATTACTTCGAATTAATGGTAGATCAAAACTCACTATAATTTTGGGAAAAATAAGATAAGTTATACTTGGCAAAAGAAATTGAAAAATATTTAGAAATTAAAAATAATTATTGTTATGATTCTAATAAATAAAGTGAAAAAATACATGCACCTAAAGCATGTGTTTATTCATTAGGAGTCATTTTATCAAAATGCATCTAATTCGAATACAAAAAAGAAAATAATAACTTTTAGGATATTCTTCAAAATTCTATATATAGTTGGTCTTTAAGAGATCTCATTCAATAAATGATAATCGAGGATGAAGATTAAAGGGCTTCTATTCAAGATTTACTTTAAAATCCTCTATTCTACAACTAAAAATAAATTGAAATGCATCCTAAATAATAAAATCAAATGTCTTTAGCTGTTTTCTTTCAATTTGTAAAAAATAAGTTTTACAACTTAGATTGGGCTGACTAATTTTTTTCGGTTGAAGAAATTATCTATATTAGTGATTTAAAGGAAGGTATATATACTATAGGTGAATTGAAATCTGAAATCAATAGTTAAATAACTTAAATCATTTAGAATTGTCCAAATAATAGTACATTAGAAGAATTAATTGCTACTCTTATTAAAATGGCTAATCCTGTTTAATAATAAGAAAATCAAGTTGTCCAACAAAAAAAATAATAATTTTTATTCAGAAAATGGTTTAAAAAATAAGAGTAGAAAAGTGAAGATATGTAAGAATAAGTACTTTTACCTTAAGAACCAACATATATGGCATAAGTACTTTTATTAAAATTGATATCATAAGCCTCTGAAAAAGCCTTTTAAACATTTATTCCTAAAGTAATTCATTTTATGGGAGGTTTAGGCTTAATTTGGTAAAACATTCGAAAAGCATTTTGGCCAAGAGCTCTTGGTTTTGAATCTTTGGAAGCCCATAGATAAATAGTACAATTGACACTTGAATTATGTGAATATTTAAATCCTTAAAAAGAATAAGACATAATTTAATTAGAGAAAGATTTGAATAGATCAAAATTCAATAAAAAAACAAAAGATGCTATAAGAAGCACAATTCGAGGATTTATTAATCAATCTGTTTCTAATTGTTATATATAAGGGATGGAATCAATTTCATATATTCTGTTAGAAGCATTCAATTATGATTCTGAACTTAGTTCAATATGCTTAAATGAGATTTACAAAAAAAGGATTGTAAACCTACCTCCAGAGAATGAATAGCTGGAAATAAGTGAATACTTTGGATAAAAACTTTAAGAAAAGATACTTCTTTATAATTGGACTCTTTAATATTTTGATCCAGGATTAAGCAATCATTTAAAGGAAAATGATTTTAAGTGCGAAACTCATATTATATAATGGTTTAGCATTTTCTATGCAAGAGAATTTAGTTTGGAGAATGTACTTAAAATATATGATTATATTCTAATTTCTGACGAATCTTTTGAAATTTTGTTAGCATCTCAAATTATGCTAGAACTTAAATCAACATTTGAAATTAAAGATAATTAGGGGATGCTTGATTGTTTGAAGAATATTTAAAGTAATATTCAATTAGATATTTGTTTATAAAACTCCCTTAAATTATCAAATTAATTACATAAGACTTTTTTTATTCTAACTCATTAAGATGAAGATATTTGTAATTAGATGAAAGAAGAAAATGAATATTTATAAGAAAGACCATGGGAACATCCTTTAACATTTAAATAATTGTAGGAACAATAGACATTTTCTATTTCTATTCATGATTTTTAATAATTATTAAGAGAACAAAAATCATCTTTCAATGTTTTATCTTTGGATATGAGAAGTGCTAAAGAATTTGAATAAGCATGTATTTCTGGTTCTCTGTTTGGTCATTATGATAAAAAAAAAATTAACAATTTTCAGCTTTTAAATTATTTTGAACTAAGAGGACTCGTTGAAGAATAAAATATATATTATGTAGTAGTGGTTTATGATTCAGAGAAACAAAATATTAAAGAAATTATGGATTATTTACTAAAATAACGAATTAAACGTCTTGTTGTATTAAAGGGAGGAATTCAAGCTGCTCTATTAGATGGATAGGATATAATCAAAAGTAAATAGAAAGCAGTCTTGCCTCCATGGATAAAATTACAAATTGATGAATTGAAGAAAAAAAATATTTAATGAAAGATTGATAATATTAATTTTATGTTATAAATTAATGATCACTATGTTAATCTCTATATAATAACTTTTTTTGAAGATAACAATCTTATAACTCTTTTTATAAATATAGGATTGATCAGCACTTAATTTACTTAATTTGCTAATAATTTTGTATATTCAAATTCCTTTAATAACCTTATATAAAAAACAGAGGATTGTTTACTATGTGATTTATGTAATAATGTTAGATAATACTAAAAGATACAAATTTAGTGTATTAAGAAAATTATGATTGCTAGGTAAACTTATTATTATAATAAAGGAACTAATGTTTTTATTTGTAGTTTTAATTTAAATATCAATTAAGTATTTAATTTAAATATAGTTTTTATCTCAAAAAATTTGATTGAATATATTAGGAATAATATATTTTGATCTAATTCTAATGATTAATAAATAAATTACTATGAAAGATGAATTTAATCATATATTTTCAACAACAAGAACATAAAATCCAAGAATGCTTGATAATTAAGGTTAAATGATTGTGGATTCAATAAATTTAAATTTTCTCTATATGAATCATTGTGTTAAAAAGAAATAAGGCAATTAATAATTAATAATAAATAAAATTGATTCATTAAGTAAATAAAAATTAGATTATTAAATAAGAAATATTGAATTGTTTGAATTATTAATGATTTTAATATAAAAAAATAATCATTCTTATTAATATTGGATTCAAACATAAAGTGTGACCATATAATCGAAATTAAAAAGGATGAAAAGAAAATAATATAAATATAAAATTTTAGACTAGGAAAGAAAGATAAATACCTAAAGAAAATAAATAAGTAGAAAATTCTGAATTAAATTTTTTCACACTATATCATATGAATTGGAACTTTATTAAATTTTAAATTAGCAATAACATAAATAGGAATAGATAAATATTCAGCCTAATAATATTATTATTCAATCCAAAATTTTATACTTGATATGATTAATTTAAATTAGGAGGTTAATTCAATTAGAATTAGAAGAGTTAGATATTTAAATGATATTGTAATAGGTTACAACTCTTTTTTCGAAGTAATGCAGATAAAAGAATTTGAGATTAGATTTTGAAAATCATATTCCAGATAGCGAGTATATAATTTCAGATTAGAGATGAATTAAGTAGATATTAATATATAATTCTTAAAAGTTTACATTAAATGGTTCAATATAAATAAAGGTTTTAGGTGTTTAGAATGATTTGGAATAATTCTCAGTAGTAGATACAGGGATTGGAATGGGAAAATTTGTTGAAGAAAACCTAAGAATAATGTTTGATTAAGACTTAAAAGTTGAATAATAATTATCATCAAATGCTGCTGAGTGTAGATTAAGATGTTATTTGGCAAATAAAATATGTTTACTTTTTTCTAATAAGCAATTCAAATTTGAATTTAAGAGAAATTAAGTTGGAACAACTTTTTGGTTTTTGGCTGATAATAATATGTAACCTTCATATAGTATAGGCAAGATGTTTCGAATTCAATTAATTAATAAGCATTCCTATATTGATTTAAAGTAAATCATAGATAGAAATATCAATTGGTAAGAAGTTGAGTAAAGTAGCAAGTATAATTAAATAAAGTGATTTTATTTTTAAAATGATAAATTGTATATAAAGTCTCTTTAAATTTAAAATCAAGAATTATATCATTCAGATATTTAATTGACCCTGTTTAGGAAAATACAGAAAGTGTTTTTAATGAAGAAGTCAATTCAAAAGAAAGAAAAGCTAGAAAGTATATTCTAAATAGGAAAATTAAAAATAAATGAGATTTCTTATAGTGGATGTTGAAATTATAAATATTTTTGGGTTTAAAGAATATTGAATAAAAGTGAGATGTTTATTAAGGAATATTCATGAATATCATCAATAGGGCTTTGATGAATTGATTTGAAACTACTACTAAGTGATTGATTTCTCTAATGAGAATTAAAGATTATAGCTTGTACTCCCTATACTGATAGTGAAACTAAATAACATTGTTATGAAATTGGAATGAGTTACTTACTTAACAAGCCAGTGAACATCTTAGAATTATAAAAAATACTTATATAATTTTAATAATGATATTGCTAATTTTTGCCAACATTTCATCAATCATCTTACAATTTTGGAAATGTGAATAAATAATTGAATATGTCTTTCTAAGCATATCAATTATTATAGATGTATTTCTAATTGCTTTAACTATGAAAAACTAATAATAATACTTGATCAAATTTTTACTTTTACTTTAAGCTTCAATCATATTTTCAATATTCAATACTCCTAAGCTTTTAGCAATCAATGCCATATATTAATGCATTATGAGATAATTGATCTCTTCTCCCAATAAAATATTTAATTACCTTGAATTTACAAGTATTATTTCCATTAAACTTTAGCTTTTTTTATTTTGATAGCAGTTTTGAGTACTAACATAGAAATAATTGATATTGTTCGTACTACTATAGCTACTTTTTTCTTTATAAGTTATTAGGTTTCAGTTTTCTTAAAAGAAAGTCCTAAGAAAAAAATTGAAGAATAACCAGCTGAAAAATTACCAATGAAAATAGAAACTGATTAAATTATGGCTTCACCGTAATAAAATTAAAGATAAACAATAAATCCAGAAATTGTTCTTGATGATTTTTTAGCAGTAGTTGAATGTAATTAAATGATGATGGATATATTATCTGATTTAAATTATAATGACCCAAATAAATTCTTATAAGAAATTAGTATAATAAATATAGATTCAATTTCAGAAAAGAAATTAGGAAAATGGAGAGAAGAAACTTTACTGAATTTACTAAAAAGAATAATTAATAAAAGATCTGAAATTTAGGTTTAAGTTTTGGATTATAATCATCCATCTATTCAAAAATATTTAATTTTGATTCATTACAAAAATTAATTTGAAATCTAATTCTTTTAAGTAAATGAAAGAGATACATATATTAAAAAGAAATATTTAAGTTAGATTTTGTATTAATTATTTAAAACATTTTCACATGAATTTGGAACATTATTAAATTATCTCTTAGCCTTATCATAAGTAGCAATAGATTAATTTCCAAATTAAGTTTGTTTTTTTCAACCTATAAAATCAACAGGTTAGATTATGCATCATTTTGTTTAAGACATGGTAGATTATAGTGATATGTTAAATAAGAAATTTTAATTATAATTTGCACTTATTGATGTTGAGAATTTACTTTAAGAAGTAATAGGATTCTATCAGAAATAAATAGAAGAAAAGGGTTTAACAATAACTTACAAAATTATACTTGAAGAAAAATCAAAAGTTTTTGATGGTCGAAGATGTAAATAAGTATTGAGTAATTTAATTGCAAATGCTTAAAAATTTACAGTTTCAGGAGGAATAAAGATTATTGTAACTGAATAATCAGGATTCACAATATTTTCAGTTGAAGATACTGGTTTTGGAATGACTTAAGAAACATTTGATAATTTAAATTAGACATTAGAAAATGAATTTAAGTCTGAATAGAAGATTTCATAAAATACAGCTGGATTTGGATTAGGTTGTTATTTATCACATCAAATTGCATTGAAATTATCGAATTAATCAATATATGCTGGTGGAGGTTTAAAATATGTAAGATTAGAAAAAGGAATTCGTGTTTCTTTTCGTGTAAAGAATTAACCATTCGAAATATTTTATACAAGTTGTGATATTTCAACTGCTAAATCTGGTATTTTATTTAATGAAAATGGATATTTCGATTCGCGATAATCTGTAATAGATTTGCAACTTACAACTCGTCATAAAAATGGAGATAATCATTTTTTAATGACTATGACTAAAAAATCTGGTTTATTATCAGCATCATTTTAACCAAATTAAATGGTTGATTATGTAGAATAAGAATTGAAATAAGAAAATGAAATTGTTGAAAAAATGAAATAAACTAAAAAAATTAAAAAAAGAGAAAGTCAAAAAAAATCACCTACTTTTGGAGTATCTGTAGCTGATATAGCTGGTGTAGAAACAATAAGAGAATAACCTTATATCTTAATTGTGGATGATGAAATGATTAACATTATTAGTCTTAAGATTATGCTTAACCAATTTAATATTAAATGTGATTCTGCATTCAATGGATTAGAAGCTGTTAATAAAGTAAAATAATGTATAAATATTTGAATATTTTATAGCTAATGATATGTTTGATGTAATTTTTATGGATGTTAATATGCCAATAATGGATGGATTTTAAGCTACAGAATAAATTTAGAAGTTTGATGATAGAAATATAATAGTGGCATGCACTGCTTTTACTGATGTAGAAACAAAAACTAAATGTTATTCTGTAGGAATGAAATACTATATTAATAAACCAGTTACAAAACTAGAGCTTGTAAAATTATTGAATCACTTGAATTTAATTATATAATGATAAAACATAAAAAATAAGCCATAATTGGATTATACATTCTACAAATTATTTATGCAACTTTAGAGAGTACTAGAGCATCCATTTTGAATCTTATTTTGCTTCTAATCAGCTTAGTTATTGGTTTAATTTAATTAGGGCTTCTAACAAAATATGGTAGCTTAAATATTTATGCTCAATTTTCAATCAATATTGTGAGTGTTTTTGCCAAATAGAATGATCAATTTATGGTACTTTAATCACTTGTTGGATTTATACTATATATGTAAAATGAATAAAAAAGATGGCACATTAATATTCTTGCTTGCTCAAGTAGTATTGGAAATTATCATAGTCCATGTTACCCTAATCTGTATATTTTCATAAAATAATGAGCCTCAGTCTTATTTGATGAGTATATTCACTATATTGTTTGTTACATATTTCTCTTGGGCTATCAAACAGTAAAACCTTTAAAAATAATCAAGTAAAGGTTCTTTGCTTACTTCTCGTGTACCAAATACAATTAAATCACTTATTTTTATGGAAGATATACATTTTATATCACAAAAAGCTATTGTCCTTGAAAATTCAACAACGCTAGAAATACGATCTTTTACTAGTGAGCTGAGAGACATTATAATTAAAGATGAAGTTTCTGAAGAAAATTTATTGGATCAAATGAAAATACTTAAAGTAGATAAATAAACTTAAAGAAACTTAAATTAAAAAATTAAAGGTATAAGCTTGCGTTAACTTATAAGCAAATGTTAGATTTTATAAAAGACAACAGAAATATTAATAATAAAAACTAATTTTATATTGTTAGAATATTATTAAATAAAATTACATTTTGATAAGGATGTGATCATATTAAAGTTTGAAGAAATTAAAGAGTTTGCAAAATATATTAAAAAAAATTCATGTTTTGCATTAATGAATAAATTATTTTAATCTTTTAGTCATGAATTTGGAACATTATTAAATTAAATTGCTCTAAATGCTTAAAATGGTTTAGCCTAATATCAAAATATGAAAGAACAATTTGATTCAATATATAATTGTGTTGTTATGATGAATAATATGGTAAAAGACTTAAAAGATTTTCATCAATTACGTAGTAAAACTTTTCAATTAGAAATTGTAGATGTAAATATAGATGACATATTTTCTGAACTTTAAAATCTATTCAAATAATAAGCATCATAAAAAAAGATTTCCCTATTTTTAGTGAATAAAGTAACGATTAAATTTAAATAAGATGAATAAAGAATTAAATAAATTCTTTAAAACCTTATATAAAATGCTATAAAATATACAAATTAAGATGGAAATGTGTATGTAAGTGCTGAAAAGGAAGATGAAAAAAGAATAAAATTTTCAGTTTTAGATTCAGGAATAGGAATATCTGAAAATGTTGCTTCAAATATATAGAAAATGTTGGAAAATGATTTAATTTTGACATCAAAACTTTCAGAAGGTGCTGCTGGATTAGGTTTAGGATTATTAAATTCTAATTATTTAATAAAACATTTATCTTCATTTAAATAAGCACATAAGGAACATTTATAATTTAAATCAAAATTAGGAGATGGAACTAAATTTTGGTTTTATATTTGGAAATATTAAGTTTAAGAATCACCATAAAGTTAATTTGAATCAAAATCAATAAAAATGATTGATAAGAAAGTATTCCTTCATTAGAAATCAAATATTGCTCCTCCTCTTTCTAGTATAGTATCAAATTCAAAAAGTTGTCCATCATAAATAAAAAAAATGAGTCCAAGTAAATCTTGTTAGATTCGACCAAATCCTTAAATATTTTTTCCATCTGATATAAAAGATGAAAATGTTATAATAATGGAATAAGATGATAGAACAATTGCAGAAGATCCTAAGCCAAATCATTTACCGGGTTAAAGAGCAAGATATCCATCAATGAGTTCACCAGAATGTTAATATGTTAGATTATTACTTGTAGATGATGAACCAGCAAATTTATTTCCTTTAAAGATTATGATAAAAATGCTAGGTTTTGAAAGTGATATAGCATAAAATGGATATTAAGCAATTTAAATGGTAGAATCAAGATTAGATTAAAAATGTCAATATCATTTAATTTTAATGGATATAAATATGCCATAAATGGATGGATTTGAAACAACCAGAAAAATTAAATATTTATAACCTAATATAACTATAGTAGCATGTTCTGCTTTTAGTGACATGTAAACTAAATATTAAGCATAATTATAAGGGATGGTTAATTACCTTGAAAAACCAATAAATAAAGAATATTTATAAGAAATATTGGATATGTATTTGTGATCATTTTTATTTATTCAATTCCTTACCTTTCTTAATAGCTTCATCAAATAATGCTTTCATTCCTGGATCTTATTATATTTTTAATGCTTCAAAATAAGATGCTGCTGCTTCTCCATATTCTTTTAATCCTTCATATGCTTATCCTTCATAATAATAAATCTTAACCCAATCTTTCTTAATATTTCTAGCTTATTTACATGTTACTAAAATATCTTTATATTTTTATTATTTTAATTAAGCATTAGTTAAATTAGTATAAATCTTTACAATATCATCTTTATAATGTTCAGCAATCTATTTAGATTTCTCAATTATTTAATTATATTTATTGATAGCTTCATCATATTATTCAACTTGTAATAATTTATTAGCATCTCCTTTTTCAATATTAATTTCATTATAAATGTCTTTGATTTAATCATCTGTTAATTATACTTGGGGAGCTGGGATTTAAGCATCTTTTCTTAATGCAAATTCTCTATAATATTATACACAATCCCATTTCTCATTTTATACTGCTAAATCTAATGCAGTTTATTTTTAATTTTCATAATTCACATCTGCACCATATTTAATTAGTGTTTATGAAAAATTTAATAATCCTTTCTCAGCACATAGATGTAATGCTGACCATCCATCATGATCTTTTATATTAACATCAATTTTATCTTAAAATTATTCAAATATTATATTAAATAATTCTTCATTATTTTAATCTATCAAAATATGCAATAATGAAGGCATTTAATTTTATACTATATTCAAATCTGCTCCATTCCTCATTAAATGAAGAGCACTCTTATTTTATTAATATGCCACTGCAAATGATACAGGAGTACCATAATTTGATAATGCATTTATATTTGCTCCTGATTATAACAATAATTCAATCATAGCAATAGCACCTTATTGAGCAGCTAAATGAAGTGCTGTAATTGTATTTCTTGAGTAATTTACATCCACGTGATGATCATCAATTAAATATTTTACTATCTATAAATGATTATGTTGAACAGCTATCATAAATGGATTATTTTTCTCGTCATCTAACAATTTAACATCTGCTCCTTTCTTTACTAAATACTTAAACACTTCTAAATCTCCTCTTGATGCTCCAAAATGAATTGCTTTCTTTCCTTTCCCCTCAGATATCGTATTTATAAATTATCTAATAGGAACCTTCTCATTCTCATTTCCTCTCTTACGTTGTTTTACATATAAAAGATACTTTTTTATCGTATCAATATCAGAAGTACTTATTTATTTAAAATACTCTTCAATGAACTTCTTTTCATGTTCTATTTCTTTAATATCACTCATTAATAATTTATGAATTAATCTTAATTTTTGCAAACCTTAAACTTTGATCCACTCCGAAGTCCACCATTAAGAGAAATTGCTTTAAGACATCAAGTTTATCTCAATTAATAGTTAGAGAGCAACTATATGCGGTTTATTGATCGAATCCAATGATTATTGTCAATGCTGTGGTTTAGGAATTCATACTCAACCTATATCATTAAAGGCAAATATTATCAATCTAGCTTTTTTGGGTTAAGGCATACCTTTGTTTTATAATGTAACCTTTCTCATTATTTTACTAACATTTATATTATTCCTTATTTTTGGTTTGCCTACAATCATTTTTAATTTTTTAGCCAAAAATTGTGTAGAACAAACTAATATAGCTTATAGTATATTTAGTACATAAGGTTGTTCTAAGAATTGTCCATTAGAAAATGATGATTTTAAATAAATTCAACAATTAGTATCTTCAAGTGACTGTAAATTAATATGTGGACATTACTAGGAATTATGTTTGGGGACTTTATTAGTAAAAATGTCATTTTCAAATAAATAATTAGATAATTAGTTAAAACTCATATAATCTTTATTTGTATTAGGATCTGTGATTTTTATAAAGATTTATTTAGTATTTATAAGGGAAAAGTAAAGAATTATTGAAGCAGAATGTGATTAAGAATTGATATCTCCTTCAGATTTTACAGTTATGTTGAATCATCTACCAGAAGAAGATTATAATGAAAAAGAGTTAGCAAATGCATTAGAATAATATTGTTAGAAAATTGACAAATAAAATAAATATGAAGTAATTAAAATTAATATAGCATATGACATTAAATCTTTTGTGCTTAAAAGTAGAGAAAAAATTAAATTAGAAAAAATATTATAGAAAGAACAAAAATAATATATGAAAAATTAAAAATACAAAAGAAGTAAATTAGAAATTGAAAAAATAAAACTTAATCTAGAATAATTGAAAAAAGAATTAACTGATATAGAATAAGAAATAGAAAATGGATCATATAGAAAAACTACTTCAGTTGCATTTATAACCTTTTAAACAAAATAATGTATATTTATGATTTATTTAGAATTATAAAAAATAATACAATAAACAAAGTTATCATATTGGGAATAACTACTTTTACATGTTAGGAGATTAATTTAAAATAAGGATAAAAGAGGATTCTATTTTAAGAATAAATTAATATCTATTTAGAGAGCACCAGAACCAGATGATATATTTTGGGAGAATTGTGGTATAGAAAATTCAATAAAAATCAAAAGAAAATTTATTAGTTGGTTGGTAGTTGTTATATTATTGGGAATATCATTTGCTACACTTTATGGACTTGAGAATTTACAAGTAATTATTATAATAATATATTTTAGAATAAATATCTTTCAAATGATTTAGATTTTATAACAAAAACATCTATATCTTTGTCAAAATCTTTAATAATTACAATAGTAGATGCTTTAATTTATTATTTCATTACACTTTTAGCAAATCATGAAAGACATGTAACAAAAACTCATTAAGATACTTCAGTTGCTTAGAAATTGTGTTGTGTATAATTTGTTAATTCTTGTTTTCTTTTACTTTTAATACATTTAATAATTGCTGGATAAGATGGAGATTTTATGGAAAAATCAAAATTTGCAATATAAAAATAAGGAGGTGTTGCTGATGATCTGCTTTTTGTTTGCTGTATGAATGCTTTATTCACTCCTTTTACTGCTTTTTTCAATCCAGTTTATTTTATCAAAAAATTATAATAAATATTTATTGAAACAAACAAGAATTTAAATTAATTAGAAGCTAATAAATTATTTGAAGGTCCTTAAGTATTATTATATGATTAATATGCATTTGTTTATAAGACAACTTGGATCACTTTATTTTTAGCTCCATTAACTCCAATATGTATTTTTATAAATTGGATAGGATTATCTTTATATTATTGGATTTAAAAATATTTATTATTAAGAAGAAATAGTAAACCTCCATTTTAAAGTAGTCATTTAGATAGAGAAATGATTACTCTATTAGATTTAAGTCCTATATTATTGGCTGGTATTTAATTTTGGATAGATGAAATCTATGTTTCTAATTATTTAAGTCATAGTATAAATATTGGAACTTTAGTAATAGCAGGATTAGAATTGATATTTCCATCTTATAGAATTCATTAAATTTTATATAAAAATTAATTAGATGATGTTGAAAATTAAAGATATAGTGATGTTCATTTTCGATTCCCAACAGATTATGATAGAACTAATCCTTTAACTAGTGAATAAGCAACTTAAGAATTTATTAAAAAGAAATTTTAATAAGTTAATGGATCTTTGACTTTTGCTCGACATTCTAGAAAACATTCAACAAAAAGATCTTTAAGATAATATGTTCTAAAAGGAATCTAAGATGTAAATATAAATAAATCAAGAATAAAAATACTTAAAAAGAAACTTCAAACTGCTTATAAATTAAAATTATTCTAAAATGTTTAAATTTAATAAGAAACTAATTATAAAGAATCTGATCATGAAGACTCAATTAATACTTTTAATTTCCCTATTTATCAAAGAGCTCCAAATTATAATTTTTCTAGAGTAATAAATCAGTTTCCTAATTATTCCTAATATAATTCTGATCTTACAAATAGAAGTAGTTCTATTTCTTCAACTAGATAATTAAATGCATAGAAATATTAATTAACAACAAAAAGAACTTCTTAAATCTAATCTTTTAGAATTCAATTATAATGACTATAAAATTCTTAAAATAGATATATGTATATTATAATATAAAGCCATATATAAAACAAGTTATCAAAAGTATACTAAGGATAATCAACTTTGGAATTTATTAGGGCTAAGGAATCTAGAGAAATTGTATTTATGGGCCTCCTAAAATTTATTATTATTGTCATTATCAGTAGAGATGTTTAATGAATTCTGTCTAAAACTAATATTCTTATTGATTATCATATATTCGGGTGTTTATGTATAGATTGGTTCTTGTTAATCTTAAGATATTTCTTCATCTTATTACCTTTAAGCTACAGCTAAAGCTTAACGAGCTTTTCTAATAAGTTTAATTTTTCTCATCATAGAAATTTTAAGTTTTAATGAAATAGTATTCTTCATAAATTAGACTCCTCCTAATTATGCATATTTATATAATGCTGTTTTTGTATCCATTACTTAAGGCTATTAATAATTAAAATCAATTAATGTTTTTGCTTTTATAAATTCCAAAATAGCCTATTATTAAGTTAATGGATTAGTTCTATCATAATCTGTTGATAATTTTAAATAAACATCTTAGTATCTATCTTTTTCAGTAAATATATTCTACTTTTTGTCAAATAATTTACTTATTCTTGTTGCTGGTGTAATTAATTCTAAACAAGAGAATCCAAAACTAATAAAATTTATTGTTAATACTGCTGAACTAGAACTAAAAACATAGTCTGTCCACAATTAACCTACTGCCAATATTATTGGACTTAATTCAAATAAATTCATCATTTCTCGATTTAAATGAAAACTTTAAAATGGAGGTTTAGAATTTCTTCTTAATAATAAATATTTTTAAATCCAATAATATAAAAGTAATCCTAAACTACAAAATAATAATGAGATTGGTAATAAAGGTGCAAATAGTAATGATATCCAAAGAGATAAACAAATATATGCATATGATTCATATAATAATACTGATGGTCCTTCAAATATTTTATTAGCTTCTATTTAATTTAAATTATTATTCACTTTAAAGAATTATTGTTAATATAATTTATAAAAATATAGTGGATCTAAATATGCCAAAATTGGAACAAAGAATGAATTCACAATTATTAAAAAAAAGGCATCTGAAATAACTCCTCCTTATCTTGAATATGCATATGTTGCTGCATAATTATCAGGTTTCTCTTTTTAAAAATTATAAACTAATATATTTATAACTTTAGTAAAGATTCCTGAATTAAAAAATTATACTATTGCCAATTTAGTTGCAACTGATACATCATGATGAGTTTTAGTAAAATGTTTTTCTGATTATCCTAATAATTTTATAAAATAATATATGATCTAATTAATTATTGTAATTATCAATGAAATTACTAATGTTACTATTATCATTATAGAATCATCAAAAGAAGATAAATTTTAGCTTTATAATATATTTAATCCTAAAAGTACTGTAAAGGATACTCCTAAAATTATGATTGTAACAAAGAAATTCAAGATTCTTTTTTAAAATTAATACCTAAAATTAAATCCACAATTTTCCCAAAAAACATCATTTGGTTCTGGAGCTCTACAAAATATTATAATTCGATTTTTAAAATAAAATCCTCTCTGATCTTATCTATGAATGAAATAATATTTGAATCGAATCCATAATTCTTCCCAATAGGATAATTTAGTCTAATCTAAAACTGATTATAATTCTTAGAATAGAATAATTATTTACATTCTTTAGTTTAAAAAGTTACAAAAGCAACTTAAGTTTAATGAGCATAATTTTAATTCTCTACTTCATTTTCAATTGTAGTCAATTTTTCTTCAAAAAATTTAATTCTTTATTTAAATTCATTAAGTTAATTATTTTTTAAAGATCGTGGATATCGTTTATATTATTTAAAATAATTTTCAATTTTTTCTATTTTCTTTTCTAAAATAATTTTTTCTCTACTATATTCAACAAATGAAGTAATATCATAAGCTATAATTATTTTAACGATTTCGTATTGACCTTTTTCATCAAATGAATAACAAAAGTCTAATAATGCATCCTTTAATTCTGTTTCATTATATTCATTTATAGGTAAATTAGTTAACATAGCTGTGAAATCTGAAGGAGATATAAATTCTTAATCACAAATTCTTACAGTACTTATTTATGATATTCTAACTCTAATCATAGCAAATTTAAAAACAAAAATACTACATAAAACGAGAATAGATTAAACTAATTTAGATGTCTCATCAAACTACTTGTTTGCAAATGACATTTTTAGAACTTATGTCTTTAAACAAATATCTTAAATTCTAGAACATATAGTTTCACAATTATTTGAATGAATCAATCTGGTAATAGATAAAAAATCAGTCGAATTTTATGGACAATTTTATTCACAAAGTCCACTTAAAGAAATCCTATAAAAGTTATTGTCTTCATCAATACAATCATGATTTTCTACATTTGTTATTAATGATGGTATTCCAAGCAAAGTAAATAAAATAAGCATTATTAAAGTTAATTACTAAGTCATTTCAAAAAATAAAGGTATTCCTTAACCTAAAAATGCTAAATCCAATCTATTTTGACATAATGAAATTTCTTTTTACTATATATTTTATCCACAACACGGACAATGATCTGATTTTTATTCATTTTCACCACACATAGAAGCTTTCTAATTACTAATCTTGTTTACCTAATGAATTCTTGCTAAATTAATATTAGCAGGTATACGAAATGGATCAAATGTTAAAGAATTCTCTGTATCAATCTTAATTTAATTCATATTTTAAACTCCTATTTATACTAATTTTAATAATAATCAAAAAATGTTGGAGAACTCCAAAGAATATGATCCATTTTAAATTCCAGCTGACATTAACATTTCAATTAAACATAAAGTAAATATATACTATCATTTAAATAGAAAGCTACTTAATGTGGAACACCAATAGAGAAATCTGAGTTATGTCCTTGTTGTGGAAGAGAAGTTGAACAAGAATAAAAAGAAATTGGAATCTCGCCTATTGATTTAAATTATCTTGGATAAGGAATCCCTTTGTTTTTTTTATTTCTTAAATAGATGGTTGTTATTGTATTGATAATTTTAATTGTTATGGGAATTTATTCAATGATTACTAATAGTATAACTGATAATTGTTTAGATGAGAAAAGTGAACTTCTATCACTCTATTAAAATGGATTTTGTGATGCAAATTGTCCACTTCCTTTAAATTTTGACTTTTTAAAAATTAAAGCAATTCTTAAAACAGATGATTGTTCAATTATTTGCAATTAATATTCAAATGTATGTACAACCATCTCATCAACTAAAATAGCTTTATCTAACAAATAATTAGATATAAATTACAAAGAAGTTTAAGCAATACTTGTTTTATGTTCTATTATATTATTTAAAATTTTATCAGTTTTATTTAGAAGACATTCAAAATTAACTTAAGATGAATGTGATAGAGGTTTATTATCAGCATCAGATTTTACAGCAATGTTAACTAAATTACCTAAAAATTAATATACTGAATAAGAACTTAGAGAAAGTCTTACTAATTATTGCAAATAAATTTCATAAATAATACCTGAATAATAATAATTTGAAATAGTTAAAATAACAATTGCTTTTGATATTTTTGATTATATTAATATAATTAGAACTAAAACTGAAATGGAGAAAAAATATTAAATTAATGAATCATATAAAAAAATCAATAATGAATATCCATAAAATGTAACAGTAGATACTTAAAAATAATTAAAGCAAGATATAGATAAAAATGAAGAAGAATTAACAAAAATAGACAATGATATTCAAAAAAAATAATTCACTTAAACAACATAAGTGGCATTTGTAACCTTTTAAACTAAAAAACGTATTGAACATAAATATTAGCTTAGAATTAGAAACAATTATTGAATATACTAAATTAACATAATGGGAATTAGTTTGGACGGCAATACTGAAGATTTTTGGGAAAACCCTTGACAAAGGCTTCTATTTTAAATATAACTTAATTCAAATAACAAGAGCTCCTGAACCAGATGATGTATTTTGGGAAAATTGTGGATATAATTTAAAGTACAAAATAAAGTAAAGAATAATAAGTTGGATTATTACTTCAGTATTATTAATCTCTTCATTTTTTATATTATTTGGATTAGATTATGTTTAAAATAATTATCTGAAAGAATAAAACATTAATTATGTGTTATTAACAATAATATCTTTAATTATTTCATTTATAATTTCAATAATAAATGCAATGATATATTACAGTATAACAATTTTAGCTCAAAAAGAGAAACATTATACTAAAACTCATTATGATGTGTCAGTGGCTACAAAATTAATTTATGTTTAATTTATAAATTCTGGATTGTTGATAATGGCAACAAATATATTAGTATAGGGATTGGCAAATAGTAATGAAATAGATAAAGATATTGAATTATAAAGTTTAGCATTTAGTAGACCAGGAGGAGTAGCATAAGATGCTTTTATAATTACATTAATAAATGCATTAATAACTCCATTAATATCATATTTTGATATATTTTATTTAAGAAAATTGATACAATAAAAACAATTAAAATAAAATGCAACAAATAATATAACATAAACAGAAGCTAATACAATTTTTGAAGGACCATAAGTGTTACTATATGATAATTATGCTTATGTATGTAAAACAGTTTGGATTACATTGTTTTTTGCTCCTTTAGTACCTGTTAGTTTATTATTTTGTGTTGTAGGTTTATTTTTTTATTATTGGATTCAGAAATATTTACTTTTAAGAAGGAAATGTAGACCTCCACTTTAAAGTAGTTATTTGAATAGTGAAATGTGTAATATAATTAATTTTAGTCCTATATTATTGGCTGCAGGATAATTATGGGTAGATTTTGTATTTGAATCAAATTCAACTACTAAAATTATTAATTTCATTTCAATTGGTATATCTGGATTAGAATTCTTTTTACCATTTGAAAAGATAGCTAAAAGATTTTTATCTTGGCCAGATGATTTAAATGAATTAAATAAATACTCTGAAAAATGGCTTGAATTACCAATAGATTATGATAGAATAAATCCAATAACTAGACAATAAGCAACTTAAAATTATGTAAAATTTAAATAATCAGTCGATAATAAAGGCAATAATCAAAATATTCAATAAAATGATCAAACATTATAAGCTTTAAGATAATATGCATAAGAAGGAGGAGAATATAAATTCAAATCACATTTTGTTCATAAATTAAAAGCCATAGCCAATTTATAAAGTAATAAATAGACTAACAATGTAAATACCAATTAAATTGAAATGATACCATAATCCAATTAATAATAATAGAAAGAAGATCAAACCAAATTGTTATTAGGGTAACAATAATATATTTCATAAATTGAAAGAATATAATAATAAATATAGCAAACTAATAATGTTAATTTGAATCAAAATAATTACAATGGATATCCATCTACATCATAAAATTATTAATATGATTATAACAATCAATAACAAGCTCCTCATCATTAAAATATGTAATAACAATATTATCAACCTTATTAACCTCAATAATAATATAATTAGTTTCCAAACTCTTAATAACCATACTATAATTAAGTTTAATAAAATTACAACGTCAACTCTGGTTAATAACCTTATCAATAATATCCAAATAGTTAGTATCATTATTGAAAAACATATATATATTTTGATTTCATTATATTTTCAATAACTAATATGATTGATCAATTTGTCAAAGGGTTGTAAAAAATTGATAGATTTGGGGCTATATTTAGACCACCTATTATAGATATTCACCCTGAATATAGATCGGTTCTAGGTGGAATTGCAACATTTATATTATATGGTTCAAGTCTTGCATATTTCTTGTATCAAATTATTTAATGGTAATCTAACTAATTATTACCTAAAATTACATACATTCATACTTCTTATGATAAGAAATACTATAATATTAATGAGATGTTATCTTCCTTTTACATTAGAAAAAATTACAAACCTGATTAAATTGACCCGTTTGATCCAACAAACATTATTTTACAACCTATTCTTTCTAAATTTGCTAATTAATAACTTGTAGAATCATATTCATTTTTCTATAATTCAAATTCACAATAAGAAGACATTCATGAAGTTATATTAGAAAATATAGAACTTAATCTAAACTTAAACTAATCCAAAGATGATCCATAAATTGAATATTTATTATCATTTGGTACATGTATGGAAATATATTTATTAGAAGGATAAAAATGTGCTAATTCAACATTAGTAAATACTTATTTGAATTAAAAAAGTCATGCTATAATATTAAATCATTATGTTAAAGAATATAACTCTAAAATAAAACAAATGTAAAATGTAAAAAAACAATTCTTAGCAATCCTCACTAAAAATACAACCTTATATTTTTAAAATTAAATTAGATTATCTAAAACATAAATCGATAACGGATTTCTATTTCCTTCTAATTCTTATAAAGAATTTCCTATGGATACTATAATTATTTCTTAAACTACAGTTCCAGATAGTTTTTATAATGTATTTGGAAGAGCCACTTATTTAGTTATGGCATATGGTTTAAGTGAAGTTATTCAAGAATAATATATAGAATATCCTAAAATATCTGAAGTATTAGCTGATATTGGTTCAATTGTTTCTATTATCTTAGTATTGTCTTATTTATTTATTTTTTTAAATGAACATAAATTAGAAAAAGAATCCATCTTAAAAGTTATTTAAATGTATTATCCAGAATTTTATAATATCAAATTTAGTCAAAATTGGTATGGTAAAATTGTTGAAGTTAAATAAAATGATTTTATTATTGATAAAGATGAATTTATGTTATTTTATAATAAAATCTAGAGAATTGCTGCTAAAAAACTTAGTATTACTAATATATTGTATTCATTAGCAAAATTATAATTTTTACTTTAATCTACATACAATTCTGATAAAATTAAATTAGCTCATAAAATTGGAATTAAACTCAGATAATTTCCTAAATTTTAATCACCTTAATTAATTCAAGAATAATTAAATATTTAAGAGATATCAAGAAATGATTCAAAAGATCACATTTAAATACATAATGTTTCAAATGTTAACCTTAATGATTAGAATAATAATAATAATTAAAATTCTATATTACGTTAAGAAACTATCAACAAAGATAATTCTAAAAGCATATTTTTAAAATTAAAAGATGAAAGTTATATCTTAAGTGATGAAGATTTCTAATTCTTTACTATTGATGAACCTATTGTTATTGAAAATGATATCTTAAAATCAGATTCATATTTTGAGAATAATTTTATTGATCTTTGACATTTATTTAAATATTTTATATAATAATTATTTATGAATACTTAAACAAAAATTGCAAAACAATATTTTAAATAAATTAAAGAAAAAATAATGGATTTTTTAAGTAACGATAAATATATTTATGCAAAAAAAAGTTACAAATCATAAATGATCCAAAATTTATTGAGAAAACTATAAAAATAGAAGAGTCTGCTAAAACTAAAAATTATTATTTAACAAGTAAATAATTTCCTGTTTTACTTTGTGCAGGAACATTACTTATTTTAAAATATTTAAACATACATCAATAAGTGAATATACTAAGAATGATCTACTTAATTCAATTTTGTTGGCTCCATCTACTATCAAACTACTTAAGCCTTTTTAATATATATCCCTGCTTTAGTATTTGGGTTGTATTTAAATGGTTATTATATGAATTAAAAAGGAATGATTGGACTTTATTTAATGAATAGTTTAGTATAATTATATATTATTTAGCTTAGTAGTGCTGTAACTTCTTATTATGAAAAATATCAAAATGAATATTTAGGAATTCAAATGATGTCCCCAAAGACAACATGAGCCTATACATCTCTAGCTTATATCTTTTCATTCGTTGTTCTATAACTATAGTATACGTATGTATTAATTTTAATATTAAGAAAAAGCTTCCTTTTGCCTTATTTTCACTTTTATATTTAATTTATGAAATTGAAGAATTTATAATGGATGATCAACAAAATTGTAGACCAGCACATATAACATCTATCATTTTAGGAGCTACATATGGGATTATCTTTAAAAAATATTGTAAATTTTTATGAAATTCTTAGAAAATGTATATAATAAAAATAATAAATTAATTTCTATCATGTATTAAAAGGAAGCTATGTATATTGATAAAAATTTATCATTGTTTTTTAGTTAATTATTTTCCTTCTTATTTCCATAATTATCTTATAATATATTTTATACTTAATTATTATGACAATCAACATATATATACATAAAAATTAGTAATTATATTTAATTATATCCCAATTTGAATTTGTAATTTTTTCTTGAATGATTTTTTATGATTACAAATTTTTTTTTAAAGTATACTCAAAAATCAAAATTACAGAAACCCAATAATCTAATCGATAGTCATTAGATTCAATTTACTACTATATTAAAGGTAATAGTCAATCCGAATTTTAATTTAACTTTTAAAATTAAAAATAGTTGATAAATTAATTTATAAAATTTTTTAGAGTATTAAATAATGAGCAAAAAATTTAAAAAATAAGGTAAACCTGTAGAATAGTATTTTCTACAAAAATCTAATAATTTAGAAAATTTGAGTCACGGTAATGTTTTGTAAACAAAAAAGAAAATAAAAAAACCAACCAATAATGAAATGAAGAAATTCGAACTTCTCTAAGAAATAAAGAAGTCTAAAAGCAATTTTTCTATGTTTCTTTAATTTAGATATATCAAGAAATAAGAATTTGAACCTAAATGGATGTTACTTTCATTTGTTGACAAAAACCTATAACCCTGCACAGTTTTTGTTGGTCAAAATGTAGATTATTTAGATAATTTCTAACAATATTCTTGGTATTAACTTACTGGTTTGTAAGTTGCATAGAATGAGTATTAAAATAATAAATTCATCAAATTGAACTTAAAGTCTGGAACAATAAGGTTGGTTGATTAATAACAACTACAAGATGAAGTTGAAATAAGCATCTATCTTAATCAATTTAATGAATTAAATCCCAAAAAACCTAAAAATTAATATTATAACTTCTTGGTTGCTATATTAAAGATTCATTAAAAAGAAAAAGTTTTTAGTGAAAGATGTTAAAAATTTTATGATCTTATCAAAATTGATACTATTGATTAGGCAGATTAGATGATGTAGGTTTCTCTTTGGAATGAATTCTAACAATTAGAGCTTACTCCGAATGAATTAGTTCTTTTTTAAAATGTCTAATATAAGGAACTTGATGGATTTTAATATTTTTAAACTGTTGAAAAAAAATCAATTATTACTCAAAATCAGGATATTTTAAATTAGCTTCCTAAGTAATTATTAAAAGTAATTAGTTACGATCAAATGAGGGAGAAAATCGAGAGATCTTAATTTAAACAACAACTGTTCGATTTAAGAAATTTAGATAGATTATTCAATAAATGATAAAAAGAATTCAAATGAATTAATCATTATTAAATAAATTTAAATAAAATCTTACTATGCACTATAGATCTAGTTATTTATTAATATTATTTTTAATGAGTCTTATACAATTGTAGGGGCAAAATTTTTTACCTATAATCTCTATACATAGGCTTTAAAGTATTATATAAATATTTCTAAGAATAATTTGTAAAGTAGTTTGATAAAGAAAAATAAATATATTAAATTTTCAAAGAAAAAGTTAACTTGATATAATTTATTCAAGATGATAACTGACTGTTTTTTTTTCTAAATTTATTCATAAAGAATTTGGAAATCGTCTACAATAAGATGGAATCTCAATCATAATGCTATTTTAATAATTTATAACTTATAAGCTTCCTAAAATATGTTGTATTCATTATAAGATTGATAAGATATCCTATAGACTTAAATAAAAATGAATTAAATTTTTGATGTTTAGTGTCAAGTTTTCTTTTTGATTTCCATTATAATTAAAATAGAGTCTAATTTTAGTATGAAAACCTCTATTTTATGAAGACTTTTAGCTATAATTTATTAATTGGAATTTTATAATTATAAAAGGCAATAATAAATTATTAAAAAAGAAATATTTTTTATAAATTATTAAAAAAGAAATATTTTTTTAAATTAATTTGATTAATTATTAAATTCCAGGAATAAGAATCTGATCTATTATTTATAGCCAAAAGAAGGTTTAGTATATTGATAATTGTTTAGATATGTAATAATAATATATATAATAATCATATATTAAGTTTAACTTTTAGTTCTTCTAAGTTAAATTAATTAGTTATAAAAGGATGTTTATTAACTTGTTCAATAGTAAATCTTTTAGTTGGATCAGGTTCTAACATGTTTTAGATTAGATCTTTGAAATCTGGATGAGGAGGAGTCTTTATCAATTTATCAAAATAATTCCAAAACTGTTACCATTTGTATTAAGAAATGGTATTCCAAAATCTGCATTTAGATTGAATAGCAATAGTAAAAGGAGGATATCCATAAGCTAGAGTGAAAATTACAACT